CTGAAGGGAAGCTACGAATCAATCCGAAAGAATCAAAGTCGTTCCAGAAATCTCGTACTCCAGCTTGGTGATCCCGACAGAAATGGGAACTGCTATTCCGCACTGACAGCTAACCGCTTCTCAGACCGCTACCAGCATGTGACCCTTCGACACGCTTCCATTGTGTCTCCAAGTCTAGGGGAGCAACCCCTCATGCCAGGAGGAGCCCATGACTCCAATAGTCGCTCTTGAACCAAGCCTTCCACGGGGGCTTGAAGAGCAAGTCGGAACCCTGACCGTTTTGACCTAATCTGAGTATACCCTAGGTCATCACCCCGAGGATACGGTGTTATTCGATCGGGGATTTTCTTTTCATACTTCTTCCCGAATACTCAGACGCTGGTGGATGGTCGATTGTCAGAAATTCCGGGATCATGGGACCCGGAAGCCATAGCCATATCATGATGAGGGTGGCTTCATCCCCCACATGTGCAAACATACGGTGCTCCTATTTCAGAGTCGCTTATATCTGCGAGCAGCACAACTACTCACGCCAGTTCCGTATCTGGATCCATTGAGTGATTGGGAAAACGCGGACACCTACCTGTCCTGTGCCAATGACATCTCAAATACACCAGATACCCATTGCCCGTGCAACCGACTCAGATCTCGCCCGTATGATGAGTACGAACGCGCTGCCCCCTTGCGAGGAGCCGCCTGGCCCGTTCCGCCTAATCTTGCGATTAATTGTACTAAACCTCAGAAACCTGAACCGTTGATAGGAATTGCCTTGATAGGGAATGAGCATAGGAACCATTGTGTGCAATTGCTCACGGCTGTCTCCCCTAGTGAAAGAGGAACCCGTTGATGGAGGAGAAGAATTTTTTGGGCAGTGGGGATTTATTTAGCGCCAGGGGATATCCTGGCTGTGCAAAATAAAATAGACCGACTGGTTGTGGGTGGAGCCGCTGATTACTAGGGCGGTGTATTTTGCCAAGCTTGTGAGGCTAGTGCTAAAAATGACGGGCAAGTTTCCGGTACCGTAAAACTACAAATAGTGGATACTCTACTGTCTGAATACAATTAGGCTAGCAGGTCTATTTGTCCTTCTCGAAGTAGTCCTTGAAGAAGCCACGGAAGTGGAAGTCCTTAGAAGCAGTGGTGATCTTCTCAACGTCAGCAGGTTCCAGCTCAAAGTCCCAGACCTTGACGGTTTCAACAAGTCTCTCTTTGTTGGTAGAGGTGGTGATTGGCAGAATTCCGTTCTGGTACACCCATCTCAGCAGAATAAGTCCGCTGTTGACTCCGTATTTGGACGACAGCTCGGCCAGAATAGGATCCAGAGGACCTTCTTTGACCTTAGCTGGCACAATTGGGGTCAATGGGGAGAATGCCTCCACCAAGATCTCGTTCTTCTTACAGAAGTCGACGATTCCTGGAGACTGGTTTTGCAGGTAGGCGTGGTGCTCGATCTGGTTGACCTGTGGCTTGTACTTGCTGACGGCGAGGATTTTTTTGAGAATTGGCTCGTCAAAGTTGGAAACTCCGATGTTTCTCGCCTTTCCTTCGTCAACGAGCTGCTCCATCTGTTTCCAGGCCTCTTCAACAGTGACGTCGCTGCCTTTACCGTCGAAAAACGGAGCATGGATCAAAAACAAGTCCACGTAGTCCAATCCCAGCAGCTTGAGGCCCTTGGTGAGCGACTCGTACGGACCAGAAGGCGACTCGGATCTTCTTTCTCCCCAGCCTTGGTTCCACTTGTCGGTAACCCAGAGCTTGTCACGTGGGATTTTCGAATCCTTGATGGCTTGGCCGATCTCCACGCGGGTTGTGTAAACTTCGGCAGTATCCAGATGGGTGAATCCGCCCTTGGTTAGAGCAAAGGTCAGAACATCAACCAACGACTGGTCGATCGAGTCCTTGGTGTTGGGGTCTCCTTTCTTTTTGATTTGGTGCTTGGTACCACTGCCGAACGCAATTGCTGGAATTTTGTCACCCGTACGGGCAAGAGTGAATGAAGGGACAGGAGGCATGACGAATAGAACGAACTGTAAACAAATGAAATTGCAAAATAACAACTAATCTATTTATTCTCACCAAATCTGTTAAAAACGTTATTTCACGGCCAAATTGGCAATATGATGCCTCCCTATCTTTAGAATCGACGATTTTGGCCGTGCAGAGATGTATTTTTTTCTCTTTTAATCTTGAATCAGAATTATGGGTACTTGTTTGAAGATCGTGAAGCTTGTGGGAATCGGCTCACTAGGACTTGCCACAACCAGCTTTGGTTTTGCGGCCTATAAGACCGTGCCAGATATCATCAACAGCCTGAACCTCAGCATCGCATCGTCGCAGCAACTCGCAGACAAGTTCAAGTCTCTTGTGTTGCGAATCCGCGTGTCGTTTGGTACGTTCGGCACGCTTGCCTCAACTCTGTTTGCTATGGCGTTTACCAGATCCCCGGTTAGCGGTAAACACCCATACCTAATCTACGCTGCTCTGGGTGCCCCACTGTGCGCTGCGTACTACGGATACAGTGTTTTGCCACTGGAACTAGAAATTTCTAAAGCCCCGCAAAAACGGGAAGTCACCAAGAGTGCACCAAAGGAGCCCAAAATCAACGACCTGACCTCGCCGTTAGACAACAGCGTGTACAACGATTTGGGAACCGATACCGAGTCGGTGAAAGAAGAGGTTGAGGAAGATGAGCAATTTAAGGAGTTGGAACTGAAATCAGCCACTGTGGCTAATTTACAGTCTCTGAAAATTGGCTACACATACTCCTCGCTCGTGTCAGGAGTCGCTTTCCTTCTCGCCACAATCGGATACCTTGGCGATCCTCTATAACGTATATATATCAACCAATAACAAGTGTGGCTTATCACGTCAAAATTAATTTAGTCTGCAGCATTTTCCGCGATAAGAGTGACTCACCCCGGGTTACCCGGCCGTGGGGTTTGATGATACGTGTGACCGACCCCCGCCTCCGAAATATAAAGCTCTGTCAATCTGCTGTATGCAGCCTCACTTTTCCTTTGGCAATTTATAGATAGCTTGACATTATAGATAGATGACTGCGATCGTCCTTCAAGATAAGGTTGATTCTCAGCTCAAGTCGCTGGCCCAGGATTTGCGGTCTTCCATGGACGAGTATCTTGCCTTCGAAAAGGGCTCTCTTTTGAAGAACAAGTACAAGTTCCTTTGCAACCTGCAAAATGGATCGTTTGGCCAGGTCACATGTGCATTAAACGTTTTGGACAATACCAAAGTTGCCGTCAAGGCTTTGAAGAAGACCATTCCAGGAACTTCTTTCATTGCCAGACATGAGATTTCTATCATGCGCAAGATAGGATACCATGAAAACGTTTGTCAGCTCCTGGAGAGCTTTGAGACCAAGAAGTATATCGTCTTGGTTTTGGAATATGTTCCTGGTGGCGACTTGTATGATGCGATCCACTCGCAGTCGCCGTTGGGAGTGGAATTCCAGACAAATCCCGATATGTTCTTGAAGCTGGTGAATCAGCTGGTGGACGTGATGAAACATTCTTACTCGAAAGGAGTCTATCACAGAGACATCAAGCCAGAAAACGTTCTACTGATGAAAGATGGAAGCATCAAGCTGTGCGATTGGGGTCTTGCCACCAACGCCGGCAAATGCAGAGACTTCAACGTTGGCACCGAGAAGTACATGGCTCCGGAAGCTCTTCGTGCGCAGGCCGACTGGTACGACGCCAAAGGTGCTGACTCGTGGTCTCTGGCCATCACTCTGCTGTTCACGTTGTTTGGAAAGTGTCCGTTCCGCAAGGCCGATATGAACGACGTGAATTATGTGAACTTTTTGCGGTCCAAGGAGTTCTTGTTCGACTACTATCCGAACATCAACCAGGTGACGTTCCGGGCTCTTGTGGACAAACTGATGATAGAACGCGATCTTGACTCAGGTTTGCAGTTGCTCAATCAGGACGGTCCTGTTAAGGGATTCACTTTGGACCAAGAGTACAAGCTGGAACTGACCAGACGGGCCCACGAGTATCCGTCTGAGTCCGACGTGACGATGATCACGGGCGACGACATCATGGGCGGTGAGTTCTTCATGTTTGACACCGAGCCCGACTACAAGGTTGAGGTTATGGAGGAGCAGAAACAGGTTTCTTATGTTTGTCCGTCTGTCCAACCGATGGACATCCGGCCGCTGTCCGACTCTGTTGGAACGTCGTACTCGCTGTTTGACTCGCAGGCTCCTCCATCTCTGACGTTTTCGTACAACACTTTTGACGGGCTGGGCAAGTCCTGGTGCGACGAGTTTGACGAGATGTGTGGCATGAAACACAGGAAATAACCATGAAACGCTTATATTAATGACGTATTAACGACTCTACACTCCATTTTTCTTCCCCCGCTGTAGCTTCTGTTTCCTTGCTGTTCGTTCCAGCCTGTAGTCTGCCACCATTCGTGCGAGGTACTTTCTGGAATAATTAAGTTTCTTGTAAATGTCCTGCCACATGACCAGCATGATGAGAACAAACGTGAACGGGATGGTCACCTCCCAGTAGAACCCGACTCCGAGCTTGAGGTTGGAGAAGCTGTCGAAGTTCATTCCAAAATAGCCCGCCCAGAACGTCAACGGCAGAAAAACAACCGTCACCACAGACAGCTGTTTCATGGCGTTGTTGGTTTCCACCGACAGCGTGTTGAAGGTCAGGTTGATCAGGTTCTCGATGGTCCGCGACATGGACTCGATGTCATCCAGATACAGGATCAGGTGGTCGTAGATGTCGTTCATGTACAGAACGCTGTCTTCGGAGATGAACTTGCGGAAACCGGCCACGTCTTTCATCTGGTTGATGAGGTTGCAGGCGGGCATGAGACGCGACTTGAGGTTGGCCAGCTCGTTCGTCATGAGATGCAGTTCCTGGGTGTGGGTGATGGTGGGGTTGGTGAGAATGTCCACCTCTATTTCGTTGAGTCTTTGGTCGTACGCGGTGATCACCGGGTAAACGAGGTCGACTATGGCGTCGAGAATCGAGTGGAACAGAATAGATGCCTCCGACGTGCTCCGCAGCAGCGTGTCCTCGGCAGAAAGCCGCGTCAGAACGGCCTTAGTCACGTCGGGAGCAGAGTGCTCAAAAAAAGTGATCACCGTGTTATCGTCCGTTAGATAGATGGACACCTGCTCCACACCGACGGCGAGTCCCTTGTTGTGCAGCGGACGCAGTACCTCGAGGTTGCGCAGCTTGCGGCTCTTGGACCGTTCGCGCAACGAGCGAAAGTTCACGTCCGACAGTTTTACCATCTTGCGCTCGTCGCTGATCTGTTCTGCCAGCGACAGGTCCATCGTGTGCACCGAAGACGCACGCGAGCGCACAGACGGTTCGGCCAGGTCCAGCGACGCCCGTGCGGCCATCCCAGGAGACACTCTGGGCTTTCCCGTCTTGATCAGCTTCATCAAGGGAACAACCGCAAACAGATGTTTTGGGTACAAATCGACCTTTGTGCGTTGCGGAACATCAATCATGTCCTCGATTGACAAACGGTGCAGGTTGTAGAACTCGCCGATCATCGAAATGGCCCCCCACGAAAGGCCATTCACGTTGATCCATCGGATGGTCGACCAGGCGGGTCTTGTGCTGACGGCGTGCTTGAACAGCCCGTTCAGCTTGGAGTGCTGCTCCTGCTCCTTCGCAGACGGCGTGGGCGGCGTGTCCGTGCCGTAGTCGTTGTCGTCCGTGCCAAACAGACTGCGCAGGTCTGCGGTGTCCTCGTCCGCATTGAACTCAGGAAACACCTCGTAGTTCGACACCCGGTACCGATCCTTCGAGTAGTCCGTCACCACGACCCACGACCCGGGCGACTTGAGCACCACGTTCGTCGTGCGCACGTCCACTCCCGGCTCCCAGCCAGCACGCACCTTCTTGGACGTCGAGCCCGCGTACCTTCTGGACCGCTGCTTGCGCCGGCGGCGCCGCTGCGACTTCGACAGCCTCACATGCGGGCCTGCTGCGTCCACATGCTCCTTCGTGGGCTGTCGGATCGGTTCGCTTGGCTCGATCACAGGCATCTTGTGTTCCATCGATCGCCGCGAGCCCTGCGACGAGTGCAGTGACACCAGGCTCGAGCCTCCGTCGCTCAAATCGTCCGAGTCCGTCCAATTGCCCGGATCGGGCAAGTCGGGCAGGTTGGGGTCTGCCGAGTCGTAAACAAAATGCATCACCAAACACTTGGCAAAGCGGAAAAAAAATTAATTAAAGTTAAATTGAGCTTCAGTAAAAATTGAGCTTCTTTTTCTTTCTTTCCCCCACCCACCGTATGAATTGACCCACCGTTGATGAGACTGCCCCCACATATCTTAGCAGCGCGATTGAACCGCACAACCGCAGCGCGCGTGCGCTTCGCCAGCTCCAACCAGTCAAGAAAGGCAAACCTGGGCTCCATGATCCAAATGCTCCAGATGAAGATCCCAACTTTGCTCCAATCAACCATCCCGGCCACCCATCTGGCAGATAACATAGTGCTCAAGTTGCTACCAAAACAGAAACCCCACCTCCCCGTTGTTCGTGGAATCACGCTTTACAACACAACATTCAAAACACTCCAGCTCTTACTCACCTCGTTCTACCTAAACCCGCAGGTTCGTCTACATATCACCCACATAAACATCGAAGAACCAACAGGATCGCTCTCCAGCAACGACATGATCAACCTGTCCATCCAGAACAACCTGCTCAACGTCGACAGCTCCCAGCAAACCTCTCCGTACACCACCAAAATCACCGTCAAATGGCGAACCTGTCTCAACGGGTGTCTGCATCTCCGCGACAACAAGACCACCAGCGCCCAGCTTGGAGCGTTCAACCTCGACAACATCAACTTCCTCCACCTTAACAGCCCGGTGCCCAACCTTACCAAGCTGAGCGACAACTCCATCGAGCGTGTGGTCTCGGGGATTTTTGTTTTCGAGCTCAACGACGCAAACGACAAAATAGCCGTCCATTGCATCGACAACTGCGAAATTATCGAAAACAAACAGCCTTCGCCAAACCCCGACAACATCGGGTTCGTCCCGGGAGCTTAGCTTGTCCATAACGAGCTCCGCAAAGTGCATGCCCTGTAAATATCTCATTCCCCGGACAGTTTCTTCAGCAGTTGCGTGTTCAGCTCGATGCTCACCGCCAGCTGCTCGCTGTAACTCTTCACCCGGTGCAAAAAGTATAGTTGCAATACCAAAATCGCAAACACAAGTATCCCCAGCCAGTTGCCCGAGATCCGTTCGAGCATCAGCATGTAGTTGGCCGATGGGGTTGGCGCCGGTTCCGCAACAACCTCGGTCTTTTCCTCGAGCTCATTCTTCAGCTCCTCGGGCTTGCCCGTCTTGATCGTCGGCAGCAGCTCCTCCATCTCGTCGCCAATCAAATCGGCTGACTTCTGCTGCCCTGTCCGCGTGCTCTTCTCGATGACTCCCTTGATCCAGCTCGACCCGGTCCATACGATCTTGTAGCTGATCACCAGATGCGTCTGGCTGTTCTCTGCCCATGTGAACAGGTACCGGGTGAAAACGTGGAACGCGGTCCCGCTTGGAACGTTTGGCGTGCTGGCCTTGGTGGTCACCTCCACATACTCGTTGAAATCTTTATGTTCAATCGTCTCTGAAGTCTCCACTTTGGCAGACTTGGGACCAATCGAGTTGTTCAGCCGTTTCTCGTAAACAAACTCTCTCGTTGGTCTCGAGCTCTCCTCGTCGCCTGTGTCGAATGGCCCATACTCGCTGAAGTTGTAGCCATCGGAAAGCTCCATGATATGTCTGTGGAACGTGGTTTTCTCTCCAAACAGAACGTCAAACACCAAACCCATTGGGCCGTCAAACACTCTATCCAGTATGATTGACTCGCCATGGGCCTCAGGCTCGTAGTCGTGCTCTGTTGGTGTGTGTTCGTCTGGGCCTCCGTTCTTGTAAACCGGGGTAATGACGACCTCGTTTTCGGATTGTCCGTCCATCAATGGACCATTCTCATCGATGGTGAAGATATCGTCTTCGGATAGCTGGTTGCCCACTGGGGCAGCGATATTGCTCTCAATAAGATCCAGGCTGCGCGATTTCTCGTTTTTGGACTTGCTCAGCGCAACAGATTTGGACCAGATGGTCTCGAGGAAGTTTAGCGTCGAGTCTCTCGAGATGAAACTGGCAAACGTGTGTTTGCCATCCTTGGTCTCCACGACGATCCCGTTTGGAAACAGACCAGCCGTGGACTTGCGCTCGAAATGCACAATCTCGTCATGAGAGATCATCAGACTGGTCACCCAGCCCAGCAAGTTCGAGTTGAAACACAGGTAATGTTCCGAGACATACAGCCGTCCTTGGAGCAAGATCTCTCTACTCAAGGCGCAGCTGAAATCGTCCAACAACCGGTCGTTTTCCGGCACATTTTTGAACAAATCGTGGAATTCAACATTCCTGGTCAACGAAGCGTACCGATACTGTGTATCGAGATACTTCTCATCCGTATACAGCTTGTTTGAGAAGTCTGCCGGCGACCGGTCGAAACTGTCGTTCGAAGCGTCTGTTAGAGGCGTTTTCGGTAACGAAGAGATGCTGCTGCTTTTTGCTCGTCGAGAAGTGCGTCTGAAGCTAAGCATTTCTGTATGGCCATTGACGGTGTGTTCGAGCCGGCCCTGGTCGTCGTCGTTTTGCGAGCTTGTGCGCACGGGCGTGGCTAGCGTGGCGACCGAATCGGTGCTCATATCTGCCTCCTGCTGCTGCTGGGAGATCGAGGCCAGGTTTTTGATGCTGGACATGAAAGTCGAGCCTGGTGTTTGTACAGGGGTGGAAAGGCTGTCTCCGTTCGTGTGTGGAATCTCTGGGTCTCCGTCCACGGCGAGGGGTTCGTCGTGCTGCGAGAAGGCGTCGTTGGACGAGTAGTTGATCGAGACGGCGTCGGTCTTCGTTGTTTCCGGGTCTGCGGGCTGCGATTTCTTGATTCTAAGCGGAATTGAGGCCGCCGACGAGGTGGCGCTCGACGAAAGCGTCGATGTCTCGGACAATTTGGGCAGTTCCGGGATCGTCATGGCGGAGGTGCGAAGCAGCGAACTGTTGTTGATAACCTCGAAGTTATCGTCGTCTGGCAAACGGGGAATGTCCACCGATAACTTGCGTTTTATCTGAGGCGAAGTCAAAGACGACACAGACGAGGCGGTGCTGCGGGTTTTCTGGTGCTCGTCAAAAGAAGAACCCCTCTGTGGAGGGGTTGTGCCCTCCGAAGGATGAGAGTCCTCGGGCTCAATGAAAGGTCCAAAGTCCATCGGTAAACGCCGAGTTAGCGCTGTGCAAACAAACAGAAGTGTGACAAACTTCTGTGTTGTGAATTATGCGGCTAATTAATACAATTGCAACAAATTGCAAACACCTCCTTTTTAAAATTGGTGATAAATTAATTTCTTGCTCTTTGAATAAAATTTCTCCGTATTTTCCAATCTACTTACACTAAATCTAATTGACCAGGCGAACTGTGAGACATATAGTAACACTCCATCTCCGTCTTAATTGCCCGCTCGTACCGTTGCTCGATCTCGATCGCGGCCTTGGCGAACCGCAGCTCGTTCTTGGCAATCAGTATCCGCAGCAGGATCTCCTTGGTCTGTAGCAACTTGCGTGCCGTAGGATCTGCCTCCATCTCGTTCTTCTCCCTCACATACTTCTTAACAACATACTTGTTGAGCTGCGTCCATGTTCTGTTGTACTCTGTTTTCAAATCAGCAATAGACAGCTGAAACAGTTTGAATATGGTCATGAAATCGTCGTAAATATTGTTGATCTGGTCATCAAGGATCTTTCCGGGAGCATGGAACATATCTTTGAACTTAAGACACCACTCCATCACCCGCGTGAACTCGATATCGTCTGTTTTCCGGTACCTGCTCGACGGCATGATCCCGTTGATGGCAGACGTCCGTTTGTTGAGCCGGGACTCGACTTTGTAGAACAGGAACGAAATCCGTGGCAGAATCAGATTCTCTGCCTCTTTCAGGATCTTGATCCACAACTGTGCAATCACTGCGTCGAAGCACTCGGTCTCCATGTTGTCATACAGTTCCTGGATCGTGTGGAGCTGCATCTGGTCGATGTATGAGTCCAACTCAGGCTCTTTCAGTGCTTTGTGGTTCATGACAAATGGAGTGGCCGGAGTCCGTCGAAGACTCTCTTCCAAAAATGATTTGGTAAAGATGTCCTTAGTCTCCTCAGAAAACCGATCCACAAACAGTTTGATGGATCGGTCTCTTCCCTTGCGAATCTCCAGTTTGGCCTGGTCGACATAAAATAACGGATCGTTCTTCTCCACAATGATTTGGACACAGATGTTGAGTCTTCCCGAATTTGGACTCAGACTCAACTTCTCATCCATTGGGATTCCATAGTTGTCTTTGAACCGCAACTTGTGAGTCAACGACTTGTAAAGAATTCCGCTTTTTTCAATCAGGTCGAATCTCAAAAATCCCGACTCCTTATCCGTGGACGTTTGGAACTTCTCGTTCCATTCCGGATTATAGTCCTTAAAAATACAACGTGTGCGGCCACTGATGACTCCCGAAATCAGAACGTACAAACTCAGAGGCTGGCCACGGTTATCTTCCACATTTTCTGCTCCCTTGATATCAACCAACACCACCTTCTTTTTATATTTGGATCCACGAACAGGTCTTGCGCTGAGAATCTTCGAATACTTGGTGAGCTCGTCCGTCTTGAATTGATCCATGTAATCCAACACCTTGAAAATGTTGTTCAAACATGTGCACGATTCACCTTTGAAGTTCAACAATTGTCCCGAGTTCAGTTCTTTCTCGATTCTCACAAACATCGTGTTCGAGTAGCTGTTGAGAGTTTCGGAAATGCTGCGGTACAAGTTGGCAAACATCTGTGCAGACTCGTGCTCGTTCTCCCACTCGAAAGACCGCAAGATTTTGATGTAGGCGTTGCAAATCTGTAAAACGTTCTGGACACTCGAACTGTACGAACAGCCTTCGAGCCGGTCCAGGTCGTCGTTCTCAATGGCTCTTTCTGTCTGCTCAGTGATTTCGGATCCCCAACTGTTCACCAACTCCAAAACGTTGGGGAACAGAATGGACTGGAAACTAACGTTCATGTTGGTTCTTTTCCGGAGCTTGGAAAGTAGCTCGAGCAATGTGGTCAAATTGGAGTTGGCCTGCGACGCAGTGCCGTCTTTGCTGGAAGTCTTCAATCCCATGATAAAAGCCTTTAAATAGTCTTCAATAGGACGAGTCAGATACTCGATTGCGATCTTCATGAACTCGATCCCTTGGTCCAGGTCGATGTTTCTTTGTGTCCAATCTTCGATCTCGTCGAAATCAAGATTGACGTACGCCAAAAGGTTGGCGATGAACTCGATCTTGGACTTGTTCTGGGAAAGCTTAAGTTCTTTGAAATGCTTGTTGAGTCTGGTGGAAAGAGCGGTTCTTAACCCCGAAAGAACCAGGGCCTCGATCTCGTCCACAAGAATAAATCGCGACAACTCTAATGCAGATGTGAACGATCTTTTGTCGGCAAAAAAGTTGAGGAAACACTCACTCAACAGACTCTTGTACTCAAAATACACTTGTCTGTTGAGTCGGAGCAATGTCTCACGTTTCTGAACCGGCCATTCCTCCAAATCCATGCGCACCACCATCGATAGTTTGGCCAACCCATAACATTTAGTGGCATATTCCAGGTCTGGTTTTCGCTCGGGAATGTCCTCAACCATGTGTATGTACATATCGAACGGATCGACTTGCCAAATTTGCAAACAGCGCACAAATTGATCGAAAAAGATCGGAGACGAGTCGTAGACCAAGTCTTTCAGGTATAACAAAACCTGGATGAGATCGTTTGGAACGTATGATGTTGATTTGGACTTGCTGGACTGTGACTTGAACTTCTTGGTAAGTTCCTGGTTCATGTAGGTGATTCTGTCTTTCCAGTTTTTGTAGGACGAGTCCGAGGCGAAATCCTGACGAGTGTACTTATTGACAAGCGACTTGTCGGAGTTGATGAAGTAGGCGACGTCGGATTTCGCGAGAGAAGGCCGAAGCTCCTTAATTTTGTTATCTAATTGTTCGTTGGTAACCTGAAATGCCCTGACAAGAGCCTCTCTGTACTTGAGGTTTCTAATGTCCGGAGCGACGGTATATGATTCGTTATGCACTTTTGATCTTCTGGTAAGAAGTTTCGAACGTTGCGAGTCGCTTGCCTTGCACAGGAGCAACATGTCGATCAACTGTATTCGACTGACGTAATAGAGTTCAGGCTCCGAAAGCGAAGTTTGTGCAATAAATTTGTCGAACGAGTCCAAAATGGTGATCACGTCCCAGTGCCTGAGTTCCTTGGAGTATTTGTCGTAGAACTGGGACAAATATTTGACGGTGGACGGGTTCAGGTCGAGTTCCTTATATATTTGTATGTTTTTCAGCTCGTCAACAAATTGTCGATTGAGTGCCTCGTCTCTGTTTCCAAAATCTAAATGGAGTTTCTTGGTGGATATTTTGGGCTGCCTGGGGATGGACTGCAAATCGCAAACCTTACGAGTTCGGAACTCATCGTCAAACAGAAGTTGCACCTTGACGAAGAACTCAAACACGTATTTGTTGAAATATGAGTCCTTTGGAGTAACCATTTTCTCACAAAACAAAGCTTATGATATAAAGAACAGCAAGTTACGATGTTTTGGATACTTCTATGGCTTGTGCTGTTACAAGAACATATCTTGGACAACTTCTAAACAAAAGGTTAAAAAGCAAAAAGAAAAACCAATCTAGGGATCTCACAAACGGTAAAGGAGGGTAAAAACGTAGAATTTTTCTATAACATTTCCTATTTCGGAAGTTGTTTGGAGGACGCCTAGCAGCGTGCCAGGGATGGTTTATTGTTGTATCGGGAGGCAGGTTGACGTCAACAAAATTAATCTGCTTCTCCTGCATTAGCAACAACATCTTCGTTATTGCGAAGATGGTCCACTAAAACTTTGTTCATTTTGAACATGTTCACTTTATTGCCAAATATCGGCTTCAGCTTATCGTCGCATAATATTTCTCTTCTGTCCTGTGGATTTTGAAGTTCGTTTGCCTTCACGTGCTCCCATATTTTCTTCACCACTTGTGTTCTAGCAATTGGTTCGGACGATCCAAGAAACTCGGCCAGTTTTTCGCTCGGAAGCAATCCTTTTAGTAACGGATTGGCTGCGTTTGCTGTTTCTTTTGAACTGGAAGTCTTTTTGGCCTTTTTAACCACTTTATTCACGTCTTTTTGTTTTAACAACTGGTTTAATCTCGCAGCCATCCGCTTGTTCTCCTTTTCCAGCTGTGCAATCCTCGAACTCGGCTCCAATTGCTCGTCCTCATCCGCCTGTAAAAAATACTCGTATCGTTCCATAATAAGCTCATTAATCCGTTTCTTGTCTGCGGTCAAATCAACATCAAAAAGAGCTTCCAAGGCCTTTCGTATCCTCTTCACAGACACTTTGGACGAATCAGACACTTTCAAAATCGCATCGATAGTGGGCAGGTAATCTTGGTCCGAAAACATTTCATCTGTAAGGAATTTTTTGCACTCTATTAATTATTCTACTAACGTTTCTCTCTGTTGCGCTTTTGCTGGATTTCGTTCTTTTTGATCAGCTTCTTACGCTCCATTCTGTTCAGTTTACGCGGATCAATCAGCTCCTCCTCGGTGCCAGCCTTCTTGTCGTCAACTTCCACAAGCCATTGCGAGTCCATCTCTTTATTCTTACCCTTGTATCCGTACTTGTTCACCCATTCTCCGGTAGCCTCGTCGTAGACAAGCTTTCCTTCCTTGCCCTTCTTCTTGATACCCTTCTTGGCGGCAAATAGCTCCCATCTTGTAGGCTCCTTGGCCTTTGGAACGCTCTTTTCACGCGGAAGCTGTGTGATAGGGTCCGGCAGCTCGATCAAAGTCATCGTAGAGTTCTGTCCACTAGAATTATCGCTCGTCTTCTTCAGTGGCAGCGAAAGCACCTGGTTGATCAGCAGCTGCACGTTATCTCTTGTCACGCTCTTGAGGTAGTCGTTTTTCGCCGTGTCGTTGCTGATCTGCGAAGCGTCCAGCGGGTTGGGGTCGAAAACCGCAAGGTTTCCAAGGTCGTAGTTCACAGGAATCAGTTTCTCAACTGTGACAGGTTTGCTGAGTGTTAGAACAGACACTAGAGGTACTTACTTTTGCTGTTCGCCAGTCATTTTAACTAAATTTCTTTGCGATAAATATTTTCTGAATTTTTTTTTTTCCTAAACTACAGATTAGGTAATCTAAGACAACTGTAGCTACACCTTGAGAAAATACCCTTTTGACTCTCGTAGCGTCTCCTCCTTGAACCCCTTGAGTCCCAGAAATGGATACAGGTCGCTATCCGTAGAACTTTCCAGTGTGAGCCAGTGGATCAGGTTGCCAGTGGAGTAGTACGACGACAGCTCTGCAGGCAGCTCGAACGCAAGTTCCGGGATGGTCCCAGAGAGAACATGGTCCGCCTTGAACCGGATCAAAGGCTGTTCTGTCACGCGGATCGAAGACAGCACGCCGCAGTTGAAGATTAGCCCTTTTCGCAGACAGCGCAGTACGTTCTCCAGGACGGAGTCGGTCAAAGTGTCGGACACGTTAAAATGCACCACTAGCGAGTTGAACGTCTCAACTATCTGGCCGGCGACCCGCAGCTGACGCACAAACTGCTGCAGCTCTGTTGGTGGCGATGAACTGGTTGGAACCAGCTGCAACCCGTTCAGATGGAACACAGAGATGAAGAAGTTGATCAGAGTCACAAACTCGGACTCCTGACTCCTCAGCTCCTTGAACTTGGTGTTCAGGTCGTACAACAGCGACCAGCACGTGTACGACGAGGATTCCAGTACCCAGAGGATGGACAGAACTCCGAGCAACAGGAACGTTGTGTCCTGACTGTGGCCCAAAGACTCGTCCAGCGCAGCAACGAGCCCAATCCATTTGCGTCCGGCAAAGTGGAACAGCCTGTATTTCCAGAACGTGTGGCTGGTGAGCCGGTAGCCGTTTGAGAAGTCGACGAGCCTTAGCGTTTCCAGCTGAGCCAGCGTGGTCTCGAACGAGGGAAACAAAGCTAGTTGGCGAACAAGCTGGTTTTCGAAAAACTCCTCGGGAGCGTCTTGGTAGCTGTTTAGAAGAACCAGAATCGGCACCAAAGGATCGATCTGCTGCGATTCAACAAGTGACTTCTCTGGAACAAGGACCCGTGTCTCTACAGACAAAACGTCCACAAACCGTCGGGGAACAGGAGTCTCTGTGACGGTGGAATAGTTCATTGGCGAAAAAGCGTGCTGTTGGTAGAGTCCGGACTGGATCACCAGCGAAAAGCCAAAGGGCCGAAAGAAATCGAGGTATTTCGTGCAATTAATGAGATGTTCCGCATTGAGCATGAACACAAGACTGGACTGGTTGACCAACCGCAAACGAAGGAGATCGTACTCGGATAGAACAGTGGTTGCAGCCAGTTTGGAGGAGAACTGCTTAACGAGTTTTTTGGACGGCAAAAGAACGAGCGTGTTTCCCGGACGGTCTTTCACGAGCTTTTCGACCTCTGCAAACAGGTCTATCGGTTTTGCTGTCGCAAACAGCACCGGATGCACTGGATTGTGAAGGTTTATCCTTACCCTTGAAATTGAGGCTTTGCTGTGGTAGCTGTTGATGACAACGAGTTTCTTCGCCGAAATACGGTCGATTGCCAACTGCGTACGCACTTCATCGGGCGACGCAGCGAGAACAACAAGTTCGCCATCGATTTTTCTCCATAGAACATCCTCTATAGAGTAAACGTTTATTTCTGACAGGTTTTTCTTCACGAGATCTGCACAGAACGGCGAGTTTTCAACACAAACCAGTTGCAACGTTGAGTATTTCTGCAGAAATCGGCAAATAGAGTACGTCCCCACGAGATTCTCTATAACCACTATGCGATTCGTATCGATCGCATGGAAAATCCCCTGTTTATTGGCTTCCAAGAGGTTATACTCCTGGCTGGACATCACAGTAACACCAATAACCTAACACTTATAACTAGCCAAATACACAAACACAACGAGTCAATTCCAGATGATAAACTCCCAGTTCAAATTGGACCATTACATCTCCGGTGCCGGTGATTGGCGTACGAAAAAAATAATAGCTAGTAAATAATTTTTCAAAAAATTTGACCGGTTTAGTCATCAGCAATGTCGAGACACTTTTCAACGAGTCTAGCGCGGAGTCGAGGCCAGAATCTCACCGAGAAGATCGTCCAGAAATACGCCGTGGGTCTGCCGGCCGACAAGCTGGTTTTCTCCGGAGACTACGTGAGTATTCGTCCTGCTCATGTGATGTCGCACGATAACTCTTGGCCTGTTGCCTTGAAATTCAAGGGACTCGGCGCCAAAAAGGTCAAGGACAACCGCCAGATCGTCAACACGCTGGATCACGACGTCCAGAATAAAACAGAAAAGAACCTGTCCAAATATCACAACATCGAGAATTTCGCCAAAGAGCAGGGAATCGACTTTTATCCGGCCGGACGGGGTATCGGTCACCAGATCATGATCGAGGAAGGATATGCCTTCCCTTCGAACCTCACAGTTGCCTCAGACTCCCACTCAAACACCTACGGAGGTATTGGGTCTCTGGGTACTCCGATAGTGAGAACGGACGCTGCCTCCATCTGGGCTACCGGCCAGACCTGGTGGCAGATTCCACCGGTTGCCAAGGTTGAGCTGAAGGGGAGTCTTCCCAAGGGAGTCACCGGAAAGGACGTGATTGTGTCGCTGTGTGGATTGTTCAACAACGACGAGGTTTTGAACCATGCTATCGAGTTTGTTGGAGACGAGATCGAGAAACTTCCAATCGACTACCGTCTGACTATTGCCAACATGACCACCGAATGGGGTGCTCTGTCTGGTTTGTTCCCTATTGACGAGACGCTGATCAAGTTCTACACCAACAGATTGCTCAGACTCGGTCCTAACCACCCAAGAATCAACAACGAGACCTTGGAAGCACTGAGACAGAACAAGCTTGCTGCCGACAACGATGCGTACTATGCCAAGACGCTGACGATCGACCTGTCGACGCTGTCTCCGTACGTTTCTGGACCAAACTCTGTGAAGGTGTCGAGCTCCTTGAGCGATCTTTCTGCCAAGAACATGAAGGTCAACAAGGCGTACTTGGTTTCCTGTACCAACTCGAGACTCAGTGACATCAAAGCTGCTGCCGATATCGTCCAGGGCCACAAGATTGCTCCGGGAGTCGAGTTCTACATTGCTGCTGCCTCTTCCGAGGTCCAGGCCGACGCTGAGGCCGCTGGTGCTTGGAAGACTCTTTTGGACGCTGGATGCATTCCTCTTCCAGCCGGATGTGGTCCATGTATTGGATTGGGAACCGGACTGTTGGAAGAAGGTGAGGTCGGAATCTCTGCTACCAACAGAAACTTCAAGGGAAGAATGGGTTCCAAAGATGCTCTTGCGTTCTTGGCCTCGCCAGAAGTGGTTGCAGCATCCGCCGTTGTCGGTAAGATTGCTGCTCCAGAAGAAGTGGACGGAAAACCATGTCCTCCAACCAGAGAGGTCAAGAAAACCGTTGTTGTGAACGAGAAGCCAGCTGGTGAAGAGGCCGTCAAGTCGTCGGGCGCTGTGCTGCCAGGTTTCCCAGAAGAGATCGTTGGCGAGCTGGTTCTTTGTGACGCTGATAACATCAACACCGACGGAATCTACCCAGGTAAATACACCTACCAGGACGATGTTCCTCGCGAGAAGATGGCTGAGGTTTGTATGGAGAACTACGACTCTGAGTTCGGAGCCAAGACCAAAGCAGGCGATATCATCATCTCTGGTTTCAACTTCGGTACCGGTTCGTCCAGAGAACAGGCTGCTACCTGTATTTTGGCCCGTGATATTAAGCTTGTGGTTGCAGGATCGTTTGGAAACATTTTCTCGAGAAACAGCATCAACAACGCTCTTCTCACGCTTGAGATCCCAGACCTGATCAACATGCTGCGTGACCGGTACAAGGACAGCGAGCCAGAGCTCACGAGAAGAACGAACTGGTTCCTGAAATGGAACGTTCCTAAATCGTTGGTTACCGTTACTGACGCCAAGGGAGCCGTCATTCTGGAACAGAAAGTCGGCGAGCTTGGAACAAACCTACAAGAGATCATCATTCAAGGAGGTCTTGAAGGATGGGTGCGGTCTGAGTTGAAAAAAGAGAACCAACAGTAGATAGACTAACTTTTTAATATATTATTTGTATCGACAAATTTACAACTTTTGCGTTTCCTTCACGATCTCATCATACCCGTCCTTGTAATCGTCGCCCTTGGAGTCTTTCTTTCCGGCACCAGGAACGATCATGACACACGAGGTTGGTCTCTTGGTAGCACCTGCGGAGCCAAGATCTTCTTTAGATGGCACAAACAAGAATGGAACGCCGTTGTCTTCGCACAGACAAGGAATATGAGAAATAACGTCGGCTGGAGAAATGTCGCCGGCAATAATAACGAGTCCTTTTTCGCCCTTTCTGAGAGCCTTGACCACCTCCTTAACACCTCTCTTGACATGTTTAGATTTCGAGGCCTTCTTGACGGTTTTTAGCACTTTTTTGTTGAGTTTCTTCGAAGCCAACGGCTTGGCAAATGGAAGCAAAGCAGGCAACCGTTTTTCGTAGTTGTCCACCTCTTCAACTTCGTCTGTCTTCTTGGCCATTATGTTTTAAAAAAAAATCAAATAAATTTTTCAGCTCTAAAAACTAATCCTTGCACCCTATTTACACGAAAATATTTATTTTGCTCCTTGTCATGTCCAGCAAGAGACTCAGCAAAATAGAAACCAAGCTAAGTTCGTCGAACCGCCGAATCACCGTTCAATTGCCGAGCGAGGAACCGTCCCCCACCGTTTCGCGGTCCAACACGGTGGTTTCCACTTCCTCGTCGTACTATCCTCCACAAGCTGCGGTCGAGGACAATACACCGATCAATTTCACATCGCCCAGACCGTTGCAACGGCCGCCATTGGACTTGTCGTTGCGAAGAAGACCCCCGCCAGCAAAGAAACCGCTCGATTTGCCCAAGATCGACCCAACTCCAGCACCCGAGCCGTTCTCCCTGGCCGATGACGTAACCCCCACAGCCCAGGGTCCGCCGACTGCAGTCGAGCCCCACGACGCAGACTTCGACACCATCAAGCTGGTCATCCCGTCGCCAAAACTAGACCCGTTCCAGCTGTCCTCGCCGTCGGAATCGTCAAATGTCTCGGAAACGGAAACTCCAACAAAAGAGCTCTTTTCGGGCAAGATATCCTCTAATAGACTGACGAATTTCGACGACGAAGAGGAAACAGCACACCAATTGGCAGATGAACATTCCGAGGATGAGCCAGAAAACGAGCTCTTCTTCTCGCCGCCGCCAGCTTACCATTTTCAGAACCAGTCGTCAGAGTCCGACCAGTTCTACGACGTTCACGAAAACAGGTCCAGCATGAGTACCGACCGCTCTATCGAGGACGAGCTTTATCCGACCGAGGCGCGGTCGGCGACACTACGTGTTCAGAACGCAGACTCAGAGTCCACGGATAACAACCAGTCCGAGAACTCTGGGCCTTTGTACCGTCAACGGTCGATGGACTCGAAACCGGTGACTATCCCGGGTTCCGAGGACGACGAGGACGACGAAGACGGAAGTGGGGTGAGTTTTATCGCCAAGTCGCCGTACTACACGCATTTCGACCTCGAAGACAAACCTGCTCCCAAAATGGTGGTAAAAAACCCGTCCCCGGAAAATACCCCTGTTCAGACGTACGACCGCAGAGAAGCGCCCGTGGTGGTTCCATTGTCGCACTCGAACGTCGTACACACAGCACAGCCTCACACAGGAACCACGGTGCCCACCAGAAGACCACCACCAGACAATCCATCCACGGGTCGGGGAGCTAGAGCCGTGTCGATGTCCACGGCGCAGCCAGAGTTGTTTGAGAATGTCAAGGGATTCCAGCCGAAACCGGACAAACCAGCCGACGAAGACGACACACAGGAAAAGCTCGATCTGCACAAACCGTCATTGTACGTTTACAAGCTGCGAACAGGGTCCAAGACGAGCTACATTGACAGAGACCCGGATCCTAGAAGACTGCCTATTGCCATTAGAAAAGTGAAGGGCCAGCATTCGCGCACGTCGTCGCGACAATCGACGCTATTTTCGTACCAGGCGGCCATCAAGCACGGCGTACAACACTCGGGACTGCTTGCGTCGGAGATCGACGACGACGAGCTGCCAGACTCGAAACTGAGCCATTCCAAAGGCCAGACCAAAATTCCTCAGGACCCAGATGCAGAGGTTCTGGAGGTGACGGACCAACTCAAACGACTGACCGCGGCAGACGAGGGTCTGCACCGGATGGCCAGCGTTCGCAGCGTCCAGCCTCCGCAATCGCGGCTCAAGCTGTTTGTTGCAAACCCTGACGAGTAGTAGTTTATAGAAGTTTGCGTCGGCGACGCGACGATAAGTTTCTATATTAATGGTTTTGCTATTGGAAAAAAAAATACGTGTCGAACAAAAACAACACTCTCTTCATGTCTGCGGATGTTGCGTACACGTTGGTTTACGAAGTAAGTAAGACGGAAACGGGGAATTACTAACCGCCAGCCCAACACAGCCAACAAGACTTCGGTCAATGAGTTCAAAAATCAGCTGGAAAAGGGCGACGACGAGCGGAAAATCGAGGTGATGAAACAGATCCTCATCACGATGCTCAATTCGGACCCAATGCCTGGTTTGTTGATGCACATCATCCGGTACGTGATGCCTTCCAGAAACAAGGATCTGAAAAAGCTACTGTATTTTTACTGGGAGATCTGTCCAAAGTACGAACAAGACGGCAAGCTTAAGCACGAGATGATCCTTGTTTGCAATGCTATCCAGCACGACCTGCAACATGCAAACGAGTACATCCGTGGTAGCACGTTGCGGTTTTTGTCCAAGTTGAAAGAGCCGGAATTGCTCGAACCTTTGGTTCCTTCGTCGAGACAGTGTTTGGAACACCGTCATGCTTATGTGCGGAAAAACGCAGTCTTTGCCATCTATTCCATCTTCAAGGTCTCGGACCATTTGATTCCCGACGCTGCAGAGTTGCTGACCGACTTCTTGGCCGTCGAGAACGACCCAACTTGCAAGCGCAACGCCTTTGTTTGTCTTGGTCAGCTGGATAGAGAGGCCGCTTTGAGATTCATCCAATCCCAGGTGGTTTCCTCGATCGACCCATCCATCCAATTGGCCATTGTCGAGTTCATCAGAAAGGACGCCGTCGCTGCTCCGGAACTCAAGCCCCACTACTTACACATCATATCGGAACTGCTCGAGTCGTCCAACAACGCGGTCATCTACGAGGCCGCCTCCACGTTGAGTGTTTTGTCTAACTCCCAGGTCGCCGTCACCAGTGCTGCTTCCAAGTTCATCGAGCTGGCCGTCAAGGAGCCAGACAACAACGTCAAGCTCATTGCTCTGGAGATTGTCGACGAGCTCCACCGCAAGAACGAGGATCTCTTGCATGACATGTGTCTCGACATTCTGAGAGTTCTTTCCTCGCCTTCGCTCGATGTCAGAGAGAAGGCTATCGAATTGACATTGTCGCTGGTGTCAAGCAAGAACGTGGACGACGTTGTCAAGCTGCTCAAGAAAGAGCTGCAAAAGACAACCACTTCCAACGAAGAAAAGAGTACCGAGTACAGACAGCTATTGATCTCGGCCATCCACACATGCGCCATCCAGTTCCACGAGGTGGCAGCCAGTGTTGTTGATCTGATTCTAGACTTCATTCCAGAGCTCAACACCACTGCCGCTTCTGAGGTGATCACGTTTGTCAAGCAAGTGGTTGAGAAGTTCCCAGACCTCAGAAGCAGTATTATCCAGAGACTCATCATTTCCTTGAAAACCATCAAGAGCGGAAAAGTGTTCAGAGGCACCCTGTGGATCATCGGAGAGTACTCTTTGGACGAAAAAGATATCCAGTCGGCATGGAAGGCCATCAGATCGAGTCTGGGAGAGATTCCTATCTTGTCTTCCGAAAGACAAGGTCATGGCGATGACGAGGAGGACGAGGTCAAGACGAACGGTCATTCTGGTCCAAAGATTCTTGCAGACGGTACATATGCTACAGAGGTTGCTCTTGGCGACTCTTCAACGTCCAACGGTTTTGGCCACACCAAACATCCTCTCAGAGCTTTATTGTTAGAAGGAGACTTCTATCTGGGCTCTGTTCTTGCATCTACCTTGGTGAAGATGGTGCTGAGATTGAGTAAGATCTCTTCGAGAACAGATCTGTTGAACGCACTCAAGGCCGAGGCGATGTTGATAATGGTTTCTATTTTGCGTGTTGGCGAGTCTTCGATCGTGAAGAAGCGCATTGACGAGGATTCGGCAGAGAGAATCTTGTCGTGCGTGAGATTTTTGAGTGAGGACGGAAAGGACGAGTCATTGATTGACGAGGCGTTCCTGGACGACACTAAGGAGGCTTACAAGCAGCAGCTTGCACTGGAGGCCCAACAACAGAAGGACAAGGAGCTGGCCAATCTGCAGAACAATGCGGAACAGGTTGACGACGCTATTGTGTTCAGACAGTTGAGCACCAAGGACAAGGTCGAGGACGTTGACCAGCAGGACCTGACTCTTGCTGCGGGCAACACGGTCGTCAAGGAGGACCTTTCGTCGAGACTGAAGAAGATCAAGCAGCTGACCGGGTTCTCGGACCCTGTTTATGCTGAGGCATACGTTAAGGTGCACCAATTCGACGTGACGTTGGACGTTTTGCTTGTTAACCAGACCACCAGCACGTTGCGCAACCTGAGTCTGGAGTTTGCCACGTTGGGCGACCTGAAGGTGGTGGACAAGCCAACGACCCAGAACATTGGTCCACACGGGTTCCACCGTGTACAGACCACCATCAAGGTCACGTCTGCGGACACCGGTGTGATCTTTGGAAACATCGTTTACGACGGACAACACGCTGACGAGAACACGATTGTGATTCTGTCGGACTTGCACGTGGACATCATGGACTACATCAAGCCTGCTACGTGTACGGAGGCCCAGTTCAGAAAGATGTGGAACGAGTTCGAATGGGAGAACAAGATCAGCGTCAAGTCGAACCTGGCCACCTTGAAGGAGTATCTGGACGAGCTTTTGGAAGGAACCAACATGAACAACCTGACTCCGGGCGCTGTTATTGGCGAGGAGTGTCAATTCCTATCTGCAAACCTGTACTCTAGGTCTTCGTTTGGAGAAGATGCTCTGGCCAATCTGTGTATTGAGAAGAGCGCCGACGGCCCGATTGTGGGCCATGTGCGGATCCGGTCCAAGGGCCAAGGTCTGGCTCTCTCGTTGGGCGACAAGGTGGCTGCCATTGCTCGCAAAACCAGCCAGGCTGTGGTTGCACAGGTGTAAGAAAAAATATAGAGGTTTACGTAAACCTGCACGTATTAATTTGTTTTCCATGGATCTTATTACCAAATACAAAGCGTTGTGCGAATACGACGTTCCCGTGGCCATTCGGATCCCATTTTTGGACCGAATTGTCCAGGACCGTTCGGGCAGCAAGCTGCTGGAGGTTCTAGACGTGTTGGTGTTTGGAGTTCTGTTCTACCACGGCCTGTTTCTTATTTTACGGACACTTTGTCTGTTGCCTCAATTGCGCCGGCTGGTACCCACGAGCTCGCTGCGGCTGGACTTAAGCATGCGCATTGTTTCTTTCATCCAATCGACGCTGATAGTGGTGCTCGGTCTGCCCTTGTTTGGCAACAAGTACCTGGAACAGGACCGGGTGTTTGCAACGACTCCGTATTCGGAGGTTTACAGCACGTTGGCCGCAAGCTACTTTGTCTGGGACACGTTCATGTCGTTGTGGTATCTGAAACACTTCGGGGTCGGGTTCCTGGTGCACGGCGTGATGGCCAGCACGGTGTTCCTGTCGGGAATCCGCACTCAGATGATCCATTACTACAGTCCGATCTTCCTGCTGTTTGAGGTGTCGACGCCGTTTTTGAACATCCGGTGGCTCGCCATCAACTTCCCGAAGTTCGTGCCGTCGTGGGTCGAGCTCGTCAACAACGTGGTGCTGATCTGGACCTTCTTCCTTGCCAGAATCTGCTGGGGCTGGTACCAGATCTACCGCCTGGCATGGGACCTGTACGACGCGCGCAACGACCCGCGTTTTGTCGTGTCGACCGCGTTCATCATCCTCGGCACAAACTTCGTGCTGGACGTGCTCAACGCGTTCTGGTTCAGCAAAATGCTCACCGTGGCCATCAACACGCTTACTGGAAAACGCGAGAAACTCAAGCTCATGTGACTCTATACATTATATGTCGGCATACTTCAAATACTCCTCCGTCTCCAAATACTCTTTGGCTGTAGCAATGTCCAGCTGGATGTCCTTGATCAACGCTTCCATCGAGACATAGTCCAGCTCCGGCCTCACGTACCCGAGAATGTTGAAGTTGAGCTTGCACCCGTAGAAGTCCGACTTGAACTCGTGCAGGATGTGAAGCTCGCACGCTTTCTTGCTGTTCTTGAAGAACGGGTTCCATCCAAGCGACATCACCATGGGCAGCACTTGCAAATCGACTGGCCGCAGAAACTCGCCGTACGTGAAGTCGACCTCGCTCTTGCCGTCGTGACGCGCCACCTTGTGCGTCTCGCGCACCGTGGACGGCTTTATCAGACGAACGTACCCGAAATACACCCCGGTGTCCAGACTGTTCAACTCAGGCTCCTGGTCAACAGGAACGTTGGCGGTGGGGATGCCCATCTCGCTGGAGCCGCGGCCAAACCCAGCAACCACGGTCGTGTTGCGGATCACAATGGGGAACGGCGGTTGCACCGTCGCAGGGATCTTGGGCCGGGACATGGAATAAATACTGTAAAGGCGATAAGCTACTAATTTTTTCAGTGATCGGCGAAATTTCTAGTCTATCTATCAAAAGATTCGGGCTATTTTATTGATTAGGCACGTCCTGCGCCATCATGCGTTTGAATTTCTTGAGCCCCCCACTCGAGTGCCAATCGTCCCCCATCAGCCGCAGACGCGCGGCCCCGCTGTACTTGCGCTCAGCCACACTGGCCGTCCAGTCCATACATGTCACCTGTAGCAGCTTCTGGCCCTGTTTCCCATAAGCTTGACACATCTCGTGCGCACACGCCTCCCACCACGCACCAGCCACGGCAAAGTGCACGTTGGTCACCAGCTCCATCGGCGTGTTCAGCAGCCGGCTCTGCAGTCTCCACGCGTTCGAAATCGGCAACGGGTGCTGTGTCTGCCCCACATCGCACCGGAAAAACGTTGTGTCGATCGTGTACCGACACATCACAGCGTAAACAGTGGCTATCCCCGACAACCGCTCGTCGTACTGGATATCTTCCTCCCACTTGCCGTCGCCCTTGCGTTTCCAGCCCATCCGTAGCCGGCCCTCCTCCGTGTCGATCTTGCACGTGTATCCAATCACCAGAGGACACTTCTTCACGAACCGTGCCAGCAAATAGTAACTGAACTCGGGGAAAACAACCATCAGGTTCAATGCCAGCTTTGCCAACGGAACAGAGCTGTCTGGCTTCACCGTGACCTCTGTTTCCGCCTGACTGACAATCGCCTTGGCCATGAAGTTCAGCAGCCACTTGTACGCGAGCTCGTTGGTCTTGGCCTCGGTCACCAGCTCGTAGATCTGCGAAACAATCCGCTGCCATTGCGGCTCGCTGTTGGTCAACTGGCCAAACTTCGGGTTGATCTTCCGCTTCTGCGCGCCCACGATCTTTTTCAGTCCGTTGTTGGCCGGGTCCTTCAACTTCTCCACCACGTTGGCCTTGATATCCACAATATCCTGCTTGTACTTGAAAAACAGCTGCTCAACAGCCAGAAAGTTTGTCTTGCCCTTCTCGGCCTTCTTGGCGGCCTCCAAAGCGGCCCGCTTGCGCTCCTCCTCTTCCTTCTTCTTCTTCTCCTCGTCCAGCCGTTTCTGCTGCTCCAATTCTATGCGTTTCTGTTCTTCGAGCTGTTTCCTCTTCTCTTCCGCCAGCCGACGTTCTTCCTCCTCTTTGCGGCGACGTTCTTCCTCCTGGCGCTTCCTGAGCTCCTCCAGCCGTTTCTGTTCCTTGATCTGTCGAATTCTCTCGTTCTCCGCCGCCTCAAGCTCCAACACCCGTTTTCTACTTTGCTCAAGCCTCTTGGAGACCCTTTGGGAGTAATACTCGGAGAAATCGAACTTCTCGTCCTCCACCAACTCCGCGTCAATCGGACCAGCCTCCTCGCCATCGTCAACCCGCCCAATCCGCACAACAACCGGCTGTTTCTCCTCCTCCTCGTAAACCTTACTAACATACTCAAACCGGTTCTTCAGGTTCACCGACGCCAGAATCTGGCCCAGGTCCTCCAGATCGTCCTCAGACTCCGTCAAAGAGTCGTAGTCCGACCCCACGTCGCCAAACTCGTACTGCAGTCGCTCGTCTCTGTGAGGAGTGAATCGCATGTCAACAAGGACTCCACCGGGTAACAAGAAAAATAGTATATAGAAATTTTTCAAGCCTTTTTTCTTCGGTTGTATTTGTTCGCCATGTCGTTAGTCCAACTCAGACATTTCTCGCACACAGCCGTTGCGGGAGGAAAGCCGGGCTGTTCGCTGGTGAAACCTGTTCATCATCGCGTGGCCATCGACAAAAGACGGTTATCTCCACGGTTCCCTGAACTGAAGTATTCTCCCACAGACATTAGATCTCCAAAGTTCCATCCAAAGTTGGTCAAACAGGACCGACTGAACGACCATTACCACAACACGTTGGCGTCCGACTTGCTGCTGATCAATTACAAACACGACCAGAAAGACTTCGAGGGTGTCAAGAGAAGAAAATGGGACATGACGTCTCCCTACCATATCAATAGACCGCTGCAGAAACCAAAGGGCCAGGTTGTTCCGTCGCCGGGGATCGAGAAACGCACCTGGAAGAACGTTCCGCGGTTCGAGGCCGTGACAATCAACTGTTTTGTGGACGAGGCCAAGGCCAATCCTGCTGCTGCGATCGCTGCCCAGTTGCAGCTCCAGCAGATCACGGGAGTCAAGGTCACGCCGATCTACGCAAAGACCAACGTCCCGACCTGGAAACTGCGGCCAGGAATGGTGATGGGCGGTAAAGTCAGACTCACCGGATTGGACGCACACCAGTTTGTCTCAACACTGACCGAACTCGTTCTGCCAAGAGCCAGAGAGTTCCGGGGTATCAACAACACCACGGGTGACCAGTACGGAAACATTGCGTTTGGAATCAGCTCGGAAACCGCAAGACTGTTCCCGGAGATCGAGTACAACCAGGACTCGTGGCCACAAACGTACGGGTTCTGGCTCACCTTGCACACGAGCGCGCAGCTGGACTACGAGGCACGGACTCTTCTTAGTGGATTCGGGTTCCCATTCTACGGAAACGAAAAGACTCCTCTCTTTTTGAGACAGGCCTGAATTGTAAATAGAATATTTTCTTAGGTAAAAATAGTTAATTTGACATATAATAGACCCTTTTCCTTCCAAACAGCAATTCATGCTTGTGGACTTATTGTTATGAGCTTTGATGGATGGTCCAATTCGCCGTTCTTGTGTCCGGTTCCGTTGAACGATCCTTCGACGATTTGTCAGTTCATCAGGGACAACTGTGACCGTGATAATTTCAAGTACTTGGAGCTTTACTATTGTTCCGGAATGGACGCCGTGGTGCCCGGCTGGTTACTGGCGCTTGTGTTTCTTGCGCTGATTGGCATGCTGTTTTTCGTTCTTGGGTTTTTGGCCTCAAACAGTTTAACTCCCAACCTTACTTATCTTGCTAGTTTGCTCAATCTGGGGGAAAAACTAGCTGGTGTCACTCTGTTGGCCTTTGCCAACGGATCACCAGATATATTGTCAACATGGGTGGCCATGAACTCCGGGTCTACAGGATTGGCCATTGGCGAGCTGTTGGGGTCCGCAAACTTTGCTCTCACCGTTGTCATTGGAACAATGGCCATCGTCAGACCGTTCACCGTCGATTACGCCTCGTTCGTCAAGGACGTGACGCTGTTTCTTGTTCTGATCGTGCTGTCGTTGCTGTTTCTGTTTGATGGCAAAATCAAACTGTACGAAAGCGTGGCCATGTGTCTGTTGTACGTCATCTACATCGCCGTCAACTTCTTCAGCCCGGAAAAACTGCTCGCAGAGACGCATCCCAAGCTCCACGACGGAACAAGCGCAGAAACACAGTCCACGGCCGTCGACGCGTTCGACCAGAACATTGAGAGTCTCGAGTCCGGCCGCAGTTTCCGGCTTTCGCTCGCCGACTCCATCAAACTCGCATTCAGAACGTGCGATCTCAACCACCTGAAAAACTACTATAGAGCAGACGACAGCGAGTTCCAACACTCGCCAGATAGACAGCGGTCTCCGGAGATCCAGGTTCCTCAGGTTCCTGCGCAGATCGTCATCACGCCCGCCGAGGACGACGAGTTCGTGCCGCAGGAACCCCAGAGCGACGGCATGCTCACGCCGCCAGACCTCTCGCGCTCGTCGTCGGTCTCGTCCAACGCGTCCATCTCCACGATCCTGTCTGCGGAGCCCGTTCCGGTCACGTGGAAAAGCAAGCTCGTGCCCAACTACGGCCGACTTGTCTCGCGAAACAAACCGTTCGAGTCCATCTACAACATCGCCACGCTCCCGCTCGCATGTCTCGTCAACGTGGCCGTGCCTACCCCCGCCAACTCGCCCAAAGAGCTTGCCTTGAACGTGCGGCTGTTCCATTTCCAGCTTGTGCTGGCCCCCATGGTGCTGCTGCACCAGGTGTCCGTGAGAACGGTGGAGATCGCTGCGGTTCTTGAACTGCTCAACGTGCTGGTACTCTCGACGTGGAACTCGCTCTACGTGCGCATCTTCCCCGCGGTCTCGTCCATAGCCGGGTTTCTGGGCGGCCTGAACCTCATCACGGCCGTGGCCGCGGAGATCGTCGCGCTGCTCAAGAACATCGGCGTCATCTACCGCGTCAACGAGTCATTACTCGGCCTCACTATTCTCTCCATTGGAAACTCCATCGGAGACCTCATCACCAACAGCACGCTGTCGTCGCTCGGACTTGCTCTCACGGGCCTCCACGCGTGTTTCGGGTCGCCGTTGCTGTACATTCTGCTCGGTGTTGGGCTCAACTCGCTGATCGTCAACCTCCGAACCGGCGAGTCGGTCGAGTTCCAGGTGGACGCCCATCTCAAGCTCTCGAGCTTCAGTCTCATCACCATCCTCCTGCTGTATATTGTAGTGGTGCCGCTGCGCAACTGGAAAGTCGACAAGCTTGTTGGATACCTCGCCGTCCTGTTCTGGGTGGCTGTCACGATGCTGAATATCTATTTTATAAACTAATGTACATTGTCCGCGATTAAAAGTAGTTTTTTGCAACCACCCCGTCCAGATACTGTTGCAACTTTGCGCGGTCTGGCTCGCCCAGCAGGCCCATCGCCTGCTCATAGACGGTCTGCAGCTTGGCTGTGTCTGGAAAATGCAAGTAATGGAAATCGACACGGGCTTTCCAGTAGAAAAAACTGGTCTTTGACGAGTACTTCTCGAATAACGGCTCCAATTCAACGTTGTACGACAACAGTTCCACAAACAAGTAGTCGAACTGCGACTCGTATTCAGTTTTGACCACCTCGTCCAGCTTCGACTCTACCAGACCAAGCAGGTTCTTGTTCTTCGCCAGATGTTCCACTTGCAACAGCTTGAGCCAGCCGTCTAGCGAGTTTGGATACAATTGCAGCAATTCCAGAATCACCGCCTTGGCAGCAGAAACGTTCTTTGTAAGCACTTCCAGATCGGTCAATCGTATGCGAAGCTTGACGTTCTCGGTCGAACAGTGGTAAATGCCCTTGATTAAGATCTTTTTCGCTTTTTCCACCTGGTTCAGGTTCAAATAGTAATTGCTATACTTGATCCAGAAAAATGGATAATATGCCGTCACAATCAAACACCGTCCGTAAACAGTGTCGATGAGAGCTCTGTTTGTCTTTGTGATTGTCGAGTCCGAGTCTCTGTGGGAAGCCTTGAGAGCCAGAGTCTCGCAATATTCCAGATATTGCACCCAATTATGGAGCTCTTTCCTTGACAGCTGGTCGGTGCTGAAATACGGCCGTGAAATCAGTTTCTCGAACCGCCATAGCTGGAAAACGTGGTACTGTGTCGTGATAAACAGGTCCATGTACCGTTTGCGCAGGTCTTTTTTTAGGTCCGAAAACGTTCTGTCGTCTTTGCGGCCTATCAGATTGGGCCATTTGAGTTTGTACACCGACATGAGGTCTGACTTGGTGATGAGATACTTGATTGTGTCGAGGTTGGCCTCGTCGATCAGTTTGAAAAACTGTTTGATGTATTTGGAGTAATGGTACAACGGGATCTCGATGATCCGCCGGAGAAGATAATGGTACTCTTTTTGTTTTCTCTGTGTCTTGAGGTACTGGAGGTACTTGTCGTAGATCAGATGGGCGTAGAAATGGTTTCCAACCGCGATTCTGGCGGATTCGAAGCGGTCTATTATTGTTTCGTACAAGGGTTCAGTTTCCACGGTAAAATCCAGGTAATTTGACCAAACCACGATCGATTTCGGTAGAACCTGAACTGCCCGCTCGTAGACGTCCTTTGCATCAGTTGTAGAACCTTTATGGAACAAATAATCAGCATAATTGCACCAATATTGCTCGCAATACGGGAAGTTGACAAGAAGGTTCTCGTATGAAATGGCCACTAATCGCGCGGAAATAGCGTCTTTTTTCAGCTTCAACGACACATCAACAAGCTTCTCCCAGTTTCGAAAGTCCAACGAGTGGCTATGAAGGTATTTCGACAACTCCAGCCATTCTTTTGGCAGGTCGTTTATGTTTAGGTCCGACATGGGAATAAATAATTGGAAAAAAAAAGTTCCTCTTAATAATATTGGTATTCATGTCGGGACGCAAAGTATTCAAGGACCTGGTGCACGAATTGCAGACGGTTGCACAGAAATCGTTTGACAACCGGTCAAAGGACGTGCTGAAGAAACAGGACGCTTTGATCCAGTACAAACGGATGCAATACGTCCAGAGTGGTAAGGTTCTTAGTAAAGAAGAAGATGCCCAGCTTGTTGAACAGGTGAAACAGTCTACCAAGTTGCAAATGCCACAGATCAACGTGGAACTTATTAAACAGCTCGACTCAGACGATTTGAACTCCACACAAACGCAACATTTGCAGAATATGGTGGACTTCCTTAAAAGTCAAAGAGAATACGTCGAATTGTTGGAAAGATACAACCCGGGAATCAGCAACACCCAAACAGACAAGGTGCGCAAGACGGCCAGAAGAGTCGGTTTGGAGGTCCCCGAGTAAATAGTCGAAAGTCCAAAGATCGTTTTTTAGCCTATATATATCAACCAGCATGCTCAACAACGGTGCTAATGAGCTTTCCGTCCTTGACGGTGTGTTTGAACTGTTCGGGAACGGCCAGCTCCTTCAAATCGTCGTCCTCAGGAACGTTCACGTTCAACGAGGTTGTAGAAGAAGTAAAGATCTCGGTGTGAAGAGACGTCTTGGAAAGATACAACGAGCCAGACTCGGACTGGTCAATCGAAATCAATGGAACAGAGTCGGTGATTTGCACCTCAAAGCTCTTGGACTTGATCACGTCGATTCCACTCACCGCCTTCTCAACAACAAGTCCCACCTTGGTGGTGTCATTCAAAGTGATGGCATTGACCTTACCTTTGATCTGGATGATGGCAGAAACACAGTTGGTGATAAAGACGCTCTGTTGCATCTCTCCGTCGATGGTGATGATATCTGGGACGTTTTCGAAGTTGGAGATGATCCACTTGTTGTCCACGAGCTCCTTCTTTGGCGGTTTCTTCTCCTTGGACGGTTTCTCGCTCAAACTGGCCGGTTTCTTTGGCGGAACAGGAACAGATTTCTTTGCAGGAACCGCCGACGAGGCTCTGAGGTCTGGGTTCTTGTGTGTCATCTGGCTCTTGTCGACTTTCTTGAGTCCCGAGGTGATGGCCTCGCCTTTGTTGAGTTCCGAGAACACGGCGTTGATTCCGACTGGTTCGGCGTCCTTGGTTTCCTTGGCCTCAAACACAGAAGCTGGGGGAGGTGGAGGTGGAGGAGGAGGACCCCCGGCGGCTGGAGGGGCAGGTGCAGCAGGAGCGGCCGGGGCGGCTGGGGCAGAAATACCTTTCAGGTTCTCCTCGAAGCTTCCACCCTTAGCGTTCCAAGTAGGGCCTGTGGTGTGGAACTTCTTGACATAGTCCTTAAGACCGTCAAACACCCGGATGAACGAACGGGCCCATTCGACCTGGTCTGGGTTGGAATCTTTGAACTCCTTGAGGATTCTATTGGACCAGAACTGCGCAGAGTCCTTGAAGTCGGGAATGTACGAGACGGGTGTGGTCACGCAGATCCAACCCAAAGCAGGGATTCCCTCGGCGACGGTGTTGAGGTTGTTGAAGAACTTAGACGTGCGGTTGGCGTCCTTGAGCTCGACGGTTTTAACGATGACCTCATTGATTGGGGCCAGTGCAGATTGGAAAGCCGGGTCGGAAGAATCGACCGGCTTGGACTTGGAAGCCGCCTGCAGGAACGTACGCTCTGCCAGAAGAGCTTTCTGGAACAGAACGGCCTGCTCAGCCACAACAGCGTCGATTTTCTCGGAAACCTTCACGAAAGGAGACACGTACTCCTCCAGAAATTCGTCAAAGGCCTCAATGGCAGGCGAGAGTTTCTCTGGCTCGGCAATTGCCTTCTGGTCGGCGGTTCCCGGTAACGCGGCAGCCGCAGGTGCAACAGAGCCGTCAACAGACTTGGGTTGCGCGTTGACTGCGTTTTCCTGGAAGATGGTCACATCCTCTAATCTGGAAGCGGCGGCCTCCAATCTGGGCGGTTAGACGAAATTAAGCGCCAGAACAACACTTACCGTTTGAGCAGCGTGACCAAATTGTAGCCATGAACTGAAAATGATTCGTTAGACATTGAAAGGACAAGTAAATATACACAGGGTAAAAAAAATAAATCAAATAAAATAAAAAGGCCGTTCAAAGTTGGACATGTCGAGCAAACAGGCCGAAGAAGAATTGCCGCCACGCCCAGCGTATCCGATTCCGGACTTTGGTCCAACGGGAAAGCTGGAGCCGTACTATGGCTCGTACGAAACAGGTGTTCCTATTGCCATTGATCTGGGTCGATCCACCACGAGGTTTGGTCTTGTTAAGGAGTCGGACCCAAATAATGTGTTTCCGACACTGATTTCGCGGTTTAAAGACCGTAGAGTCAACAAAATGGTCACTCTTGTTGGAAATGAGATGTTTTTGGATACAATTTCGAAATCCAACATCCGTTCTGCGTTTGATGGTCCAATGATCAACAATTGGGACGTTATTGAGAAAGTGCTTGATTACGGGTTTCTTCATAGCGGAGTCAGTTCTCAGGGAAGAGTGGACAATCCGGTGGTGATGAACGAAGTTCTGGCCACTCCTTTGCAACAAAGAGCCGGTATGATGGAGCTTTTGTTTGAAGGTTTCGAGATTCCCAAAGTTGCCTTTGGAACAGACTGTTTATTCAGTTATTACCAGAACGGAGGGTCGACTGGTTTGGTTATTGGTACAGGACATGATGCTACACACGTGATTCCTGTTGTTGACCAGAAACCTGTTCTTTCCATTGCCAAGAGAATTGACTGGGGTGGACGTCAGGCCACAAACTATCTGATGGACTTTATTGGACTCAAGTATCCGTATTTTCCAACACGAATCACGCCGTTCCAGATGGAGAAGATCAAACAGGACTATTGTTATGTTTCGAAAGATTATGGCACAGAGGTGAGCAATTATCTGAGCTTGGACAATCTGGAGAAGAACGATATCGTTTTGGAGGCTCCGTTTACAGAGATTATTAAGCATCAAAAGACGGAGGAGGAGCTTCAGATAGAGGCCGAGCGGAAACGGGACCAGATCAAAAAATTGCACGAACAGGCCAGAGAACGTCGTCTGGAGAAACTTGTTCAAAAAGAAGCAGACTTCACCTATTACACGAACCTGAAAGACCGCATGAAGAGCATGAACAAGCGTGAACAGATTGATATTCTGAGAACAGAAGGGTTTGACGACGAAGCCGATATGAACAAGTATATTGGGAACCTGGAGAAGTCGTTGAAAAAGGCCAGAAACGAAGATATTGGTGAAAACACATCGGACGAGCCACCCTCGTTCCCGTTGATCGATGTTCCTGATGAGCAATTGACAGAGGAGCAGATCAAAGAGAAACGGAAACAGAGACTGATGAAGGCCAACCATGATGCTCGGATCCGTGCCAAACAAGAAAAAGAACTGGCTCAGAAAGAAGCTGAAGCTGCCGCTGAAAAGGATAGAAAACGCCGTGAAACAGATCTTTCTGGATGGATAGCCGAAAGAAGGGAGAAACTTGAGAAACTCACTCAGAACGTGAAGGAGAGAAAGCGGTTGAAGGAGGAACTTACCGATAGAAAGAGCCGTGCTGCTCAGAACCGGATGAAAAACATCGCATCTCTTGCTGACGAGGACAGAGGATCTGGTAGACGGAAGAAGGCCGGAAACGTTACGATCGACAATGATCCTAACGACACGTTTGGAGCAAACGACGACGATTGGGCGGTGTATAGAGATATCGCCCGTGGCGAGGACGACGATGCAGAGGAGGAAGAACAACAGGAGATTTTGAAGATCGAAGAAGAGTTATTGGAGTTTGATCCAGATTTCACCGTTGAAGATACTTTACAAAGACAGTACGACTGGCGCAACTCGTTGATCCATCGGTTTCTGAGAGGTCCACGCAATTTCGACCCAGAAGACCAGCATCAGCAGCACCAGATCCATATCAACGTTGAGCGGATCAGAATCCCGGAAATCATGTTCCAGCCGTCGATTGCTGGTGTTGACCAGGCGGGCATTGTAGAGCTTTCGGAAGACACTCTTTTGCGCAGACTTCCTGGAGAAACTGGATTTTCTGGAGACGATAGCAACGAGATGATGAAAGACGTGTTTGTCACTGGAGGTCAGTCGTTGTTCCAAAACTTTCAAGAACGTTTGGAAACGGATCTTCGTGCCGTTCTGCCTGTTGGATCTCTGTTGAAAGTTAGAAGAGCCCAGGATCCATTGCTGGACGCCTGGAGAGGAATGGCCAAATGGTCGGTCAGTGAACACTCAAAGAACAGCTACATTTCCAGACAGGAATACGCCGAGTACGGCGCAGAATACATGAAGGAAAACAACATGGGCTGGGTTAAGCTTTGAATTAGAACACGGTTAAAGGTATACATGATTACTTGCGCAACTTCTTGTCAATATCCACAGAGTTTGGGTTCACACCCTTCTTCTTGAGACTGCGCTTGATGGACTCTTTCATGATCTCTGTGTCTGCCTCGTCGTCGAACTCTGCAAAGTCGTTATGGATCAGACTCTCCTCGGCGGCCTCGGCGTCTGCTGCCAATTCCTTCTCCTTGGCACCGGCCTTGGAGACATCGTGAGGACTGGCCGCAATCTTCTGGAACTTGGCCACAAAGAACCCGTCAACGTTGTATGCATGTGGATAGTATCTTCTTGCGAGCGAGAGCTTCTGGTTGAAGTGTTTTCCTCTGTACGATGTGAATGCGGGCTTTCCAATGGCCAGACCTGTGTCGACGAGTTTCACGTTTGGTCTTTTACGCAGAGCGTAATCGACAACGGCCTCGTTCTCATCAACAGCAACGGAACACGTGGAGTACACAATCACTCCTCCCGTAGCGGAATGAGAGTCGACCGAGTCGATGGCCGACAACAGCAGCTGTTTCTGGAGATGAGGAATCTGGATAAAGTCTTTCTCTGTTCTGTTGACCTTGACGTTCTGGTCCTTGGCAATGACTCCTGTTCCGGAACATGGGGCGTCCAACAACACTCTGTCGAAGCCACCAATCACTTTAGGAAACTCGCGCGCGTCGTAGTTACAAACGACAGTGTTGGTGCAACCCAGACGGTGGATGTTGGCAATCAGCGACTTGGTTCTGGCCTTGTTGGCGTCGTTGGCAAACACACACCCGGTGTTCTTCATCAGTGCAGAGATGTATGTGGTTTTTCCTCCTGGAGCAGCAGCCATGTCCAGCACACGCTCGTTTTCTTGCGGGTCCAGGGCCATCACCGGCAAGAACGACGAGGCCGCTTGCAAAATGTAATGTCCGGCCAGGTATTCTGGAGTGGCTCCGATCGGGACCTGCGAATCAAAGATCTGCAACCCGACCTTGGTCCATGTTCCAATCGGTTGCAAATTGACTCCCTTGTTGACCAAAGTCTGTGCCAGCTCTCTGCGTCTGGTCATCAGCGTGTTTGTTCTGATACTCACTGGTCTGTGGATCTCGTTGGCCTCGAAGAACTCGATGGCTTCAGATGGCGAGAACAAGTTGAACAGTTTCTCGGCCAAAAACGGTGTGTAGCCAAAATACTCACAAATGTCACTTATCAACCGATCCATGTACTCTGTCCGGCTTCTTCCTTCTTCGGCCAGGTTTTTGAAGTCTTCCAACACCTTGACAACCTCCAACATCCGGGTTCTCACCATAGTCAAGTCGGAACCGCCCGTCTTCATCTCCTCTTCCTCCTGCTCCGTAGGCAGAACCTTGGCTCTTGGATTCTTCATGCTTTCCTCCAACAACTCGTCCTCGGCGTCCTGCTGTTCCTGCAACGCCTCCTCGTCCAACTTCTTGGAGTACTCCTCCATGTTGGCGGCGTTGATGGCGTCCATGTCGTCGCTGTCGTCGTCCGAAAACATTGGTCTTTCTCTGTCTTCTTCGTCAGAGTCCACAAACTCGTCTTGCAAATCGTCGTCCTCATCGTCGTCCAATTGCTCGAATCCTTGCAGATCCTCCTCTTCGTCATCGTCAAAAAGCGACTTCTTGGCAGCGGAGAGCTCTTCCAGATCCACCTCGGGCAGATCCTTTGGGTCCTCGTACTCTTCTTCCTCAACGGCCTTTTTGGCTCTCTTGGCCGTCTTTTTCACCGGCTTCTCCTCTGGAACGGCCTTCCGCTTCGTCTCCTTCTTAGCTGGCTTCTTCTGGAACTCCTCCAAGGAAGGAGGCATTCCCTGCTTGTTTCTGGCCCGTCTTCCCATATCCAGTAGATAATAAATATTTTTTCAAATTTTTCACTAAAATAAATTTTTTGGTCCCGTTTTCAGAGGTGGAGAGGTGAAAAAAAAGCTAAAAAATATATCAACTGTAATGCAGCAGACCCGCCAATCCAAGCTGATCGCGCCGAACGACCACGGTCTGGTGACGATGCCGTCCGGAAGCATGCGGATCGTGCAACTGCGGCCCGGCGGAGTGATTAATTTAGGCAAGTTTGGCCATTTTTTGGTCGACCAGACGTTTGGGTACGCCTATGGCCAGGCTTTTGAGATCATCGAGGAGAAAAAAGTGGTTCCCGTGAAAGATTTGAGCACAGAGTTCGAAGAGAGCCGCGAGGCCACGCCTGGACCCGTGGTTCCCGATTTCAAGAGCTCGGCAAACAACAAAGACTTGGTGGATCTTGGACAGAAGATCCAAGGCCTTACTGCACAGGATATTGAGAAAATGAAGAAAGAAGGTGAAGGAAACGCCGTGGCGCGCCAGATCATCGAGAAAATGATCCAGAGCCACGAGGCGTTCGATAAAAAGACGCTCTTCTCGCAGGAAAAGTATCTGACCAGAAAACAGAAGAAGTTCACCAGACGGTTCCAGATCGACTATCTGAGCTCGTCGGCGTTGGTGAAGTACTACTACCAAGAGAAGGATCCGCAGAGAGTGCTGGATCTGAGCGAAGAGACTCTTGGATTAATGATGAGCCACGCAAACATTATGCCTGGTGGCAGCTATTTAGTGTTGGACGAGACTGGAGGACTGTTGGTGTACGCTATCTTGGAAAGAATGCAGGGCCAGGGCTCTGTGGTTTGGTTGCACGAGAACGACCAGCCAAACACGTGGATTCTAAAACAGAGCGGGTACAGCGAGACGCAGCTGGATGAGATGATTCGGCCGATCAGTTTTCTGGAGTTCTTTGAGCCAGAGAGCCACACGGGGCCGGTTTTCAAGTTCACGGAGCAGGAGGTGGCCGAGATGTCGCAGTCGCGCAAACAGTCATACCTGAGACGGCTGGCCAAGGCAGACAAGTTGCAACAAACGGTCGACATGGTGACCCGGAACGAGCTCGATGCGTTGGTGAGCATGTCCACGTTGAACCCAAGCACGCTGATTCCTCGAGTTCTGGAAAGACTGGCTGGCTCGCGGCCTGTGGTGGCATACCACCAGTACAAGGAGATGTTGATCGAGCTAGACCACATTTTGCAGAAGGACAAGCGTGTGATCATGACTAGCATCGCAGAAACAAAGGTCAGACGGTTCCAGACCGTGCCGGGAAAGATGCATCCGTTGATGACATCGCGAGCCGGGGGTGGCTATGTGTTTGTCGGGCTGAGGGTGTTGCCCGCGGAGGGGGTGCAGGCCGTTGGACGGGGCAAGAAGCGGAAAACCGAGGAGACCTGAAGTTTATAGAAGTTCGTCGCACATCGACCGTAACGCGTTCCATTCTTGTTGCCAGCCAACAACGTTTCGTACGTTGCCGTGCGAGTCTGTCCGGATCCCACAGGTCCAGGCGGGCAGCAGTTTTTTCGTGTGCAGAGCCTGTTCGCGGTAGCCGATTTCAAAGACGAACGCTTTGAAAGAGCCCGTGCGCAGCAATTCGGCCAACGCCGTGTAGAATTCGAGGTCCCCCACCAGGGCGGACCGTGGCTCGTACAACAGCACCGACTGTTCCACGCCGCCTTGTAAATTGAAGTCCTTTTCGGGAATATACGGCGGATTCGAGAGGAGCAGCGTAGCGGCCAGTTTTGGGTGCTTTTCCTGCAACAGGTTGCCTTTTTCGAAAGATACGGGCGTCTGGAGCAGGTCTTTATTGAGCTTGAGGTTCTCTCGCGCCAATCGCAACGCAGACTCGTCGATATCGAAAGCGGTGATTTTCTCCACATTCGACAGGGTGGCCATACTCAATGCCACACACCCGGTGCCCGTACAATAGTCCACGACAGAAACTTTGTCGGGGATCTTTTCCACCACCTCCTTCAACCTCTCGCACCATTCCTCCGTCTCGTTGCGGGGAATTAACACGCCGGGACGACACTTGATATTGAGCTCGCCAAACGGCTGCGAGCCTAGAATGTACTGCAAAGGAACGTGTTTCGCGCGCTCCTCAACAGCCCCAGCCCACCGATCCACAGGAAGCTCCATCTGGATCCACCGCAATTCCTGCGCGGCCTGCCGTTCGGGCAACGAGCGCCGTAAAACACCCATCAGCCGGGAATACATGATTATCTAAAATATTTCACGTTATTTAGATCTATGTTCCAACTATTTACATTACAGACCCTTTCTCGAATAATACATGTATGCTCTCTCATGGATTTCCTGGCCGAACGGACTGATGACCTCGGACTCGCCTGGTCTTGCAACCGGGTTTCTGACATAGACAGCATGACAGGTATCGAACGAGATCTCGATGTGCTTAGGTAATATGGCAAACGGAGCAATAAACTGCCGCGGTCTCCATGGGGTGAAGTACGGTTTCTTTGGGTCTGCGAGTCCCCACATGGTCTTTTGCCATGGCAGAGCCATCTCGTAGAAGCCCTTTTCTTGAATTTCCGACCACGAGGGCAGTTTAGGGTGTTTGGTTAGTTTTCTGCTCCATTGGTTCACCACCTCGTTCTCGGACGGCAGTGCTTGTTGGTGGTTCTTTCTCACGTACTCCAAGTACGCGGTCTTAAGCTCTGTGAGGGATTTCCTGACCTTTTTCGTTTTGGTATCGTCGTAGGACTTGCCCTGAACCTGGCCGTCTTTGTATTCGGGCAAGATCTTGAACAACTCCTCGGTCACTTGTTCTTCGGACCCTTCAAACAGCTGTTTGTTTGATCTGATGGCAGAGTAGATCTCCAGGCTTTTCAAGGCCAAGTTCGCGCCAAATTGAGGCTCAAACGTCGTCTCGTCCACAGTCTCCTTACCTTTGGCCAAGTTGACAATGTCGAGCAACAACGATCTTCTGGAGATGCTGTTGAGCTTCTCGCGCAAGTCCGCAAGCTTGGACTCCTGACGGCCGCCAAATCGGGACGAAGACTCGTTCTCTGATGGCAGGTCTGGATTGTAGTAGCCAGAATACAACTCCTGCATATCTCTCTGTTTCTGTTGCTGTTTGGTCCAAACATTGAGTGGATCGGCCTTGGCACGGTTCACAAACAGCTGCCATTGGATCACCTGCTCCCTGTCAACTTTGTACGCCTCCTTCAAGCTGGGCTTTCTTTCTCCCATGGCTTCCAAAACTCTCTCTGGATCCACATTAAACACGTCGCCTGGACTAAGTGGGAAGGACGGATGTTTCATCTGAACACCGTTCACATAGACAAAGCCTTTCAAGATGAACTGTCTGGCTTGTCTGACAGAGGAGGCCATCAGGGCACGGAAAACAGCCACATCAAGACGTTTTTCCAAAACGGCAAACGTTTGCAGCACCATCGGGGTATGTTGGTTATATTTTCCGCTTAACGAGGCGTCCAGCTGGGCAACACCGTCCAGATGTTTCTCAAACAGCGTCAGCCATCTCTTTTCAGGTAAAAACTCTCCGTGATAGCCTCTGGTTTTCTGTTTGGCCTGCCATTTCTGCTCGTACATCGACTGGATCCGGTATCCTGGCGCCCGGGTCTTGAAGTAATTAAACAGGTTGTGTTTGTTGAGCGCCATGCGCACCCGTCCCCTTGTCAGGGAGAACAGGTTTTCGGCTCTTTTAGGCATGGTTGTTGGAAAAATATAGGTTCCGAAAATTTTTGCAAGCTTGACAACGACGGGGGTGCGTCGGGTCGATTTTGGAAATTTCCAACGTCGATCGGCCAATTTACCCAAACAGGAAATTGGTAAATAGCAGGACAGGTAAACTAAAAAGCCAAACGAGATATTGTTAGTTTGCGAAACAGTTTCCAGTTCTCTTATGCCTCCTAAACGATTCAAGCAGTCCACGTTGACTGATTCCCCGAGCTATGTGTTTTCGCAGATGTACGGCTCTCCGTTCGACACCATGTTCCCTGTGGTTGTGTCTCAGAAAGAGCTCCATTCCAAGGACGGCATAGACTTCACCTCGAGCCATCGTTTCGAGGCAAACCATATTCAGAAGTACCGCAAGCCCCTGGATACAAAGTACAACACCCAGCTGGCCGGTGTGAAAAAGACCGGCTACGATCCTGTTAAAAGAGTGTTTGCACATTACGAGGAAGACAAGGTGCGTGGACTGCGGTTTGGAGTGTCCACCATCCGGTTTGGCAACGACGGCAAGTACCAACTCGAGAGAGTCGACTCTATGTTCCCCGATACCCCTATGGGATCCAAGAGATCGATCGATAGCCTGGAACCTTCGTTTGACTCTACCAGTCCATCTCCAATAGTGATCCACCGTTTGGGATCGCTCAAGAAACGCAGACACGACAGACTCGACAACTCGATGACCATCTCGCAGCGAGGAATCCTAAGAATGGTGGACGACTCGCTTGTTTCAAGCGATACAGAGTTTTACACCTCCATACTACAAGAGGTGCGGCCACAAACGTCAAATATCCGTTCTATCAGGAAAGATAAGGATACCGACAAGGAAAACGTGATGATCAGTGCCGAGGACCTCAAGATGGCTCTCTTGGACAGAGAGCCAGACACGGGGTTCTCGCTGAACGGTAAATAAAATGACAGTTTCAATATATTATAATGTTTCCGCTATTTGCAAGAAGGGGTGCGGCCGGTCGGTCAATTTTGGGCGTTGGAAGGCGAGGCTGTGGCTCTTTCTATCGTGAATCCGGGGTTAGACTTTCTCTGCTGGTGGAGTTCCTCCTTGGACAACTTCTCATCGCTCAGTTCCACCTTGACCAATTCTTTCACCACGGCAATCATACCGGCCTGTTGCGGACATATTTTGTGGTACACCGTCTGGTGTCTTTTGCGCAATCCCAGTTTGAGGAGGGTGTCTTTCTTCTGTTTTGGGAGGGCGATCGCCGACCGCAACTGTGTCACTTTAAAGTATTTAGGAGCGCTCATGTTGTTGAAGAAATTTTTTTGGTTGGAAAAAAAGTTAGTTGGCTAGTAAATTTTTAAGCTATAAAAGAAGGGCAATGGAGTTTTGGCGGTAAATTGCCAATTTTTGCAACCACTTCAACTAAACGCCAGAACCATTGACACGAGTGTGTGGTAATACGTCGAATTGACCGTTCAGCAATGTCATTCCGACCGTACAACCGTCCGGTTACTGCACTGGCTGTTTCCAAAACAGGGGCTCTTTGTTTGAGTTCGTGTTTGGACCGGTCCACGATCAGTGTGAATCTGGCCTCGACGGACAAGTTCGGTGAGCCAGTAACGGAACTGGCCAACGATACAATCAAGCCTATTTCGTGGATCAGGTTCCATCCAAGCCTTACACAGCAGATCCTCACTTGTTCAGGGGACATCAAATTATGGGACCTGGAGACGCGAAAACCTATGATTCGAATGCACGGGAGTGTTGTAACGAAGGCGATCTTTCTGGAAAACGGTCTGGTGGCCGGCTGTGGTGGCACGAGCATTGATTTCTACGACTCCAGAGTGTCTGGACACTCAATTCACAGTCTACAAGGGTACCACACAGACGACATCACCAGTTTGAGCGCAGTGAATGGTCTACAACTTGTTTCTGGTGGTAACGACGGGATGGTCAACCTGTACGATCTCCGCGGGACACGGAACGTTGGACTGGACATGGAGATCGTGTACGATATGGTTGACCAATTGAGTGTGACACAGGTCGAATGGAGGTTTGGACGGTGTTTTGCGAAATTGCACGGTGCTTGTCGGATCGTCGAGATCGACTTTGTTCGAAAAAACAACGAGATCTGCAAAGAGTATACGCTGTTGGTGGATAAAGAAGAAGTTGGGGTCGATTTCGATTTTTCAGGCGACGATAGTCTTGTAGTTGGAGGAGACAACCTGACCGATCTGACCACCCAAACGGTTCTTCTTCAACCGTCCAACAACGACGTGGTCACCCGGCTAGCATTGACCAATAACAGTGGCGTCTGTGCCACCAACAATGGATACATCTACAAAGTGTCGTGATGTGATATTCTGTCTGACGGGGCTCCTAATTTTTTACAAATTCTAATATTTATACCGTTGTGTTAGTAATAAAGACATTGCGGTTCTATCATAGAATAACCCCTTACAAGGTGGTTGACAAAGTCTTTGCTTAAGATATGTTGGGGCTATTTAAGAATATTGTCAAGAAAAACAAATCCCATCAGTGTGTTGATCAGTCCACTGGTGAGCCAGCCAAGCCCGAATCTGAGTGTTTACCGCAGATCCCTCCCGAATATGCACAATTTTACCATGAATTGCCCACCAGATACATTCTACAGGAGAAGATCGGTGAGGGGGCCTTTTCCATCGTTCTTAGAGCGTACGATACGGAAACCAGACAGCCAATTGCCATCAAAATCATCGACAAGACAACAATGAGACCGGAACAAATCAATTCTGTTTTGAAAGAGATCGCCATCATGTCCCGACTTGACAATCCATACATCGCCAAACTGTACGGCCATTTGAACTCGTCCGCCTCCAAATATTGTTTCCTTTATCTCGAATACATCCCTGGTGGAGAAATCTTTAATCAGATCATCAAATACACCTATTTCAGCGAGGATTTATCACGACACGTGATCAGACAGGTGGCCCTGGCAGTCAAGTATTTGCACTCCAACGGCATTGTTCATCGGGACATCAAGCCGGAAAACCTGCTATTTGTGCCCAACGAGTTCGTCCCCCGGTCCAAAGCGGAACAGAAGAGTGCCAGACGTCGCTCTGATGACGACAACAAGCTGGATGAGGGCAGGTTTGTGCCGAACTACGGCGCGGCAGGGATTGGAACGGTCAAGCTCGCAGACTTTGGACTGTCCACCGTGTTGTACAACGAGTCCATGCAGGCCAAGACTCCATGCGGTACCGTTGGCTACACTTCGCCTGAACAGCATCTGAATCTCGGATACACCAAGAAGGTCGACATGTGGGCCATCGGCTGTGTTTTGTACACATTGGTGGTCGGTTTCCCGCCGTTCTATTCGGCCACTCAGGATTCCAAAGACATCAGCACCAAAGTTTCCCGAGGAGACTACAAGTTTCTGAGTCCGTGGTTCGACGAGGTGTCGGACGATTGCAAACGGCTCATTGCGAACTTGTTGACGGTCGACCCGGAGGTGCGCTACTCCATCGACCAGCTTCTGAAGGATCCCTGGATGGCCAAAGGGTACGAGCACGAACCTGTTGCAAACACATGTACCGAGACTGTTCCTGAAACCACATTCGATAAACAAATATACATGAAACTGAACCGGACCGCAGACAATCTTGCGGACGGGCTGTTGACTCCTCGCGCAGAGGCCATTCGTTTGGTTTTTGACACGGCGAACGTGGTGCAAAGAGAGAGCACTCCGCCTGTTCCTCAGACGCGAATGGGAAACCTGGCCATTGTGGAAGAAAACGAGCCCATGGACGTGTTGGAGCTGTGTCGCCATCAGTCATCGGACTCGTCCGAGTCTGACGAGCGGGAGGTGGACGACTCCGACGACGAGTCCGAGTTTGAGGACTCGGATCTCAATCCGAAGCCATATTCCAAGTTCTCGAGTTCTCCGTCGTACAAGGAGAAACCCACGACCACCACGCGTGTGCGCGACACCCAGCACCAGATCCACCACCTGGGCGGCGGGTCCACCGACACAGCGGACAGCGCAACGGTCAACGAGGAGTCGTCGATCCTGACCTCGGAAATAGAAGACTTCAACACAGGCACCAAACGCAAGTCCAGCGTCTCGTTCCAGGTGAAGTCTGGACGGTGCGGCTTTGCAGCCACCGACTTGCACACCTCGTCCATTTCTTCTGGAGCCACCACGGAGCATGTGGCACACGTCCCAAAACAGTATCCGCGTACACCTCAGACCAGCACGTTCGCACAGCTGGAAGAGGACGACGAGATCGTTCACCAGGAGGTTGCAGCTTTGAGCGTGGAGGATACCACGCCTGTGGAGGCCAAACGGCCATCGCCAACAAAGAAATACACCGCGTCCGCGGACCAGGGTCCTATTTTTGACGGGACTTTGAGCAACAGTTTTGACTTGAAGCTGAACAACTCCAAGCTTCTTGAACGACGCAAGGTCAAGGCTTCTTTGGAGCCGGCCACCTAGCGTCATTATTAAGGTCGTTATCAACATGCATTAATATTCCTGATTACGTACTAGTAGTGGTTGAGTCTCCAGAGTCTGACTTTGCCCGACTCGTTACCTGTGGCGAGCAGCTCGTTATTTGGGCTGAATGCGACGCTGGTCACGCGGCCCAGCGGAGTCCCGCTTGTAGGCCAGTTCGAAAACACCCTCCCGCTGGGCAGATGCACCAGTCTAAGTGCGTCCTTTTTGTCACGTGACGCCACACAGAGCAGCTGTGCGTCCGAGGTGAACTCGATGCTGGACACTGTGGTGACGAGGTTTTCTATGGTGACTGCCGGTTTGTGGGACTGTTTGAGCCGGTCGTACACGTTGACGATACCGACGTTGTTTCCGATGGCTAGCCATCTCGTATTATGGCCGCCAAACCGGACCCTGGTGATTCCCAAGCCGGATTCGTCGGTCCATCTATCGAGCGACGCGCCTGATTCCACGTCGAACTCCCAGACGTCGCCCGCCTTGTTGACAGCAACCAACACCGTCGGCGTTGTTGGGTCTGCAGACTGTGAAAAGTCAAAGTCCACCAAAGTTCCTTCGATCTTGAAGCCTTTGAGCCAGATACCTGTTTTCGGCGAGATAACGTTGATCCAGCCGGAGTTACCAGCCAGCCCGATGTATTTGCCGTTTCTGCTGAGCTTGAAGTGCTCGAACGAGCGCTGGGTGGCCTCATGGCCGTACATTCTGCTGATCTTCTCCACAGCCCCGCTGGCCACGTCCCATTTGTGCATGAACCGTCGTCTTCCTCCGGCGAAAATGGTGTCCTGGTCGAACACGGCGGTCTGGATCGGCGAGTTCCGCAGGTGCAGCGACGTCACCAGGTTGTTGGTCTTGCCGTCAATGTGAAATATTCTCAGCGTGCGGTCGTAGCCTCCAGTCATCAGCAGCGGCTGTGTCTGGTGGAAACTCAGCGTCTGTACAGCACTCTTGGAGATCTTCTTGATGTTGGCATCCGTCAGCCGGGAAATATCGATTTTTCCCGCAGGCAACAAACGGACATCCTCTGCTTTGAGGTTGTACGACTGGTTGGACTTTAGGAACTCCAACAGCGGGTTCGACGAGCCCAGAACGTCGGTCGTGCCTCTGGCGTCATCCTCCGCGTCCGACTCGTGCTCCGACCCGCTCTCCACAGAGTCTGCCCACGCGGGTCTTGGATGGATCCGCTCAAACTGCTCCCGTAGCCGTTGCAAGTACTGTTTTCCTCTGATCTTGGAATCCTGCGGCGTGTGGCGAAGTTTTCTGAGATTGTCTCTGTCCAACAGCGAGACTGTCACTTTCTCGTCGTCGCTGTCCTGCCAAACGGCTTCCTCGTCGCTGTACTCGCTGGCAGAGTCCGACTCCTGGCTGTCGGAGCCAGTGTCCATCTTGTCCTCGTCGGACTCGTCCACAAAATACAGGTCTGCGTCTGCCACGGCGTCCATATTGTTGTCGTCTGACTGCTCTTCGTCGTCGCCCGAGTCCTGGCTCGACTCGTGGTCCAGCTCAAAGCCCAGATCCTCGTCCTCACTCGTATCGTACTCAAAAAGACCGGTTTCTTCGTCCTGGAAATCAAACAAATTGTCCACCTGTTTCAAGTTCGTGTCGAAACCTTCGGCGTCGCCGAAAACCAGCTTTTCCAAATACCGTTCCTCCTCATCAGGAGGTGGTACTTCAATAGACATGGATTATAATTTTTTTTTAAATTTTTTCTTTCAAAGTGTATTTCCAGTTATTGCATCATGCGTTCTTCATTAACATCGTTCAAGTAAGTTATAATGTTTGCATAACCAAGTCTAACAATTAGCCGTGCCTCCTCATACTACAACAAATACACATACCAGATGTCGCCGGCCATGCTGCGTGCCAGACAACCATACTTCTGGAAGAACCTGGCCCTGTTCGGCGTCCTGGGTGGAATCTCCTTGGGAATCTACGCCTACACTTACTCGTTCCTCATGAAGGACGACTTTGAGGACATTCCTATTCCGCCGATCAGCGACGAGCAGCTCGCAGAGCTCAAGAAAGAGTACGAGGCTTCCAAAAAATAACCACTCTATTATTATTATTAATGTACATAGTTATAACCTATCACCGCGTTTACCTTTGGCCTTGAGCTTGCGGCGGTCGATCTCGATCTGTCGCGCGATCTTGTCGTTGTTTTTCTGTGTAAATTCAATCACGTCGGCCAGGTTATTATTCCCCACCCCGTAATACTGTGCTCGGGAATTGGATAACACCGTTTCCTTGTGGTCCAGCTCACCAGACGAAATTAGCTGGTTATTCTCTGCGTAGAACTTGTTCATGTCCAGATCAACCATCTTGGACGATTCCTGAACTGGTTTGTGGTCTTCCTCCTCTTCCTCCTCCAAATGCTCCACCTTATTCACCCGTAACTCTTCTACACTCTGTTCCTTGATAGGAACAGAACCGGGCTTTGTCTCTGCGATCCCCAACACTTTGCCCAAATTCAGTCTGCGCAACTTTTCACGACCTTGCGACTTTGGTTTCGTCACCTTTGCCTCAACTTTGACAGACTCCACCTCGTCCTCGGAATCATAACCTTGTAATAACTCCATAAAAATATTTTTTATCTCCAATGTCTTGTCAAGTGTGCAAAGAGAACCCGTTCAAGTACAAATGTCCGCGATGTGGACTCAAATAGTAAGTTATACTAGTTATAAACTAACATCCCAGTTGTTCGCTCAAATGTTACAAGTCAGAAACCCATAAAGACCCCGAAACCTTGAAACAGTCAGTACCTGCCAAAGAGCTCCCTACAGTTGATGATCCGCAGCTACGAGTGCTCCTGGAATCCCCAAAGTTCGTGCAATACCTTAAGGAGCCTGTGGTTCAACTAAATATTAGAATTATCCTCGAAATCCTAAACAACGTCTCCGTCTCGCAGGAGTACAACTCAGAAGGACGCTCAGAAATAGCCAGTCGCAAGATCTCAAATCTCCGGGACAAAGGGCTCGAGAAAAACGAGGTGTTTGACGAGTTCTGCTCGTTGGTGCTCGACTTGCTCGAAAACAACGTCCCAAAGATCTAAACTATCAGTTTTCCGCCAAACTTGTTCTTCTCCACTCCACGAACACCTGCTACCTTGATCCGGTACACTTTCCCGCCCTCGTCGCCAGCAACAGACCGCAGTTTGGCCGGGTTGTCCAGGTTCAAGTCCGCCGTGGTCACAAACATGTCGTCCAGATCAGGTCCGCCAAAAGTCACACAGCTGACCCGTTTGGCTGGGAACTTCCATTGGTGCAACAATTTACCCGTGCTATCGTACTTCAGGACACTGTGGCCTCCCCACGTGGCAATATACAGATTCCCCTCGGAATCCAAACACGATCCATCCGGAACAACCTCACCGTCAATGCCCAACGCCTGCTTGATGTTATCAACAGAAACAAACATGGTTTCTGTGCTCATGTCCGGCAATCCTGTGACAGAATCAAACTTGTACTTGTACACTCCGTGAGCAGAGTCGGTCCAGTACATGATGTCGTCTTTCCAGTTGAGTCCGTTCGGACAAGTGACTTGTTCCTTGATGATGGTTGGGTGTTCCCAGTCGTCTTTGGAGAACTTGTAGAACGTTGCGGTGTTTGGTTCCTCCTTAGCGAAATCGCAGAACGAGCCGATCCAGAAATTGCCGTCCTTGTCAATAGAACCCTCGTTGGATCTCAAGGCAATTGGTTGTTCGAAATGCTGTTTAGAGGGATACTTGGCCATAAACTTCAATTGCCTGGTCTTGAGGTTATACTGGGCAATTCCATCCTTCACACCACAAACATAAATGTCTGGATCGGACGTAAACCCTATAACCCCCACGCTTGTGCCCAAGTTGTACGACTCCAATTCTTGTGGGTTATCCAAAAAAACACGATAGATGGTTCCCGCAATAATATCCACCCAATTGACCGAGTTATTGTCTGGGTTGTACGAAATCCCTTCCGATAACCTTCCCTGATAGTTTGTGAATGCCTATATGGAGTTATCTCGGTACCATTTGCATATTACGTACCTCTGTAACAATCGATGTCATTAGTATAAATAAAGCTAGGTTATCTTTTTTAAAAAATTCGTCTATATTTTAATACTCCTGATGTTTAGGTACCCAGCCGAAATAACCTCGGTATTTTCGCCGTTGGTGGTTGTCCAGGGACTTGGAGACGACAAATTCCTGTTTAAGCGCCAGAAACAACAACAATTCCCGCCAGATAAGCAAATAACAGTGCCCGATCCGTTGTCCTCTGAAAACCCTCTGCATACACTTTTAGACTCACCGACGGTTATCCAACGATCGATTCCCACAGTCCAGGTGGCTTCTGGTTTGGAGCTCGCACATGTGTTCAAAGACCATTCGATCGATGCGGATTATTGGAATAACAACGAAAAGTCTCAGGCGTACAACTTCAAGTTTGTTGGCTCAACGTATAACCTGCCACATTTGTCTCGTCCGTCCTCCGAAACGGGCCATCCACTTTCGGTGGACGAACATGCTTCCAACTCGCCGATTTCGCCGTTCAACTCCGACTCAAAGTACTACAGATCGATCCTCCCGTTGGAATGGATCCAGAAATATACGCATCTTCTTCCGTCGGTGTTTATCTCCGTGCACGAACTGGACGCCGAGTCGGACGCCAATGACAAGCAATTGGCCCAGGAATTGAACGATATCCGCGAGAAAGTGGCGTTACATGGGGTCAAATTCCTGTGTCTACTGCTGTGCTCTTCTCCGTTGACTCCAGAAGTGGAAGAAAGAGTAGCCATGCTCCGCAAGACCACACGTCTTCCGTCACGAACTGGAATGCTTGTTCTCCCCGCGGGAACGCAAAAAGACCTCGAGTCGTTCGCCACGGTCGTCATGGTGCTGATAAAGCCGTGGACTGCAGATTTCTACTCGGCCATAGAACGAAAGATCAAGAAACGCCAGCTCCTGGACCCGAAATACGACGAAAAATTGTGGCTAGCGCGTCAGGCACTCAAGTCGGCCGTCATTGGCGAGTTCAAAGGAGTTACGGAACAAACAACCAAGCTGTTGGAGTATTCGTACGAGAAAGTCATGGACGTGATTCGGTCACTGGACGCCAAAGTCGACCGCGACCGCTGGAACGAGTGTCGGTTGCTCCTTGATTTCATTGGACTGCATGTCACGCGCGCGTATCTTTTCTTTGAGAACCCAAACCTCGCCTACAAGAAGTTCGACATCCATATCCAGAACGTTCTTTCTGTTCTGCCCAAGAAATCCATCAAGACATATCCCGTTGTTGGATGGCTGTGTTTACAGTTGACGTGGCTGGTACAGCTTGTGGAGCGGTGTCCGGACTCAACTATTGTGTTTGACTTGCCCTTGCAGCCGCTGGCCTCGTCGAAATGGTTCGGTGGACCCTCAGACGGTCTTTTAATGCCTCATGGTGGATATCTTTATTTGCAGGCTTTTTCGCTGCTGCAACGACGGCAATTACAGGCCGAATCGAACCCAGAGGTCGACGAGACGTACATGACCTTGTCGCCCGAGGAGGAGGCCCGCTTCGACTACCATGGTACCAGTATCAAACTGCTCACCGGGGCATTGGACATGTTTGCACGGTCGAAAAAGACAAAATTCAACAGATGCGAGTCGTACGTGTACTACCAGCTTGGTGAAGAGCATTTCCAGCTTGGCAACTACGCAATGGCCGTCAACAACTTCCTGGTTGCACTTTCTGTGTTCAAAAACGAGAAATGGAGCAAGATCGTTGCTCTTATTCTGCACAGACTGTACGAGTGCTGTCTCAAGCAGGAAAACCACAAGGACGCTCAGACATACTATCTTCAGCTGTGTTGTTTGGAGGACAAGATTGTGGGCAAATTCAAAAACGATATTGGTACTGGTTTCGAGGCCCAGGAGCTTGTTGTGCTCAAAGAAACTTTATTCCAGAACCAACTGCTGTTTGACAAGCCGGCCATCTCGCTGCACGACAAGATCAAGTTCCAGCTGTATCTTGGTCCGTGTGCCAACAGTTTGATGCGTACATTGGTTGCAGAACGTATTGACGTTCAGTTCGCCGACGACAGCTACCAACTGTCTGTGGAGCACAGCCCGGAGCTGGAAAACACGGCTTTTTCGACCGTGACCAACGGCCTGGCAAACCTCGATTTTTCCAGCAAACAGTCCAAGGTGCTGGAGTTTGAGCTGAGTCCCGAACGGATCGGCAAGTTCAAAATCGACGGCGTACGACTGACACTGGTCTCGGACAAGTTCAGGTTCGAGAACCAGCTGAAACTCGTCCAGAATACCCCCGATACTTTCAGATGGTACAGACAATCGGAACTGTTCAACAAGCGGTTCGAGAGCGAGATCGTAGACGGCGCGCAGTTCGAGTTCGAGGTGATCCCCAAACCACCCGAGGTGGAGGTGCGTGTTTCGCACGCGAGTATCTGCTACCAGGGAGAAATTGTTCCGATCACGATCCATTTGAAGAACCTGGACGAGAGTTCTTTTGGTCTCAAACTGCATGCGACGGGGAATATCAACACGAGCTCGTTGAAAGTCACTTGGAACGAGGAGCACGACCATAACACCACATACCGGTCGGCCAAGGCTCTGGAACCGCAGGAATCGCTTGATGTCCGGCTGTTTGCACACCTCCCGCTGCTGGACACGGCCGAGGGCGCCTTGAAGCTCGACTTGCAGGTGGAGTATCTGATCGACAACAACGAGAACACCGTTGTGCGCAAGTCCAAGAGTCTGCGGATCCAGATGGTGGACCTGTTCAATCTGTCGTTCCAGATCCATCCGTCGATGAAAACGCACATTCCGTCGCCGTTCAACGTGGTGTCTGATGACCTGTCTGCTGTTCCCGTGCACGAACGAGTTTGGCGGTCGCGGTTTGGCGTGGAAAACGTTTCTGCGGAGAACGTGACAATCTCCAATCTGAAGGTGGAGATAGTTTCGTCCACGCCCGAGACCGAGGTCCAGACCACTGTGACGCAGTTCGACGTGGCTGCGCTCGCGTCCAGGCAGACCCAGGACGGCGTGTTCGAGTTCCTGTGTCGGTGTTTGAAGAACGCGTTCCGTCGGTCTGTGAGTTTGGAGATCCACGTTTCTTTCGACTACAAATTCGACGGCCGCACAGACAACATCACCAACAGGTACCGCAAGCTTCTTTGGAAGGGCACGCTGCCACACATGGACCCGCGCACGCTGGTGAACGTGGAACAGCACAACAAGCTGTTCAAGGTGTACTACGTGATAGAAAACCCAACGTCGCGGATATTCCAGTTCAGCACAACGCTGGCAACAAGCGACAAGTTCAAGATCCTCAACTATAAGAACCAGAACAACTTCTCGGTGCTACCGTTCATGAAACAGGTGCTGCGGATGGAGTACGAGCTGTTATCGGACGGAGACTGGGTCAAACTGCCAGAGTTTAAGATCTACGACCTCAATTACAAAGTGTATTTGAACGGACAAGCAACTGTTCGCAAACTGCAATCGCGTCAAGACGGATTATATGTTCAAGTAAACAGCTAATCAATTCAACATCTAATTAATTTTCAGTAACTCCACGTCAAAAAGCAAAGTGGCATTTGGAGGAATCAGACCTGGAAATCCTCTTGGACCGTAAGCCAATGGACCTGGGATCGTCAGAATGGCCTTCTCGCCCAACGACAACTTGGCAAAGCCTTGTTCCCAACCAGCAATCACCATTCCTTGGCCGATTCTGAACTGGAAAGGCTTGTTTCTGTCTCTGGAAGAGTCGAACTTCTTGCCGTTCTCCAAAGTTCCCGTGTAATGGACGGTCACCAGGTCTCCTGGCTGTGGGTAGGTCTTGCCATCTCCTGGCGCAATGGTTTGGATTTTCAATTCAGACATAATAGGTGGCGAACTTATATTGGTACAAATTTTGCATCTATTTTTTGCGCGCCGATCGTCTCACGGACGGGGTCGATGGAACAGAACTGGCTCCTCCACGCGGCTTGCCCCGAGCCCCCGGCGTGACTTTCGGGGTCTCTTTCTGTTTCAGGGTGCGGGGCACGCTCTTCGACAACGGCGTCTTGCGCAGCTTGCGTGGCCCGGGCGTCGAGCTCGCACTTCTCTTGGCCGGCGTTTTTTCGTCGCGGTCGTCGTCGCTCTCCTCGGCTGCCCCTTCCTCCTCGCTCTCAGAGCTCTCCTCGGCCTCCTCGGTCTTGTCGTCCTCCTTCTTCTCCTCGGGCTCCGACTTGGCCTCTTCGGGCGTGTCTGCAGCCTCCTGCTCGATCTCTTTTTTCAGATTCCGTCTTGTGCTACGCGTCCGTGCGCCCTTTTCCTCCTTGATCGACTTGCGACGGCCGGGCGTCTTCTTTTCGTTGTCCTCGTCGCTCTCACTAGCAGCGGCCCCAGACTCCTCGGGCTCCTGGCTCTCGTCCTTGGCCTTGATCCGCAGCTTGCGTCCGCTCCGCAGAGTCTTCTCCTTCTCCTTCTCCTCGCTCTCGTTCTCCTCGGGCTCGTCCTTGGCCTTGCGAGGCCCGCGCCGCTTCGGGGTCTTGTCCTTGTCGTCGTCGCTGGCCTCCGCAGCCTCCACCACGCTGCGCCGCCGCGTGCGCACACCTTCCTCGGGCTCAGTGCTCTCGACCTTTGTCCGACGCGTCCGACGCCGGGCCGCTGGCGTCTCCGACCCCTCCTTGCCGCTCTCGGGCTCCTCACTCTTGCTCTTCTTCGTCTCGTCCTTAGACTTGCGTCTCGTTCTCGACGCCAACGAATCTTCCTCAACTTCCTCCGTCTCCTCTTTCTTCTCCTCCCCGTTCGTCTCCTCCTGCTTCTCCTCCGCCTCCACAGGCTCCTCCTCGCTCTCCTCGTCCAGCTTCTCCAGCCCCTTCAAATTATACCACTTGTTCAGCTGTCTCGTCACCTCCGCCCGGGTAACCTTGAACTGCGGAAACTTCTCCCCCAACAGCTCAATAATCTTCCCATAGTTCGCCGCTCGGTCCTCGCCAATCGGCTTGTGGTAACAAACCAAATTCAACAGGTACAACTGCTGAGCTCTTGTCCACTCCATTAAAAATAAATAAAAAAAATGATTACCTAAACAAGTGTTCGATCCAAGTACTCCTTAATGCCCTGAATCATGGCCGATTTCGTTTTCGTCTTACCTATCAGCCCCGCTTTCGAGTTCATATACACTTTCAACTGGTGTAGACTGAACTCTTCCAACTTATCCAGCTTGTAAGCTTTGATAACCACGTCGTCTGTCAATAGCAACGCTTTCTTACGTAACGGACCGTCCTCAACGTTCAACTCCTGGTAATTGTCCATCTTGTTGATCTCCGACCGCGCGGCCTGGAATAGCAGTCTTAAAGTCTCTGAATCAGCAATCTTTTGCCGTAGCTCCATACACTTGCGTTTCAATTCGTCGTATCCGTTCATAGTCTGCTGTTTCTGGATCTCCAAAGAAACAGCCTGATCGTACTTCACCTCCCGCTGCAACAAATGGTCCTCAAACACTTTGAAATACCACTCGATCTGCGGATTGTCCAGCGGTTGAAACAGGTCCACCAGTTCGCCAACCAATTCGTCAAACTGGTTCGGAATCACCAACAAGCTCGGATCCATCTTCTCAACGTACGCGGGAAGACTTCGTATGTCGTCGCGGAACGGTATCGGGATCAGAACAAGTCCCTCGGGATATTCGTCCACACTTGTCTCCCAGCCAAATGATTTGTCTGTTGACACCAAATAATGTAACCGTGGAAACATGTTTTTGCGGTAGCTGCCCCAGACAACGGCCATTTTGCGCGTTCTGTTCAACGACTGGTACAGAGTGGCCAGCGTGCGCCGTGAATGTGTGTATTTTTCGATCTCGCTGGGAATAACCAGCTGCGGAGTGCCAATAGTGTAATGCGGATTGAAATGTGCAATGTCTCTGAACCCTAGAATGTCCAACACAGGATTATCTCCGGGCTCCAATGGACCCACTATGTCTCGCCTCTCCAGGACCATGTGCTGGTTGCCAAACCCGACCGTGTTGACCGCGTCCTCGTCGGCAACCCTCGCACCACTCGTCGAGTCCAGTTTCACAGACTCTGTCTCGACGTATCTGTAGACGCCGTTATCGTCGTAGAAACGGAACGGACTTTGAAGTTTGGGTTCTCTGAACAGGTTGATTCCACGAACCGACATTTTGATCTGTTTTATTTGCAACGTGCATCTGAAGCTTGTTCTTTTCAGTTCCTTCGTTTTGAACACTTTGTCCTGGATCTGGTCGACCTCGAGCTTTTCGACGCTGGGCCGAAACTGATCAAGCGTCTCGAAAACCGTCTGGTACTCGGAAAGATCGAACTTCCCGTCTCTGGCCAGCAGGAACGGCACCACGTTGATTTTGTCCAGACTCAAGTCGTTCAGCACGTTCCAAAGCAGCACTTTTTTCGACGTGGCCCCGTTGAACGGCCGGTCGCAGTCGGTGAACAGGAAGATCCGGCGAACGTTGTAGCTTTTCACAAGCCCATCTCGCGAGTTCTGGAACACTTCCACCAACTCGTCTGCTGTGACCAAGGCCGGGTCCTGTGTCCGACTGGCGACTGTCTCTGCATCGAACGATTCCAACGCACGCAATTGGTCGATTCCAATGTCCTCGAGCTCAAAAACAGGAACTATCCCGTCCTGACAATGGAACAAATAGCACCCCACGCCGGTTCCCGAATGGGTCTTGACCATTTCGCGAACGAGCTCACGAACACTGGCCAGAATCGACGCCAAGTGCGGCCGCATGGTCGGTGTCAATTGTAGCGCAAATACGATGCCCTGACGCGGCTCAAAGTCCTCATATTCAGAACTCATAAATTATTGCCTCTAACCTTTTTGTATGGCTCCTCGTATAAATATTTGCGACACGACGTAAATTTTTCTACTAATCTTTTGTTATGGGAAAGTTGTTAGAGCTAGTTCTGCACCCGCTCGAATTGGAAGCTGTGCTTCGATTGTAAGTGATTTGGCGTTTGTTAAGTGAGTCTAATCGTTTTAGCAAGTTTTTCAAAAAGACAAAGTACCCTATCAACCCAGAAACCCAGTCTCCAACAGAAAAGGCATGCTACACAATGTTGACTAAAACGTCGCGGTCATTCGCTGCCGTGATCATGGAGCTCAACCCGGAACTGCGTAATGCCATCATGTTGTTCTACCTGGTGTTGAGAGCCCTCGACACGATCGAAGACGACATGACCATCTCGCCAGACGAGAAAATACCTCTTCTTAGATCGTTCGACTCCAAATTGTTGCTCAAAGACTGGACCTACAATGGAAACGGGCCAAACGAAAAGGACCGGATCGTTCTTGTTGAATTCGACAAGATCCTCGCCGAGTACCACAAACTGAATCCAAAGTACCAGGACGTTATTAAGGACATCGCGTTCAAGATGGGTAACGGTATGGCCGACTATGTGATCAACGAGGAGTTCAATTTGAACGGAGTGGCCACCGTCAAGGAATACGACCTGTACTGCTACTACGTGGCCGGTCTTGTTGGTGAGGGGCTTACCAAGATGACTGTGGCTGCAAACTTTGGACACCCTGATCTGTTGGAAAAAATCGACCTGAGTTTGTCGATGGGTGCATTTCTACAAAAAACAAACATCATCAGGGATTTCAGAGAAGATCTGGACGATGGCAGATCGTTCTGGCCCAAGGAGATTTGGGGTAACCATGCCGAGAAGCTCGTGGACTTCACCAAGCCAGACCAAGTGCAAGCCGGTCTGTCTTGTATTTCCGAGCTCACACTCAACGTTCTGGAGCTTGTGCCCGACGTGCTGATCTACCTGTCGATGGTGTACGACCACTCGACGTACTGTTTCTGCGCCATTCCGCAGGTGATGGCCATTGCCACGTTGACGCTTGTTTTCCAGAACCCAAAGGTGTTCCAGAGAAACGTCAAGATCAGAAAGGGTGAGACATGCAAGCTAATTCTGGAAAGCAGAACCTACGAGGGTGTTTTGAACATCTTCTCCAGTTACCTCAACGAACTGCACCACAAGTGTCCTGTGACCGATCCTTATTACCTGGAGATTGGAATCAAGGTTGGCCAGCTCCAACAGTTCATAGAGCAACTGAACCCTGATCCTAGCCATCTGCCCAAGGGACTCGAGCCCCAAAAGACCAACAACTACAACCTTGTTCAGAAAAGAATCAAGCAGGATGATGTCGTCAAGCCGGTCTTGCAAAAAGAACAACTGGCCTGCCGGACGACTGTGGCGGTTGTTGCTCTGTGTGTTTTAACATTAGTGTTTAGATTCAAATAAGACATTTTTTTATCTAAATATTTCTAAATATTTTTTTTATTTAGTGTCATCATGTTGTTTGCCGGGAGGCCTATGGCACGGGCCGTTAGTCGCCGCTCGTTTGTGAGGCGCAACTCGGAGATCAACGTGTTCAACCGCGACATCAAGCTGAAACAGCGCGAGCGCGCCGCCAGAAACACAGAGTCTACCATGGTGGAGTATATCCGGGACGAAGTAGCCAGACGGTCGATCGAACGTCTGGCGTTTCTCAAGACCCCGTTCACAAGCATCATGGACTTTGGGTGCAACTCGGGCAACTTCGAGCGCCAGCTGTGCGAGTCCAGACCCGACGACGACAAAAGATGGAGAGACGACAAGCATCTTGTCCGGTCCAAAATCGGGAAAATATACATGGTGGACTCGTCCAAAAGCATGCTGGAAAAACACAGCGACGAGACCTTCAACTCGCTGTTAAACATCCAAAGAGTCAACGCAGACGAGGAACAGTATTCTCATCCTGTTTTGCAGACCTCAGACATGTTCAACGTGATTATATCCAACCTGTCGTTGCATTGGATCAACGACCTGCCAACAGTGTTCCAGAACCTGTATTCGTCGCTGCAACCGAACGGGTGTTTCATCGGGTCGATGTTTGCGGGCGACACGCTGTTTGAGCTTCGATCGGCGCTCCAGATGGCAGAGCTCGAGCGTTGTGGAGAATTGTCGCCCAGAGTCTCGCCGTTTGTCGAGTCTGCCGACGTGGCCACCCTCATGAAAAACGCAGGGTTCCAGATGCTCACCATCGACGTCGAAGAGATCATCGTCGAGTACCCGGACGTGCTGTCGCTTATGAAAGACCTCCAGCTCATGGGAGAGTCCAACTCGATCCTGGGCACGCCGCCAGCATTGAAGAAAGACCTCCTTATTGCGCTCCAGCCCATATACCAGGCGTTCTACCCGGGGTCCCGCCCTGGAATGCTGCCGGCCACGTTTAAGTTCGTGTTCATGGTGGGCTGGAAACCGGGCTCGCAGCCAATCGGTCAGCTTTGAAGCTCCTGCAGCGCTTCAAGAGCAGCAAGACGAGCACTGGAAACAGGGTGTTTCTTGCTTAGCCACAGCAGTCTCGAGCGACAGTCTGCGGCCAGTTTGGCATCGTCACGTGTGGCCAGCTCGGCAAATATCCGGATCGCAGTGACAATGCGTCCGGTTTGAGTCTTGCCCAGTGTCAGATTGTACACACGCACAAAAATGTTCCGAAGAGCAAAATCGGCTGGAATCTCCAGGTTCAGCTCCAACAAATTGCATAAAAACCTTAAACACGCATCCTGTGTTTTAACAACGCGGTCCTGGTTCACTCTGTCCGCTTCTTGAGGCTTCAGCACCGATAAAATGTCTCCCAAAACGGTTTTCTTGTCATCGAGCTTCTCCCAGAGCTCGAAAAAACAGCATAGTGCCGCATTAATTGCCGGGTCCAGCGACTGCGGAGACCCAGCAGAAAGCGCATATCCTTTCCAAAACTCGCGGGACAGCTCTCTGTCCTGCACCATATCTAGCATAAACAATTTTGTCAAATGTTCAAAGTATCCAACGTAGGATGTAGGACTCTCGAAGGAACGACCACCCAGTTCCACAAATAGCTCAAATGCGCTCAGTCGGAGTCGTTCCATCACCTCGCCGGAGATTCTAGCGAGTTTCTTTCTGATTTCGCGTGTGTCTTCAAATCTGTGCTTATTTTCAGAAATCAGCTTGATAGTCGCTGACCGAACGTGACTTCCAACATCACCGCGGTTTGTGATGGTGTAATCGTCGAGTCCGCTGATTATAACAGCCAACTGGACTGTGTTGAGCGTATTTTCGTGAAGATATTCGGAAATCGAGCTTATCAAACAGCTACGCACCTCTGCATCGGCTCGACTTCCTATTAGGTCCAATACAGAGTCCATCTGGCCAGAGATCCACTTCGTACGGCCAACAGCCCGTGCTGCTGCCATGTTACCGTTCTTGATGTAGTAGAGCCATTTCTCAATATCTGTGTCGGAAAGTTCCAAAACGGGAGCCAGCTGATGAAATTTTTCACTCACCTGCTGGCTTCCATTGCGGATAACGTTAAAAACGGTGTCTATTTCTTTGGAATTTGGCGACAGCCCCTTCTTGATAAGAACTGTGAGCAGATAGAGATACTCCTCGCCCTGGTGGAAGGTGTCTTTGTGGAAATCGAACGAAAACGAGTCAAAAAGATGGTGATATTTTTCCACGTCGCGGACGTCAATGTCCTGCAACAGTTCGGCCAAGACGTAGAACTTTCCCGGTTTGAAAGGAATATTGTAGTATTTCTCCACGAGCTCGTCGTTGTTGTTGATTTTCCGCAATGTTTTTGCCGCACGAGTGCGGATATCGTAGTCTCTGTGCAAAACGTCTGTTTCTAACTGTTGCTTGAACTCGTTCTCCATGAGTCCCATTCCAATTATGTCCAAACTCAGCTCGAACGACCGGTCAAGACGTCCCAGAGTAGCGTAATCCAGCGTCTCTAGAATTCTCACCTTAAGACTGTTGGAGTCCTTGCGGTCGATTATTTCTCCATGTCGGCCAAGCACTTCCTGGACACACGCAGAGCTTGCACGCCGAACAACAAGTTCTTTGTCGAAACAGCAGCACAGTACCAGATCGTGGAAGAACCTGAGCCAGACAGATGTTGGGATTTCGCCTGTTCTGTACCGTTTGGCTAGAGACCAGATGATGAAGCAGGTGGCATCGCGAACACTTGCTCCGGCGAAATGCGTGACACGGTGCTGTTGGAAAAAAAGGGTCTGGTGGAGTAAGGCGGACAAACGAGGGATCGTCTTGGAGTTGAGCTGGTGTGTTCTGGCAAATTCGCCGAGTGACAGCAGCACTCCGTGGAACAGTTCCAGATCTGCGAGTTCGAAATCCACATGATCGTTTGAAAGTCCAAGTTCTAAGTACAGGGCGTTGGCGATATCGTCTTTGAGTTGTTGGGGCAGCAGACTGGAGATCTTGGCCAGCTGTTTCGCAACAGAGTATCGGATCTGTGTGCTTGAATGGCCACAGTAGCCGATCAGGTAATTGAGGATCTCCTCGACGGGATCGTACTCGTCAAGCTTGATGAACAGAACACCGAGTTTGCCGAGGTTCTTAACAAACAAACGTAGTGTAGACGTGTTGATGTCATCGAGCTCGTTGGCAATAAGCACCAGCAGCCGTTTCGCGAAAGCATGCAGAGAGTTTGGCGACGCTAGCTTGAAAAGATGGTTTGTCACGGTCAGCAGTCCGATCTGTTCAAACACGTTCTTGGACTCCCAAGCGAGCGTGTTAAAGTTGTCGCTCACAAAGTCGTCAAGCAGAAACTGGCAGTCCGATCGAGAAAGCAGCCGGGCCATCAGCAGGGCACTGGCATCGTTCTCTTTTCCGCTTGAGCTGAGGTACTCGAAAGCGAGCTTGTAGATGGACTCTGATAGGCCTTTTTTCGTTTTTTCCAGGGGAAACGGCACCAACACCAGGATGGACAGCCATACAAGCAGAAAGAAGCTCTCCTGCCAGCTGGCTGCCGATGCGAGCTGTTTCTGTACACTAGTTAGCGAATAGAGATCGCTTGTCAAACAGTTGGAGACGACCTTGATTCCGCGGGTTTTAGCGAACGCATAGAACACCATCGCGATGGATTCGCGAACGTGTGCGTTTGTGGTCTGTTTGTACGAGTCCACTAGTCGTACTATGAAATGACGTAGTTTGGTATCCAAGAGCTGGGGGTTAGCCTGGAACTGGTCAATAAGGTCCAGAAGTCGATCTAAAGACGTCTCCGGGTCGATAACCAGCACCGTTTCCAGCTGTACGTCGATCTCGACCAGAAGCTGGCCCGCAAGCTTGGAGATCTGGACGTCCTCCATCGGATCAAATGGTAAACACAATTTTTGAACAATAAATATACGCGATGCGGATTTACCGAGTTTGCGGCTGTGCAAAAACCAAGAGGCAGATATGGCAGGAAACTACAGGGGCGGTTGCAAGGTGAAATAAATGGTAGTGGAACCAGATCCGAGCACCAAGAAAAGGCACAATAACGTAGATTTCGCGAGCTTGGCCAAATAGCAACACCTTTTTTTAGCATCGTCACGGCTAACTCATCTGTCTTAAGCAATGCCTCAGGGCTTTGCTCCGCAGACATCAAGCTTCATTGCACAGGTTGCATAAGCACGATTCTTTGTTTGACAAGCCAATAATAAGACTAATCGATTGTAAGTAAATACTACGGTCCTGCATTTTTTTCCAGCTGCGCCTTGAATATGCACAAAATATACTAGATTCCCTGAAAGTTCTATAAAAAGAGAATAATCTTCCTCCTGTTGTGTTTAGGATGAAATTTTTCGTGTTTTCGCTGCTACTCTCGCTTGTTTGCGCTGATAACGCGCCGCAACAACAAAACAACCAGCAAACCACCACTGCTGCGTCGTCGTCCTCGTCGTCCAGTCAGGAGTACTCGTCAGAGTACGGTGTGCTACAATTCCAAAACGTTGGTTTCGAAGGTCATTACTACAACGTGAAGAAGATAGACTCCAGCTCGAACGAATCGTGCACGTGCGAGCTCAATACGGGCAAACCGGTCGATTTCTCAGGAGCCATCACCCCGTTGGACGGAGAACTCAGTGTCCATATTAGAGGCCCGGTCAATTTGCAAAAGTTCGGCTATTGGGTCGCTGATAGTTACACTGCCGGAGAAACCAACGGCTCGTGGTCCCGGCTTGCATACTACGATTCTGAGGACCAGACCGCAGAAAACGTCACTTTCCTGTCCAACGTGGGAGAAAACATCACCTGTTTGGGTAAAGCTCTAGATTATATCGACTCTGACGGTGTTTCTCAGGCTACAGAGAGCACGGTGCTCAGCAACGTCACCATCCAATCCGGAGACGAGTTTGTGATCATGTCGAACGTCTCGTGCGGAAAGTCCGGCTTCGGCAAGGACTGTGGTGTTTACAGAGACGGTATTCCTGCTTTCCATGGATACTACGGTACAACCAAGATGTTCCTGTTCCAATTTTTGGCTCCACAGGACGACTCCGACAACAAGGACGTGGAAAACTACAACATGCCAGCCATCTGGCTTTTGAACGCGCACATCCCACGTACTGCGCAGTATGCTACCAACTCCAACTGTTCGGCTTGGGCTTCCGGCGGAGGAGAGTTTGATATCTTTGAGATCCTCAACACGACCGAATCGACGCATTTCTACTCCACGATCCACGATTTCCAAGGAACAGACGACATTTACACGGGTCTGGCCAACGAAGGATACATCGAGCGTGTGGACTCGGTGATGATGGGCGGTGTCATTTTCGGCAGCGACGGTACAGCAACCGTGTTCATGTCGAACGAGACCACTTTCGACGAGACAATCAACAACTCTGATCTCTCGAGCTGGATTTCTACCGTGGAAAGCAAGGAGGACGAACATATCATGAGTCTTTCTTCTGTCACATCCGAGTCGTCCAAGAGTGATGGATCCACCTTGAGAAACAGCTGGTTGACCGCCTTTTTGCTAGGAGTTATGTGTATTTTATAGACAGAAAGCATGTATGGACTTATTCAACGCTTATATAAGCCGTAAATAAACACTTTTTTCTGTGACGTGAATTGTTGTTTTCGAAATTGTAATGTCTGATTGGAGCGTTGATCCTGACAACCGGCGGAAGTTGCTGGCTTTGCAGAAGCAGGGCGATAACAAGAAGTGCTTTGATTGCAAGGCCCCAAATCCGCAGTGGGCTTCGCCGAAATTTGGTATCTTTATCTGTTTGGAGTGTGCTGGTGTTCACCGTGGGCTTGGCGTCCACATTTCGTTTGTTCGTTCGATCACCATGGACCAATTCAAGCCGGAGGAGTTGGCCCGCATGGAGAAGGGCGGTAACGGGGCCTGTGCCGCGTACTTCGAGTCGCACGGCCTGGACCTGTCGTTGCCTGCCCGTCAGAAATACGACAACTATGTGGCGGAAGATTACAAGAGCAAATTGACAAGCATCGTGGAGGGCACCGAGTTTGTGGAGCCAGACCACCCAGGCAAAACTTTGCCGCAAAAGGGAGCCCCTGCCACCGGGTCGGGAACCACTGGAGGCGAGCTTCCTAACAAGCAACACAACGAGGCTTATTTCGCCAAGTTGGGAGCCACCAACGATTCCAGACCAACAGACCTTCCTCCTTCCAAGGGAGGCAAGTACCAGGGCTTTGGATCGTCGCCAGCTCCGTCTTCGCAGCGTGGGTCCAGTCTTTCTGGGTTCACTTTGGACGCTTTACAGAAAGACCCTTTGGGCACTTTCACCAAGGGATGGGGTCTGTTCAGCACCACAGTTGCCAAATCTGTCAAGGAGGTGAATGACACGGTGATCCAGCCCAGTGTGAAACAGCTGGCCGAACAGGACTATGCTCAGCAAGCAAAAAGAGCAGTGGAACAGTTCGGACAGAAGGTCCAGGACACCGGTGTACAGTTGCAACACCAGTTCGAGGGCCAGTCCGACAACGGAGGCAAATATGGTAAGCTATTCGACGATATCGGAGACGAGGACCAGGTCGCTCCTGCTTTTGGCTTATCAAAACCAAAGGATAAGACTACATTAGACAGTCTCAGTAGCGAGCGTTCGTGACTGTCTGCATTGCGTCACTGTCGTTTTGGCCTTTATATAGCGTTTCGCCAAAGATCGTCCCACTCGTACGATCTGGTCGTTTCGTAAACTACAGTGTGATGTGATTTCTTAGCCATCTTTCTGGAAATATGCGCTCGCGCAAACTGTAGCTAAATTTTTTTTGATTGTCGACTTTTACTGCATTAGGAAAAGCCGATTAATATATAAGACCAGGTCTTTTTATCTTTGGGATAATTTCCAATGAGTCCTGCTATTTCACAAACTGTTACTCAAACGCCAGATTCCGTGCCAGAGACCCTCAAGGCCACCACTTCGCGTGGATACGCGCTGACGGAGCGCGGAGTCCATAACATCTCCAAGGGAGCCCCTCCTCCTCATCTTGTGCCAGAGTTCGACGACCCTTACAAGAAGAGAGAGTGGGTTTTGGAGCACATGGCCGGTGCTTTCCGTATCTTCGCTCGTAAGGGCTTCACCGAGGGAACTGCCGGTCACATCTCCGTCAGAGACCCTGTTGATCCAAACACTTTCTGGATCAATCCTCTTGGATACCACTTTGGACTTCTCAAGGCTGAGGACATGGTCCACATCGACGAGAACTGCAATATCATCGGCGGCAACTTTGCGGCCGTCAACGCTGCTGGTTTTGCCATCCACTCGGCTCTCCACAAAGCCCGGCCCGACGTCAACGCTGCCTGCCACATGCACTCTGTCTACGGAAAGGCGTACTCTGCTTTCGGCAAGCCGCTCGAGATGCTCAACCAGGATGTCTGCACGCTATACAAGTCGCACGCAGTCTACTCCAACTTTGGAGGAGTCGCTATCGAGGCCAAGGAGGGCCAGGAGATCGCAGAGGCCGTTGGCGACGGCCACGGTGCTATTTTGCAAAACCACGGTCTCATCACCGTCGGCTACACCGTCGACGAGGCCGCATACCTGTTTTGCTTGATGGAGCGGAGCTGCGAGTGCCAACTTCTGGCCGACGCGGCAGAAAACCAGGGCAGAACAAAACAGCTCATTGGCGACGAGGAGGCAGCCTACACCTACCACATGAACTCAGACAGAGAAACCCTGTACATGGAGATGCAGCCAGATCTCCAGTTCGAGATTGCTCAGAACGACGACTTCTTGAGCTTCTCCAAGCCTAAAAAATAACTGTAAAGTTATGTATCGTTTTTATTTTTCTTAATAATTTTTGGTTATATCGATTGTTTTCCCCATGTCGTACTCAGATATGATGGACGTTGAGGAACGACGAGACCTGCCGCCGGGAAAACTGGTGCTTGTTTTCGACACAAACTTTTTGCTGGACCAGCTGTCCATCGCCGACGGCCTGCGCGGACTGCCCGTGGCCCATCAGCTGGTTATCCCGCAGCAGGTGGTTCGAGAGCTGGACGGACTCAAGTCGTCGGACTCGCACGTCGCTACTGCCGCCAGAAAGGCCATCGATTGGCTATATGCATTTCTACACAATAATGACGAGATTGTTAGAGTCCAACGGCTCCACGAAAGAACAGACCGTCAAGCTACCGGAGACGATGCCATCCTCGATGCGTGTTTGTTTTTTGGAACAGAGGCGATGGTGGTTCTATTTTCCAACGATAAAAACCTGTGTGTCAAGGCGCTGGCCCACGGCGTGTTGACCGTGTCGTGGCGGCCAGACATGGACGTCCAGATGGTCAGACAGCGACTCGTACAAGAGTTTGCGCGGGTCAACGGCGACGTGATGGATTTGGAGCCAAAGGAAACGGTCCACACGTCGTCCACGGACACTGTGTACTCGCAGGTGCACGCTCTGGTGCTGGAGGCAATAGAGTACGTCCTCAAACACGAGTTTGGCGACGACTTTGACATGATAGGGTACGACGTGAACAAGTCGCGGTCGTTGCGCGACTGCTGCTACACGCTGAAACAGTACACCATCTCAACGTTTGGCAGCTACTTCAGGTCGGGCTCCATCAACCCATTGAAGCTGCTCAAGGAAAAACAGAAAATCGACGAGTACTCGTCCAAACCGACGACTCCAGAACAGCTCCGCGAATTTGTCGAGTTCTGGACAATCGTGCTGGACGGACTGTACCGAAACCGCGACAACGAGCAGCGCTCTGCATTAAATACGGTCACACAAGCATGGCGTAATGTCCTTTAATATCATTTCATTCTGCGTTGTTTGATGGGGAAGTTGTAGTTTCCGCTCCGGACCCGTTTCTTTGGGCTGCTGGGCGTGCTGACTGGTTGCTGTGTATTTGGTTTGCGTCTTTTAGTGAGAGTGCGCGGCTGAAGACTGGCCTGGTTGGCGAAAACCGTGCGTAACGAGTCTGTGTACGACGGCTTTGCGGCTTTGAAATTTGCAACGGTTTCCTGGCTTATCTGGTCGAACGACGAGCTGAGCGACGACTGCAACGTGCCCGTTCTCAGGAAAATGCGCTGCACCTCTTTGCTCTGCAAGATCGCCTCGTCCTGCTCGAGCGTGTTGCCCAGATAGTCCTGGGCGATCGAAGCGGCCAGCTTGAGGATGATCTGGTTCTTCTTGTTGAGTTCGTGTGCCAATTGCGCAATCAGCGACGACTCCAGCGCGGCGGTTTGCACCAGTGTCTCCAAAAACGATTTGCGTGCGGCTTCCAGCTGCTCTCCCGCAAGCCTCACTGTGGGGAAGGTGAACTCCAGGTCTGGTTTGGCCAGAGTGACAGACTGTTCCGATCGCAAAACAGTCACGTCGTCGAGACTGGCTAGACGCGCGAAAAAGGTGTCGACCTCGGCGTCGCTGCCAACGGCAGCATTGTTCAGAGCAAACAGCCGATCCAGCTCTTTCTTACCCAAACAAACACACTGCTCAAACGAAAACGAGTCGGTTAAAACAAACACGAGTCGCACCGGGTCGACGCCGCTGCACACCCCGACAAACATGCCCGGCTCGTTGCCCACAGGCACAAACAAAGAAGGAAACATAACAGGCAATTTTATGTGTTTCCCTCGCCCCGGAGCGCACAGCCGGTAAATGACATATTTTTTTTCGCACCCCATCCGGCCGCTACTTCGGTCACCATTCGTTTCTCCGGCTGTGCAAAGGAAAAGAGTTGTCCATCTGGATTATTCCTACTAACTTTTGTTTTCTTCCGCAATGTTTACCAAATCACTCAGAAAAGCTGTCCTGAAGACTGTAAGTTGCACATGCCAGTCAATTGACCTACTAACAGTACAGTCTCAAAGAAGATTCTTGTCCATTCACGAATACAGATCTGCTGCCTTGCTCAGATCGTATGATGTCGGCGTGCCTAGAGGAGACGCTGCCACTACTCCGGAGGGAGCTTACGAGATCGCCAAGTCGTTGGGAACCAACGAGCTGGTCATCAAGGCCCAGGCTCTGACCGGAGGTAGAGGTAAGGGTCATTTCGACAGCGGATTGCAGTCCGGTGTCAGATTGATTGAGTCTCCAGAAGAGGCCAAGGACCTTGCTGGTAAGATGATTGGCCACAAGTTGATCACCAAGCAAACCGGTGCCGCTGGTAAGATTGTCACGGCCGTGTACGTTGTTGAGAGAAAGTACGCCAAGCAGGAGGCATACTTGTCCATCATCATGGACAGAAAGAACCAGTCTACCTTGGTTGTTGCTTCCTCCGAGGGAGGTATGGACATCGAGGGAGTTGCCAAGGAAAACCCAGATGCCATCAAGAAGTTCCCTGTGGACTACGAGGCCGGAATTTCCGACGAGTTGGCCGTCAAGATCGCCTCTGGTCTCAAGTTCACTCCAGAGGCCGTTCCAAAGGCTGCAGACACCATCAAAAAATTGTACCAGATCTTCAAAGAGAAGGACGCCACCCAGATCGAGATCAACCCACTCACAGAGACCAAGGACCACGAGGTTTTGTGCATGGACGCCAAGTTCGGTTTCGACGACAACGCTGCTTTCAGACAAAAGGAGGTGTTTTCCTGGAGAGACATCACCCAAGAGGACCCTGAAGAAGTCACTGCCAGCAAGTTTGGTTTGAACTTCATCAAGCTGGATGGTAACATTGGATGTCTCGTCAACGGTGCTGGTTTGGCCATGGCCACCATGGACGTTGTTCAATTGTACGGAGGATCTCCAGCCAACTTTTTGGACGTTGGTGGAGCTGCCACTCCAGAAACCATCGAGGAGGCCTTCAAGCTCATCTTGACCGAGAAGGGTGTTAAGGCCATCTTTGTCAACATCTTTGGTGGTATTGTTAGATGTGATTACGTTGCCGAGGGTCTGATTTCTGCCACCAAGAACCTTTCTCTTGAGATCCCTGTTGTGGTTAGATTGCAAGGTACCAACCTCGACATTGCCAAGAAGCTCATCAGCGAGTCCGGTTTGAAATTGTACTTGTTTGAGGACCTTGACGATGCTGCCGAGAAGGTCGTCGAGTTGGGCAAATAGATGTTTCCGGAATAGTCTTTCTTCTTCTATTATTGTACACTGCTGCTATATTCGTAAACCTCCCATTCTTCTTCGTCTTCTGTCTTTTTGCTCACCAGGGCTCCTCCCAGTCTTAGAGCGGTCTCGCTGGTGGACTTGGCCGTCATCTGGACCACATGCGCACGTTTTTTCTCGTCCATCGGCGCAATCTGGTCGTCCAGCTGTTTATTCAGCTCTTTTTCTCGCTGTTGCTTGCTGGCCTTGAGATCGTCAATGTACTTGAATGACGGTCTAAGCTGACAGTTCTTGGTCACAGGACTTAGGTGGAGCTCTCCGTCGCGCACTCGCCCCACGTAGTATCCGTTTCCGTTAGTCAAAACGCCCTTCAACGTCTGATTCGTGGTCCCGCTCCATCTGGCCGCCTTGGTCTCGTCGTAAAACCTGGTGGTATCTGTAGGAATGTCCATTTCGAGGATCCCGCTGTTTGGTTTCAAACGGACCTCGGAAATCGTGTTCTCTGTGCTTTTGCGCGGATATTGCACCATCAAAGTGGCCGGCCCGTCCAACCGCAGTGGAATCTCCTTGACGACTGGATCAGACATGAAATAAAATATTTTTTTTTCTCCTGCACTTAAATATTTTTCATAAAAAAATATTCATCTATGGAGGATGATTTGATTTTGAACTTTGCCAGCGAGCCGCCCGCTAAACGGCAGAAAGTGAAGGTGACCGGCGGCAAATGGAAAGACCGGCGTAAGTCCCAGCTCGTCAGCGAGGGTCGCGGCCGCAGCGAGAAGAAAGACAAGAACAGTGTCAACCAGATAAAGCTTGGTGAGAGAAAGAAACAGAACACAGAAGAGTCTGTTGATAAGGAAGACAGACCGCGCAAGCAGGCCTTTCCCGAAGGTCGTGGTGAGGGCGGTAAAAACAACACGTATGTGTCGTCGCTGTTCACGCAAAATCCAGAAATCCAGGACAGACCGGTGCAGGAATTTGACGTTCTTTCTCCGTCCAACGCTCCAATAGACACCTCTTCGTTTGCGGGACTGGGAATCAACGCCAACTTGGCGTCCCATCTGTCCAACAAGCGGCTTCAGAACCCAACAAAGATCCAGCAGCAGGTGATTCCGCGTCTTTTAACAGGCTCTAACGACCTGTTTGTCCAGGCCCAAACAGGTTCTGGTAAGACTTTGGCGTTTGCATTGCCTATTTTCCAGAAACTCATGGAAATCCCCGACTTGGACCGGACGTCTGGTCTGTTTGCGCTGGTTCTGGCCCCAACAAGAGAACTGGCTACCCAGATCTACTCCGTTTTCGAGTCTCTGAGTCATTGCGACCACAGAATCGTTGCCGGAAACGTTATTGGTGGTGAGAAAAAGAAGTCTGAAAAAGCACGGTTGCGTAAAGGTGTCAACGTCCTCGTTGCCACACCAGGAAGACTGGTCGACCATATTGAACACACCCAAAACCTGAATCTCTCGCAGATCAGGTACGTTGTTCTGGACGAAGGTGACAGACTTATGGAGCTTGGTTTTGAGGAAAGTATCGCCAAAATTCTATCGGCTGTGTCTTCGTCTGCTGCTCCGAGCAAGTACCAGTCGCTGCCGGCTAAAAGAATCAACATTTTGTGTTCTGCCACCATCAAGCCAAATGTGAAAAAACTGGGTGAAATCTCGCTAGAAAAGGCCGAACTCGTGACAACAAGTGAACAGGTCACTAAAGTGCCCGACCAGCTGTTGCAACAGGTGGTTGTTGTGCCACCAAAGTTGAGATTTGTCACATTGGCAGGCACCCTTAAAAACCTAATCAAGGACCAGACTGCCTCTAAAACCATTGTGTTTTTCTCGTGTTCCGGTTCGGTCGACTTCCATTTCATCGCTCTCACGAGAAAAACGTCTTCGGAGGACACGACAGGCTCGCTTTTCGGCTCAACCATCTTCAAATTGCACGGCTCGCTTTCGCAACAAACTAGAACGTCCACGCTCAAGGATTTCACCAACTGTTCCACCAACGCCATTCTTCTTTGTACAGACGTTGCCTCGAGAGGTCTGGACTTGCCGCACATCAACAACGTGGTTGAGTTCGACCCTCCTTTTGCTCTTGAAGACCATCTCCACAGAGTGGGAAGAACGGCCAGAGCAGGTTCGCAAGGTAACTCTGTGCTATTCCTGCTACCGGGAGACGAGGAGAACTACCTGAAACTGGTGGAGCCTCTGCATCCAGGAGGAGTCCAGTTCAAGAAGTATGAAGCCGTTCTCAAGGAAGCGTTCGAAAAAGCCGGCGAGAAAGGCGGGTCCTGGGACACTCAGGCAACCACTTTCCATCTGGAGTTGGAACGGTGGCTGTTGGAGGAACCTCGGGCCAAGGAGATTGCTGGAAACGGGTTCATGAGCCATATCAAGGCATATGCCACCCATTTGGCAGCCGAAAGAGAATGCTTCAACGTCAAAAAGATCCATCTGGGACATCTTGCGAAATCGTTTGGACTGAGAGAAACTCCAAAGAAGCTCGCCAGTGGTGGAGAGCGCAAAAAGAAAGAGGACGGAAGATCCAAGATGTTGCGTATGGCCAAAATGCATCTCCAGTCGCAAAGCGAGGAGTTCAACACTTTTGCTTGATTTTGGTGTCGATTTTGGTTCTGAGGAACTCGTTGTCTCCAACAGCGTTGTTGAACATCTCCAGGCCTTTCTTGGTTGTCTCCGTCACGGTGTCGATCAACAGACAGAAGTAGCCGATAGCGTGGACCCGTGTAGCATTCTGGGCGTCGTTTTCGATTTGAAGCGAGTCCAGGAGTTCCTTGAACAGAGGTTTGGAGCTTGGGGGCCATTGTATATGTTGTTGCAGATTTAATAGTAATCCAAGTGCGAACAAACTGTTTTGTTGATCTTCTTCAGAGCCAATGTCTCCTTTAAGAACACCTGATTTTCGCACCAATTCCAACAGTGGTACCACCAAATCTTCGTTGAATGTGTTGTTCTGCTCGTCGGATGTGAGAATAATCGCTAGACGCATGTGAACCGAAAGACCATCGGATTTTCCAATGATGGAGTTTTTGACAATTTGTACGACTCGGTGAAACTGTGGATACGAACGAACTTGGTCCACAAGCAGCTCAACCAGCTGGATGCTATGGATCTGTTGGGGATCGAATGACTCCATAATGTGGACCAAAATCGTTTGGTTGCAAACCTGTATTAAGAATTCGTATGATTGGTGCAACAAGTACACCAATGCCAATCTGTTTGGAGTATGGTGGTCCAGATGAACTGTCCAATCGTCCAGGGCCAGCCTGTCTATCTTGCCAAGTTTTGGACTTTGCTGTAACGTTGATGCCAGATTGTCGTTGTTTGGAAGCAGCAGTTCCATGATTGTCCGTACTGGCTCCGCTGGAGCATCCAGTCTGAGAAACACCCAGGCGCATACCATGATCATATCGTACCCCTCCTGTATGACTCCCTCGATCAGCTTCGAAGTGTCGAGCGATCTAAGTCTATCTGAAAATTTTGGGTGTGTAATGGTTTTGGTAGCCAGTTCGAGCAATGCGTTTCTTTTGCTCGATAGCGAGCTCTTGGAAGATCCAACGATCTCGATGATGAACTGGATCTCCTGGTCAAACTTGCTGTTATTTCCTGCCATCTGGAGGTCTATTGACGGCTGGAGGTTCGAGCTGACCGATTCGTTGGCCTGTTGGTCAGTTTCCTCGTTCAAATCTTCTCCCGCACGGAAACTTCTAAACGACCCGTAATTGCGGCTAGAGGAAGGTGACTTGGAGGGAGTGGTAACTTGGGGTTCCTCTTTCGTGTGGACCTCTATGTGTGGAACAATTTCAAATTCCAGAACGGTTTCGTCGACTGGTGTTTCTATCGAGTCAGAACTCCTGAGATTTTTGATATCCAATGTAGATCTTGTGGGGCTCGAGTCCAGACCGTCAAACAAGTCAGACAGAATCTCAGAGCCAGCAGTTTCCACGGAAGGCTTTTCACGAACTGGTTGAACCTCCAGGGGCCGTAAGATCTCGGCCTTTTTTACTGGCACAGGTCTTGGTTTCTCCGTCTTGACTGCACTTTTCGAGCTCCAACGCGGTCTCATATCCTTTGGAGCCTCTGCAAGATAGTCATCTGCTTCCAAAGCACGCACTTTTGGGATATCTACCTTGTTAAACACCCTTCTCCGTGGAGATCGAGGTATTCGAGGACGATCCTCGATTTCGTCGACAAAGTCAAACACCGATGGCTCTTGTGCAGCCACCGTTTGGCGCTTATTTTGGCCCTCGTCGCGTTTCTCAGCGGCAATTTCGTGTCGCGTCGGAGATAACTCCACCTGCTTCCTTCTTTTCCCATACATCAAAATATTTGATCTAACTATTTTTCCCTTGTGATTACAATTACAATGTATGGAGATCTAGCACATAAACTTATTCTGGACGCGAAAAGAACACAGTCGCTGGACAAACTTCCTTTGTACCAGGACACACTGGTGCGGTCGATTGTACGCGAAATCCGCTCGTTGCAGAAAGAAGCAGACGTGTTGACCGAACACGCGAGTCAGGACGACGACCGTGTAAACCAGGGCCAGCTATTTGTGTGTCATCTTTGTATGCGTCGAAATAAAAGGTGTTTGCTTGCATACCAACGACTACGCGCTGAGCGGCTGGATGAGCTCGTCTGGGCAAATAACGATATTTCAAAAGAACAAATGGACAATCTATCACCGCAAGAACAGGACTACCTTAAGAAATACAACGACCTGGTGAGCGAGTTCAAAGGACCGTTGGAGAAGATCGATCTGGGCGGGTCCTTGGAGCCTCCTGTGGACGTTTTCATCGACGTGAGAGTTCTCAAGGACGCGGGAGAAATCCAGACAGAGTACGGAGTTTTCAACTTGACCAAAGATTCGCAGTTTTTCGTGCGCCAAGCGGACGTGGAGAGACTCATACAACAGGGTTACTTGAAGAAACTGTGAATTTCATGTCGATTCTTTACACCAGTTACAAAAACTCTCGAAAAGCTGGTAATTGAGGCCGCTTTTCCAGGTCACCACGGTATTTTCATCAAACGTGATTTTCACGCGCATTTGGTCCTCAGCGTACCGTTTCTGGCGTCTGTAGGACCGCGACCAAACGTTCCCCGGCACTTGGAGAACGAGCGAGCTTTGGTTAGGCTCTGAGACGTCTATGCTGTCCAAGGCATGGAGTCTTTCTTTCAAATTTTTCTGGTTGCACTTGAATTCACGACGCACTTTCTGAGTCACAATGCTGTTGAACAGGTCGGCTTTTGGTCGGTCTGGCTTGAACGACCAGAACAGTATCCATCGCTGTGTTCCTGTTTGTGTGAGGCTGCTGCGAAACGCATGGACACCAAAGTTGTCTATCTTCTTTGAACGCAGCAACGAAACAAGCGGTTTCAAAGAGTCGTATTTTCCCAACAGACTGGTGAACCACGTGATGTTGGACTCTTTGTGGGACTCACTCTCGCGGATCATGCGACTCACAAACGCGATCTCGCCGCCCTCCACGACGAGCTCGTTTGCCATGGCTGAAACGGCACGCGCGTCGGCTTTCAGGTCTGCACGCTGGCGCATTTCGGTGGCCGACGAGTAGAACGGCGGGTTGCACATGACAAACCCGTGTTTTGGCCCAAGCCGGGAAACCAGGCAATCGAAAAATGACTCCGATGGTTCATTATGCACAAGGGTGACTGCAGATCCCAAACCGTTGCGGCTGATGTTGGATTCGGCCAGTCGCAGCGATTCGCGATCGATGTCGGACGCAACAAACTCAAGACCGTATAGTTTGGCGCCCAGAAGCGCATAGATTGCTAGATGGCCCGTGCCCACGTCCAGACCGACTGTGTTTTTGAAACTGCCGAGCAGATCGTGCATAAAGTCGAGATAGTCGAGTCTGTTGAATAGTCGCGGACACAGACGATTTGAGTCGATCTGGACCTGGAGCCCCCATTCTTGGAGCAGGATTCTAGTAATTAATACCACGGCACTGTTGTCGTGCCATTCAAAGCGGTTATGATGGAACCACGGCCGCAATTCCGGGTATTTCTCGACCAGCTTACTAAAATCCAGTTCCCGAGAAATATTGTGATTTTCCATATTTTTTCATTTACTCCAATGGCCGTTTTAGACGATATTATTCTACAGGACGTTGCCAAGAGCTGTGGGGCCCAATTCCGCAACTACCACGAATGCATTCTTGCTCCGGACGGCGACGCCAAGAAGTGCTTGCCCCTCCAGGATGAGCTCCAAAACTGCGTCAAGAACGACGTGCCATCTTTCCAGCGGATCCAGAAAAATTGCGCAACCAAGATCGCCGAGTTTGAGTCGTGCTTGAAAAAAGGCAGCTCCATCTCTTGCTCAGACCAATTGAAGGCTCTCCGCAGCTGTGCATTGCAACAGGTTGAATCCTCCAAGTCCAGCCAATGAAAACTCTGGTGACCCCATTTTTTTCAACACATTAAATTCCGCCTATTGGGGTTTCTCTCTGTTGAATGCATCTTTGTTATCTACTATTGTATTTAATTTTTTTAAGTCCCCCTCTATAAATTACATGCATCTCCCAAAATCTTTCGCATTTCTTTGTCGCTAATGCTTTCGCTCTTGTTGCTTCTTGCTCCATCGGCTCTTGCCGTGGGCGCCCAATCGCTGGACGATAAATATTCGTGTGTCGGAACCTTCATCTTTGGCCGTCATAACGATAGGGTTGCCAAACCTGCTAAGTATCTCACTACTTACGGTGCTCGCCAACAGGAGGCCTCCGGAGCTTTCTACAGACAAAGATACTTCGGTATTGACTCTGATGGAAACAAAACCGCTTCAGACTTCGTCATCAACGGTCTTGACCCTCAAGGTTACTTTGTCTATGGTGATACCTATGCCCAATGTTCGGGAGATACCGTCATCGAGTACTCTCAGATGTCTTTCTTGCAAGGTCTGTACCCACCATCCACCGCCGTGGACTCCAATGAGACTTTGATTGAGACCCAGGACTCGGAACTGAGCAACGGATCGTCTGTCGTGGCTCCTCTGGGTGGATACCAGTACGTCTTTATGGACGTGCAGCAGGAAACCTCCGACAACTACTTCTGGATCAAAGGTGATGTTAACTGTCCGGCCTCTGACGACGCTATTGACGCTTGGTCTGATAGCGACTACTTCAAGGAAATGAACTCGTCTACTTACGACTTCTACCAAAGCTTGGCAGACCTGCTCCCATCCAAGAAATTCCCTAAATGGAAGCTCAACTTTGGTAATGCCATGTCCATCAACGACTTCATGTTCGTCAACAACATCCACGACGAGGAATGGGCCTCCAAATGGAACTCTTCGTTGTTGTTCCAGGTTGCAACCTTGGCCGACGCTGCTCAATGGGGTATCTCGTACGACTCTACCAACAAGCTCAACAACTTCACCATCGGTGGCCAGTCTCTGTTGGGAGCCTCTGTGGAATACCTTAATACCACCAAGGTCGAAGGTTCGCCTTACATCAACTACTTCACCGGCTCGTACAACACCATGTACCAAATCTTTGCCCTATTGGAGCTCAACAAGGTGTCTGACAACTTCACCGGTATGCCAGGCTACGGAGCCACTTTAGTTTGGGATCTGCTGAAGGACAACTCCGACGAGTACTACGTCCAATTTTCGTTCAAGAACGGAACCAAGGAGAATGACGAGCTTGTTGCTTACCCATTGTTTGGAGGCAACTCCACCGTTCTTTCTTGGGACGACTTCGTCTCCAAGACTGAAGCCGTTGCCATCACTTCTTTGAAAGAATGGTGCGGCAAGTGTTCGTCCACCTCTGACCAGTGCACCCAATTCTCGTCCACGTACGAGGAGGCCTCCAAGGCCGAGGACAAGGGAATCAACCTCAAGAAACTCGCCAACGGCGACTACCATCTCAACAAGCTCACCAACGCGGGAGCAGGAGGAATCGGTGCTGGTGTCACCATCGGAGTGTTCCTCATTCTGGGAGCCGTTTTCCTGGCCTGGAAGAAACTCAGATCCAAGAACACCCCGATCCTGCCAATCTCCAGAGAACACTCTATCGAGCACAAGGACGCTGGCTCTTCTGATGCCACCATCTAATTCTCGTTTGTCATGTCTCTAGTACACGACCTTTTTTTCTTTCTAGTTTTAAAAATATTTATCCACTCTAAATTTTTCTCTACGCTTCACCAGCTAACATTGACCATTTTGAAGCAATTTCCTTTTCAATGGTCTCATTAAGCCTGGGAGATCTAAGCCGGGCATTTTTGTTCAGTCGAGTACCACAAACCATTGGTCTTTCGACTCTACGAATGTCCGTACATTGCACTAATCGATCGGATTATTAGTACATATTACTATACACAATTGACCTATTCCGAGACGTCGTCGTAGTCGGTATGGACGTACTGGGGAACCTGGTCAAAGTCGAATTCGGTGGACGTTTCTTCTTCGAAGTTGTCCAGCCATTCACAGCCACGGGAAAGAACCGTGGACTTGAGTTTCTCCATCACTGTGATGGCCTCTGTGTAGTTGTTGTATTGCAGGCCGGTGAACTCTTTGAAGATCAGTTTCAGATAGAACATCAGCGACTGGATTCCGCGTAGATAGCCCAAGTCGGGACAGTTCTCGTGTTCGGGCGGATACGTCGTATTGGCAGGCAACGGTTCTTTGGCAATCACGCACTGTGCAAAGTCGATTAGTCGAACGATCAAAGTGCTCTGCGACTTGGCATGGTCTGCGTCCGAGTCGTACATCAGCAAAATCGACGACCCGTACAGTCTGTAGCCCGGAAGCTTGGCAAACACTTTGGAAAGCTCCTTCAGGTTCTCAATCAGATTGGGCAGATGTTTCACCACAGAGTAGATAGACAACCCGTCATAAAGGAACCGGGCCAACGACCGAACAAAGTCGGACCCAACGTTCAGCTTGCGGCCGAAATACTTGTCTCTGTTGATGTAGTTGTTGCGTTTCAGGTCCCAAACCTGCATTCCACAGACTCTGATTCCAAGCCGCCTGGACGTTGTTTGCTGACACTTCTTTCTCTGCGACGCTCTTTTCTTGGCTGTGGCCTCCACACCGTACTGCCGTGTTCCCATCTTCAGGTCTAAGACACAAGGATGTTTCATGCCGGAAGTCAGGTCTTCCAGCAATATGAACCTTTCAAAGCGAGTGTGTTTGCGTGTTCTAGCTGACGGTGCCGGAGAACTCAGCAATGGAGGCGACGTGAAACTGATTGCCTCTTCGTCCAAAATGGCACTGTCAGAAGCTGCGTCTCTGTCCATGTCAAAAATATCGTTAGGTTCGTTCTCGTTTGGAAGCCACTTGATCTTGCTGATCAATGTTTCTCTGTCCGGGAACACAGACTGGTCTCCATTGGCCAGTTTCTTCAGATCCAACATCGAACTGGAATGTTTCTGTAAATGGTCGGGTTTAGCTGTGAGTTGCGGAGACGTCTGGGAACCAGGCGTGCGGTCTTCAAACGAAACAGCAAGCCCCTTGCCGAAGGAGCTTCCGATCCCACTTGTTGAATGTCTGTGAGAACGGAAACGTCTTGGACCAGAAAAACTGCATGCCTTGTGGTGGTGGTGACGATGAACACTCCTACTTTGGAAGCTCTTGGTGTACTCCTTGATAGGAGCGAACACCTCGGTCAGAACAAGTTCCTGTAATTTGGTGTTGACCTTGGTGGCCCCCCAAAAATCGCTTGTGTCTCGCGCTTCAGAGATCTGAGGCGACCCTGTTAGACTTTCTGGATCGCTGTACGAAAAACGTCTGGGCTCATCCTGGCCGGGCGACTTGGTAGGGTAGTGGCTCCAAAACGACTCGGGGAAAATATGCTTGTTGTCGTCAAGAACAACCTCTGGTGGTAATTCCTCCTTAACACTTGTGGACAACGATGGAACGTGCTCGAGCGATGTGAGATCGTCGCCATCTTCTGCTGCGCTTCCATACCGCACATTCAAAACGCCGATGTAGCGGGGCATGAACTTTAAAAGTTCAGGGTGGGTCAACTCGATGTTTTCGTACCATGTGTTTTCTCTATTGACCAATGCTTTGCAAACTGCTCGATGACTAAACTTGAAAATGGCCGTGTGACCCCCGACCCTATTTTTGAACGGTTGTAACTCGACGGCCAATGGGAATTTTTCAGTAGAGACATCGCCCTGTTGGTAAGATGAGGACTCGACAGAGTTGATCGAGCTTGAGGATTCAGAGGCCGACTCGTTAGAGCCGAACTTTTTGCGGTTCTCTTGTTCAATAGCCTCCTCGATTTCCTCGATCTCGCTCAGAACGTCGGAATCCTGATCATCGTGGTCAAACTCCGCAGCAGCGGTCAAATGCTCGGGCACAGGTTTAAACAGCGAATCGATAGGAGTATGCGGAATATATGTAGCAGAGGAAACAGGTTCGAGCGGAGGCAAACTGGTAATTCCCCTGGAAGAATGCGATTTGTGGGGCTCAACATCGAACGAGGTGATCGTGACCGATTTACGACCGGATGAAGGCTGTTGTTCTGAGTAGAAAGATGACTTTTCCGTATCTAGAGACGAAGAAAAATTCGAGTCTTTGGACGGTTTCAACAAGTTATCGGACGAATCCGAGCCTCGGAATAGCCGTAACGATTTGGCGGCCTTTCTTCCGGCCATATTGGAACTTTTTGTCTCATCTTGATGTCGTGCTTTATCGGGCTCCTGTGATAAAGGCGGCGAATTTCGTAGATTAAAGCTTTTATCACTCATGGAAAAAATGCTTTTAGATGTGTTATTGAGCAATTAGTATTGGAAGAACGGCTCCTCAACATGGAATTAATTTATGATCAATAAAAACTCGTTGTCTTGATAAAGAAACAAAACAAAAAAAAAATTGACATCAGAAATATCGTTAATTTAAACCACGTTCAACGGTTAAAAGCGTATTTGGCTAGCCGCTAGAATTTTACTGGCTATGAGACAGTCGGACGCTTAATATAATGTAAAGACTGTGATGTTTAGAATCATGTTCTTTCCACTAGCATTTGTAGTCTCAAACCCCAATTCTTCACCCCTTTTGTTTTCACCCCTCTCAAATCTAACTCTGCCCAATTTCAGCCGGCTATAAAATTTGAGAAAACGTAAAATTGAAAAATATCGACGCAAACATAGTACTTTTTCGACGCGACGATAAGAAGGTGCCGGGTTCGGAGTTTCCGCAAACCAATAAGGAGTGTAGAATTACTAAGAGCACGAATTCAAGTCCCCCAACCACAGATATGGACTCCTAACAAGACCTGGAATCAGATGGTCGAGTTGCTGCTGTTTGGGCGTTTGTTTAAAAATTTCCCTTCTCCCCGGAGTTTGGTACCATTATTATATAAAAAGGAATCAACACCCACCTTGTTTTTTTCCTAATATATTTATCATGTTGAGAGGTGTGAAACGTACAAATGGCCTTCGTTCTTTGGTTAAATGTAGCCAAACTGCTGCTAGAAGATATACCGCCACGCCGGTTTTTGCTCGCGGCTTGAAAACATCGACCAGACCAACTCCCCTGGCTGTCAATGTGCCGTTGAGAGGTGCATCTTTGGGCAACTCGATGTTATTTGTTAGACACAACTCCCAGATTGTCAAGGTTCCTGAGATGGCTGAGAGTATCACCGAAGGTACCTTGGCTTCTTTCGCCAAGGAGGTTGGCGACTACGTCAAGCAGGATGAGCTCATAGCAACCATCGAAACAGACAAGATCGATGTGGAGGTCAATGCTCCAATCTCCGGTAAGGTCACCGAATTGTTGGTGAATGTTGAGGACACCGTCGAGGTTGGCCAGGATTTGCTCAAGATTGAGCCTGGCGAAGTTCCAGAAGATGCCGGAAAGAAAGAGGAGAAGGTGGAAAAGAAAGAAGAAAAGAAAGAAGAAAAGAAAGAGGCCGCTCCTGAGCCAGTCAAGGAGGCTCCAAAGAAACAGGAAAAGCCTGCTGAGTCCAAGCCAGCTCCTCCAAAGCCGGCTGCTTCTAAAGGCGCTGCTCCAAAAGCTGCTGCTCCTGAAAAGGCCGCTCCTGCTGGAAAGTTCTCCAGATCCGAGGAGAGAATCAAGATGAACAGAATGAGATTGAGAATTGCCGAGAGATTGAAGGAGTCTCAAAATACTGCCGCATCTTTGACCACTTTCAACGAGGTCGACATGTCGAATTTGATCGAGATGAGAAAGCTGTACAAAGACGAGATCTTAAAGAACACTGGTATCAAGTTTGGTTTCATGGGTGCTTTCTCCAAGGCCAGTACTTTGGCCATGAAGTCCATTCCAGCAGTTAACGCTGCCATCGAGAACAACGACACCATGGTGTTTAGAGACTACGTTGATATCTCGATTGCCGTTGCCACTCCTAAGGGATTGGTCACTCCTATCGTTAGAAACGCCGAGAGCTTGTCTGTTTTGGAGATCGAGGACTCCATTGCTCAGCTTGGTGTGCGTGCCCGTGACGGAAAGCTGACTTTGGAAGATATGACCGGAGGAACTTTCACCATCTCCAACGGAGGTGTTTTCGGATCGCTTTATGGTACCCCTATTATTAACATGCCACAGACTGCTGTTCTTGGATTGCACGGAATCAAGGAACGTCCTGTTGCTGTGAACGGCAAGGTTGAGATTCGTCCAATGATGTACATTGCTTTGACCTACGATCACCGTATGTTGGACGGTAGAGAAGCCGTTACTTTCCTCAAGACCGTCAAGGAATTGATTGAGGATCCAAGAAAAATGCTCTTGTTGTAAGGCTATAAAATAAGATAAACTAAAAGACGTTTCCAAATGTCTTACCTATTTAAAAAAAATCACTAAATATAAAATATTCAAAGATCTTTTGTTCAGCCTTTGCTAAAGCCGTGGATCAGATATCGCTTTTATGCTAATTGCAAGTGATACACTCAAACTGGGCAAGCATTTTGCCTCGGTTCTTCTTTCCTTGAAGCCCTCTGAGGCTCAACGTTCCATTCTTCACAAACACCTTGTCAACCTCAATGATGCCTTTATGGCAAGATACAACGATATGCAAAAGGGATATTTTAACAACGTGACAGTTCCATTTAATCTCGAAACACAGCCAATCTACCCGTTCGAACTTCCTTATGGAGGACTCATTAGAGGCCAGAGTGAATTGGCCTTGAAAAATAGACTTATAGAGCCCCAGATGCTGAACCTGAAGGCCAGATGGCCCACTGTGTTTTACAACGACTTTCTATACAGCGACAGATCAACTTACCATGTTCACGTCTCGCTCACGCCGATCGTGCTCTACGAATCAGACTCTTCCATTATCCACTACAAACGAGAGTTTTCTCGGCTGTGCAAGGGTTTCCGCGAGTCTGGTAAGCACCGCAATTTCCCGCTTCGACTGGATGGGAAGGCCACGATATTCAGTCGAATCGACTACCAGAGACTGTTTTTGGCGCTATATCTAGATAAAGATACTACAGAACGATTGGACTCGCTTTGTGGGCCGCTAAACAAGATCAGATTCTCACAGCCAGACATTGGCTACGTGAACGGAGAACAGGAGTCGGATCCCGTGAAAAAGCTTGATCATTTGCACTTGTCATTAGGGATGAGCGTGATACGACCTAAACCGTTCGGCAACTTCCCCTTTGGCATGTACGAGCTATTCTACTTGAACAATGTGCTGCTGCTACCAAAAGAGCAGCTTCTTAAGAAATACCCCGAACACCGAGCTCTGAATTTCATCAGCGACGTCAAAACAGAACTGGACCCACAGGAACTGGACATTTTGCAGTTTGAGAGTTCGCGGCTGGTGTGTTCGCTCGACAGGGGCGAGCTCTGGGAGGACCTGTGATTTACTCTCCTTTTCTTGCACTGCCTGATTCTGACATTTTTTTCTAAAATGCCAATGTTTACATCCTTCCAAAAACGGAAACTCATTTAGATAATATTTCATGCCCAAGATAAGTTTAATCCATTGCTTTTCGTCCGACTCCTTTTGCAATGGCCTGGCAGATGAACAACCCGTTTGTGGACACGCAGCAAGGGTTGTCAGCCAATTTCAAGACAATTCCGCTTCCAGAAGACAACTTTGGCTTTGACCCGGTTGCGTATGATGAAAATGAGAACTTTGACTCGATACTATTTGATTTGGGAATTTCAGAAGGTTATAGCCAGCAGCCATCCCAGCAGCAGCCCAATTTTGAGAAGAAACACACTCGACAGACCAGTGGGTCTGGGATCTTTGGATATGTTGGTACGGGAACAGACACCCAACTGGCTATTCCTGGGCTACCGGTGATAGACATCAAGAATAAGAAGCCTATTTATCAGCCTATTGAACGGTATACGGAGGATTATTCTTATGTTCCGAGGGCTTCTTCGAGTTCGAATGCTGGAGCCAAACCGGCTCCGGATTACATTGTCACTGGCCAGTCTCAAGGGTACAAGTTTCCACCGGGGCCGGAGCCAAAACCTCCCACAAGCAGCAACTACAGCTCCGACTATTCGCAGTCGGTGACAACAAGTTACTCTGCACAGGAACTGATTGATTTGCGGCAGCTTCAGGAAGTTAAAGAACCAAAAGCCAAGACCCCCCAATGTACACCGATCAAAGTGAAGCACACGTTTGTAGACGTGAAGACCCCGACACCACAGAAAATACCTGCACATTTCAACTGGACCCCGACACTAATCACCAAGAAGAACTCGCTTTCTGAACAGATCATCCAGGAGCAACGCAAATCGCCAACCAAGAAGAAGAAGCCAACCATCACGTCCACTCTCGAACGCGGAGCCTTGGACGTGCACTTTGTTGGGCCAGACGACAAGGACATGTACAAATGCATCTACAACGACTGCGGCAAGCTGTTCACCCGAGTGTCCAACATCAGAGCCCATATCCAGACACATTTATCAGACCGGCCGTTTACCTGTGACACATGTGGCAAGGCGTTTGTGCGGAACCACGATCTGCGCAGACACTACAAAGGCCACCAGGAGTTCCAGCACGTGTGTCCGTGCGGGAAGAAGTTCCCGCGACAGGACGCCTTGAAGCGACACCGGATCAGAAACATCTGTGTTGGTGGACTACCTGACGAAAAGGGCGTGTTCAAGAAGACCACTAGCCACGTGACCGAGGTGAAGCGTGGCCGTCCGCGCAAGGTCAACGAGACCACCGAGGGAAAGATTCTGAAGGATCTCAGCACGCCGCAGTTCCAGCCGTACATGGACACCAGTCCGTCGATCTCGCCCGAGCTTGCTCCCGGCGACACTCTCGAGATTGGGTTCAAGGACTCGTACAAGGACCCGTTCTACTACGAGTCCAACGAGTTTGCGCCGAACATCGAGCCCGAGTTCTCCTTCAGCGTCGACGACTACGAGTTTGGCAGGGGTGTATAGTATGTATTTGTAACACGATATTTTCAGTACGGGATGCCGTTGGTGAGTCTTTGGAACTCGTCGTAGCCCTTGGTGGCCAGCGACTCGAATGACTTGCGAATCAGGCCGCGGATATACTTTGCGGCCTCCTTGTCGCTCTTCTTGGGCACAAACCGTGCGGTGAGGTGTTTGATGGTGGCTGGCTTGAAGCACGGCAGTCCCGAGTCCAACATTGGCACCACCATGTTGATGATCGAGTCCATGTACGGCCGACACACCAAGAATCCCTTGACACACAGCTCCTCGAACCATTTGTACGACTGGGTCTCCGTGGACCCGCCCATCACACGCACCATCTCTCTGGTGAGCTTGAACGGAGACTGTTCGAACTTGACACCGCCAGGAACAATGTCGAAGCAGAACCCAAAGTCGATGTGCAGGATATGGCCCTGGTTGTCGTACATGATGTTTCCGTTGTGTCTGTCTTTGATTTCCAGCAGGTAGGTGATGATGGAGTAGGCGGCGAGCGACTTGACAAAGTTGTTGCGTGCGCGCTGGAACTCGATCGAGGTTTCTGGCCCGTGCTGGCTGATGAAGTACTCGTACAGCCCGTTAACGGCCTCACGGCCGAGCATGTCTCTGGAGATCGAGTTTGGCAAGACGTCGATGATACCGCACCCGGGAGCCGTGGCTGTGACTCTGTTGGGGAATACGTACACGTCCAAGCCGGCGTCGAGCCAGATCGTCCGGAACAGCGAGATCAGTTGCAACGCAAGCACGTCCTGTCTGCAGTCGTCGCCGACCTTGAAGATGGCACTCATGTCCTCGACCTGGTACTCCTTCCCGCCGTCCACGGTCTCGACCTCCTTCTTGATTTTGAACGTGGCCATGAACGGAGCCTTGGCGTGCGACTGCAACGGCTTGCCAGAAAGCCGGTTGATGTCCACCACCTGGCCCTGAGGGTTGCTAGGCAGGTACACGCCTTCCTCGAGCTTGATGGCCGCCATGTACTTGTCGATCTGGGCCTTTTTCTCCGGTTTGCTGCTCTTGATGAACGGTTTCAGCTTGCCCGAGATGCTCGTCACTTCCTCAAAGAAACTGAACTCCTTCTCGTAGTACGCGCGGTCGTCCGGCGTGAAGTGGCCCACCATCGTGTCGCGGATCTCGTCCAGCACCGGCTTCAGGTCGTCGGGAATGGTCGAGTCCTCATCTTTGTACGAGTTGGCAGACATGTTCCAGATAATCTGGTGCGCAAACAGCTGCGACACCTTAGCGGTCTCCAAAATGAACCGCCGCACGTAGCCCAGGTGCAGGTCGAACCGCAGAGCCTGAACGATCTGAGGAATGTAGAAGAACGTCAGATGCACGTCGAAACTCTCAATCGACCGCATCGTGTACTGCAGAATGATGGAGTTCTTGTTGAACGGAGGAAGAAACAGGTTGATCGAGTCCGACGGCGAGGCAACCTCCCAGAGCACCACCAGGTGCGAGTTCTTGTTGTTCTCGCCATCAAGCAGGTACTTGAGCGCGGCGGGGTTGTCGATCACCTTGAGCGGATTGCTTTGGACCAGCTGTCTCATTGGCTTGTCGAACGAGTACGTGCTGTATCTTTCCACGAGGTTGATTGCCAGCCGACCGTCAATAGCAAACGCGTCGGCGAGAATGCGGTCCGTTGGTCTCGTTTTGCTGTACGAGCCAGTTGTGTCCACAGGGTTTAGTGGATTTAGCCAGGTGGCCAGGAAACTGATCTCGTGGTCCAGGAACAGCAGCAGAATGACCCTCTTCTGTTCTGCCAAAGACTCCTCCGGGTACCGCAGGTCAGACACCAGCTTGGCCACCATGTTGAGCAGGTTGAAGTCGCTTCTGATCTTGACCTTGTTGTTGCCGTACGGAGCACGGTGTTTGATGGTGAACCACGACAATGCGCCGCTCAGCACGGCAGAAGTCAGGCTGCCCACGTCCGTGGTTCCCAGACTTCTGTGCACCTTCAGCAGCGCCAGACCGAGGTTGATGAGCTCGAAACGAGTGAGTCTCGAAAACGGATGCGTGCTGGCAGAAGACAGACTCAGCAGCGCAATCAGAATCGTCCGCGTGAACATCTTGAAGATGTGCGAGCTCTGGTACCGCGTGGCCTCAAAATGAGAAGCCATCAATCTGAAAAGAAGCAGGTGTGGCTTTATATGGTCTGCAGCGTTCTTGCCGTTGAAATCGATCAGGGCCTTGCTGGTTGGCACGTACTCCATCTTGTTGTACTTGGAGTTCTTGATATCAAACTGTTTGCTGTACAGACCTTTCTGGAGCTTGATAGACTCCTCGAGTCTCTTGCAAATCTCAGAAAGAACAAGACTCGACAGCTCGGGTCTTTCCTTCATGATGGTTAGCCATAGTCTGATTCCGAGATCAATCGAGTCTGCGCTAAAGATCAAGAACGGAATGTCCACCACCTCCTTGATTAGCTCGCCCTCACTTTGACTCGACAGAATGATCAATCTCGTGGACTCGTGGAGAGTCGACTCGAGCTCGGACGACCAAATAGGCGTTTTTTGCTCCACCTTCTTTCTTAGATTGGCAATGCCCGTTCTGGTGAGTTGCGGAATCGAGCCAAAAGTGACCAGCTTGTGCTCAGACCACTTGGAGACCAAGTCCGCCCGGTTGGCTTTCCAAGGGAACTGCGACAAAAACACAGACGTGGTGTTGATGTGTCTTCCGGTAGACTCGTCAATAGTGGACAGTTCACGGTCAGCAGGTAGCACTTTACCGGCCATCTCAAAAGCAAAGGTGACTCCGTAATTGACCATCTTCTTGGATGTGATGTCCATCTTGCTGATATACGATTGGAGCAGCGATTTGGTGTCCTGAGGACATTTCACCAAACACAAAGTGGTCCATTTTCTTGCAGCCTTGGTCAACAGCTCAAAAGTAGAGTGTCTCCACTTGTACGAGTCCGAAAGCAGCAGTTTGATTCCCGAAAGAGGCGCAGAAAACTCGATCTGCGGTTCGTACTCGTTGGTGTCTGCATCAATGACACTCTCGTACAATAGTCCCAGAACATCCAGCAGCGAGAACAACGATTTCTCGTAGCAGAGCAGCGACGGCGATCTCAAAATCAGCAGCTCTGTGCACTGCAACGCGGTGTTCTGCAAACTGAAGTCTCTGTGACAGCAGTAGATGAACAGTCTCTGGAGCTGTTGGGTGATTTTGGACGGGGTAAACGAGGCAGACCCGCCTTTTTGAACACGTCTAAAGTACTGCGACGTCACATAGAAAGCGATCGAGCCCGAGAAGTCCTCGAGTCCAGAAATTGACAACGTTGGGTCTGAGAGATATTCCAGAGACGTGGCACAGTCGCCGGTTTCCATTCTCAGGCTCTCCAGCAGCAGATTGGACGCCAAAAACATCAGCTTTGGTCTGGCGATCTGGGTCTCAAAAACCTTGGCGTCGATCGACTTGGACGTGATAATGGAGCTCAACACATCCTTGTGCAACTTCTCGGTGTGTTTAGAAGTTCCTCTTCTCAAAACCGTGTTCATGTCGATCGAAGTCTCTGTTCTGTTCCAAGTAGATTCGGAAGCCAGAGCCGGCGAACTGTGTGCAATTCTCAACAAACTCTCGTAATTTGCCATAAGTAGCTCAGAGTTGTACGAGTAGCCATGGATGCACAAGTTGAACCAGACATCTTTAAACAAGTTGACGGTTTCCTTGTTAGTTGGAATACGCGGTTCCTGGTCAACAGAAGGGAGAAGGTACGCCAACGGCTTCAAATACAACGAGATCTCGGTGGCAGATAATGAAACCTCGTTGTTGGACCGGTGGTGTTCCAGATCGTCAATATCACCTTTGGAAACAATAGCAGAGAGCAGCTCGTGCAAATAAACGGTGTACAGGTCCGAATCCGATCTCTGGGCCATCACTTCGGAGAAGTGCACCCAGACCGCGCACGTGCGGTTCAAAGCAGCTCTGTCCTTGGTGGAAATGATGGCAATGTCAAAGAACTGACGCACAAGAATCAAAAACTCTCTTTTCTCCATCACATCGACAAATCCAGTCAGTCCTTGTAACAACAAGCAGTTCAGCTCGGTAGGCGTTCTTCTGACTTTCTGGAACAGAATGGTGATGGCAAGGATATTGATGGAGCTGTCTTTGAATTCGGTAGCAATCACAAGAACTGCAGCAATCACGTTTCTGTAAATCAACGGGAGAACGTCAACAGAGTACGAGCCATCTTCCGTCATAGCAGAGGTGGGGATCTCGTTAGATGTTGACGACACCGACAACGACTGTCTGAGCTCGGCTGTACCGTTAACATTCCCGTTCTTGGACTCGACCGCATCGGACAAAATGTTTGTGGTTCCGTAGATGCAGGAAACAACGTCGTCTTCTGATAGGTTTTTCAGGCAGTATGCCAGCGATTGCGACAATTCGGCGACGGCCTCTGTCTTCAATAGTGGCAACGAGAGGATAGTTGGGAAACATTTGCTGACTCTCAGCGCAAGGAACGTCTTCTTCGAAGACAACAGAGCAGCACATGCAAAAATGCTTGGTAGCAGCTCAGAGTTGATCATCTCAACAACCTCGTTCGTGAGGTGTGTGTCTATCTTGTGGATTTGCTCAAGGTAGTCGTCGATTAACGCTGTAATGAAATCGAGCTCAACAACCGTCTGTTCTGAACCAAACGAGAGAATCTCCACGGTGGAAGCCTTGATGGAGTAGCCAGCGTTTCTGCGACCAAACGTCGACGTGACCAGTCTATCTGATCCGTTGTTCACGTACTTGCTGTTCTCAATCGCACGCAATGACAACTCCTTGACCAATGACTTTTCTACTGTCGATTGGTCAAAAGAGTCTCTGTTTTTCAAAACGTGGAAAATGAACGACTCGTTCGGCTTGCATCCAATGGCGTTCTTGATGTACTCGATCGCCAGCTTCTGGTACAAGAACATGAAAAACAACGAAGAAAACTCATAGCCATAGTCCTCAAAATTGTTCACCATCTCCACATACAAATGGTCGTCAATCGAGCCAATAGCAGACTCAACGCCGGAGTAGAACGACTCGTCTAACACGGTAGTAATTTTGCGCAGAAGCTCGGAACTCACAAACCTGATGTCCTTGGTGAGTCCTTGCAACAATCCAACATAGCAGAAATAGATCTTGAGATCTGAAGATCCGTTGCTCAACACGTTGACAAATCCAAATAATAAATCTTGACATTCAGAAGCTAGAGATTTGAAGTTCAGTCCAAGCGTGGTCACGCCAACAACAAGCTCATACGCAAGTTTGGTCCATGGAGTAGGGAGAAAGGTTTTCAGCGTCTTTTTGGACGAAAACCTCTGCTCTGGAAGTCCTTGTAAATAGATCTCGAACCGTGAAAGCAAAATCTCGGCTTGGATTTTGCTTTTAACATGATCACAGCTTTTGCACAAAGCAAGAAGAACCTCGTACTCGGAATTTCTGATGTATTTTCTCTCGTTTGACTCGGCTGACGGGTTCTTGGTCACGTCCAACAGCTGTTTAAACGTGTCAGGAACGCTTTTCTCCAAAGGTGTAGAATCGTCCAGATCTTTCACAGAAAGAACGGCCAACTTCTCCAATGCCTTGGCCCGAATGGAACCTTTCGAAACACTGTTGTTAGAGTTTATCTCGACTATCACTTACCCATAAAAGCCCATTAGCTGTCCTGTTCTATTAAGTTATTTATTAATTTAATGGTCATTAAATATTTTTGGCTGTTGGGCCCCAATCCTGCTTACATAATCGAACCAAACCGGCAGCGTAGCTCAAGTGTACGTCTCAATCAGAGTATCTCTAAGGTTATTGGAGATAGCGTCTGGGTGTGCGTCTTGCAGTTTGAATATGCTTTCAATGACACTGAGCTCCGGAGCGGTGGTATCGAGACCAGAAACAGCAATCCAGTCGTTAACAACCATACCTGCACCAACAACGGAAGATCCACGGTTCACGGTACCTGCCACCAAAGGAACCTGGAGAAGCGACGAGAGTTCCTCTTGGTCTTGGATCGAGGTTTGTGGATGAACCAGACCTCCAGTGTTGGAGAGAGCGCAATAGGATCCAACAAGAACGTTACCGGCAATGGTCTGTCTGAAAACCTCCACTCCTAGTACATCTGCTATGAGTTCTTCGGTTTCTCTTTCGATGTCGGGATGCACAAGGGCAACGTAGTCGTTACAGCAAATGACGTTTCCCAGGGCTGAAAGACGCTCTTCAACACGCTGGATCTTCACAGAGTCGGGCAGACTATTTCTCAAATGCATCAGTTCTTGATCTGTTGTCTGTGTAGGCACCAGGAGGCCTCTTCTATTACCGGCAGTCATACGTCCCACGATTCTGGTTCCTGCAATGGTTGTGTGAACAATAGGAATAACGTCTCCCAATTCAGCCTCGAAGGCGGAGTAAAAGTTCTCCGACCCTCCAACTGCCACCAAACAGTACGAGTTGGTGAGCTTGGAAAACACACCGACCTCGTTGGAATTCTCAAACTGAGTTCTACTTGCCATTCTTTGAAATTTTTAAGTAAAATATTTGCAAAAAAAAATCCAAGAAAATTTGATCTTTTTTTTTTGCATAAAATCTACAACATCTTTACACCTGTAAATAGCTTAATCGTAATCCATTAACATTTAGATATATATATTAGGTTGTTCGTTCAGTCGAGGTCTGGAGTGCTGTATCCAGAGTCATCGTCGGCGGCGTCCGTCCAGTCGTCAATGTCCATTGCGTCCTGGACCTCGTGGTTAGGCTTGACAACAAGTCCTTTATCGCTAGTAGTGATGTGCACCACCTCTTTATCTAGAACCTGGCCGTTCAAAACCATCACAGCAAGATGGTTGAGAATCTCGTTCTGGATAAGTCTGTTCAGTGGTCTGGCTCCAAGGTCAGCAGAGTAGCCTCTCTTGCACAAGTATTCCAAAGCCCCGTCGTCAACGTCAAGTTTGAGTGTCTTGCCGTTCTGCTCGAATCTGTTCTCGATCTCCTTCAATCTCAGCTTGACGATCTTGGAGATGGCATGTCTGGAAAGTCTGTTGAAAACAACAGTGGCAGAGATTCTGTTGAGGAATTCTGGTCTGAAATGAGCCCGCACTGCACTCATCACCAGTTTCTTGGTGTCTTCGTCCACCTTGCTTCCCTTGGAGGCAGAGATGTACTCGGCACCCAGGTTCGAAGTCATAATGACAATACAGTTCGAACAGTTGACCAAAGTTCCGTTGGCAGCGGTGATTCTTCCGTCGTCGAGCATTTGAAGCATAATGTTCAAAACTTCGGGAGCAGCTTTCTCCACCTCGTCAAACAGAACCACAGAGTAAGGCTTTCTCAGCAACAGGTTGGTCAACATACCACCTTCCTCGTATCCAACATAACCGGCAGTGGAACCAAGCAGTTTCGAGACGGAGTACTTCTCCATCAACTCGGAACAGTCGATTCTCACCATGGCTTTCTCGTCAGCAAACAGGAAGCCAGCGAGTTTCTTGGCCAGCTCTGTCTTACCAGAACCGGAAAGACCCAAGAACAGGAACGAGGCCGGCTGGTTAGGGTTGGCCAGACCGGATCTCGATAGTCTGATGGCATTGGAAACAGCCTTGACGGCCTCTCCTTGGCCAACGACAGCAGAAGAAAGCTCTTTCTCCATGGTGATGAGCTTAGCGTTCTCGGCTTGAGTCAACTTGTTGACAGGGATTCCAGTCAACCGAGCAGCAGTCTCAGCCACCTGCTCAGAGCCAACAACGTTCTTCACAAGGAACTCCTCGCTCTGGGCCTCTTCTTCCATCACCTTGTTCTCAAGCTCCTCGATCCGTCTCTTGACATCAGGAATAGCAAACATTCTCAAATCGGCAATGGTCTGTGAGTCGTGTCTTCTCTCAGCGTCCTGGGCCTTGATCTCCAGGTCGTCGAGCTTCCGTTTAGCAGCAGTCAACTCTTCGTGGCCTGCGCGCTCCTGGTTGTACTGTTCTCTAAGGGGTTCCAGTTCCTCTTCCAAGTTCTGTTTGCGCTGTCTGGCGGCTTCTAGTCTTTCCTTGGTGGAACTGTCAGCGTCCTGGTCTCTTTCCAGAGCGTTGATCTCAACCTCGATTAATTCCAGCTGTCTTTCCTTGGAGTCCAGTTCCTCCGGCTTGGAGTCTCTGGCAACAGCAACACCGGCAGCCGACTCGTCGATCAAATCGACGGCAGAGTCCGGCAGTTTTCTGTAAGTAAGGTATCTCGATGCCAGTTGTGCAGCAGTGACCAGAGCACTGTCCAAAATACGAACACCATGGTGGATCTCGTATCTTGGTTGCAGTCCTCTCAAAATAGCAACGGTCTCTCTGATGGTAGGTTCACGAACGTCGATGCGCTGGAACCGTCTTTCAAAAGCACCGTCTTTCTCGATGTACTTACGGTACTCGGTCACAGTGGTGGCACCAATGCAGTGGAAGTTACCTCTGGCCAAAGCTGGCTTCAGCAAGTTGGCAGCGTCCGACTTTCCGTCACCCATCAACATGTGGATCTCATCAATGAAGAGGATGATCATGGCCTGGGAATTCTCGATGTCGGTTAAAACTCCCTTGAGTCTTTCTTCGAACTCACCTTGGTATTTGGCACCTGCTTTCAAGGCACCCAAATCCAGCGAGTACAGCTTGCAACCTTGCAAAACAGAAGGAACGTCGTTATCAACGATTCTCTGGGCAACTCCTTCAACAATACTTGTCTTACCAACACCAGGGTCACCAATCAAACATGGATTCGACTTGGCTCTTCTGGCAAGGACACGAATAGTCCGTCTAATTTCTTCTTCTCTTCCAATCACAGGGTCGATCTTACCCTGCAAGGCCCTCTCAGTAAGCTCCACGGCGTATTTGGAAAGGAATTCAAACTGTTGCGACGAGTCGGCCTGTCTGGAGTCGATTCTCTGGTTACCTCTGAGCTCAGTGATTTGAGCTTTCAAAGCGTCCGCAGAAATGCTCACCTCTTTCAAAATGGATTTGATCGAGGAATCATCAAGCAGGGCCAGCAAAATGTGGTCCTGGCCAATGAACGAGTCTTTCTGTTGCGCTTTGATCTTGTTTGCGTTGGTGATGATGCTTGCGGCAGCTGCGGAAAACGATGGCTCGGTGTTACTGCCTTGAACAGCAGGCAGCCGAAGCAGATGTTTGTTCACAGCGCGCTCAAAGTTCTGCCAGTCGAACCGGCCTCTCTCAACTAATGTTTTCAAGTAGATTGCTTCTCCATCGGTTGTCATGGGTGTCATGGCAGCCAGAAAATGGATTGGAGCAATCTGCGCATGGTTGTTCTGTTCACACAGCTTCTGAGCTGTGGTGACAATGTTTAATGCTCTGTCTGTAAATTGTGATTGATCCATGGTTGAGAATTTGCTCAGTTGGGCCGCCTAATTTATACTAGCAAGGTATGATCTCGTGATAATTCTAGTCCATACTAGATAAGTACTAGAAAGTTCGAGTATTTGCAGAGGTGCGAGGTGGCCTAATTTTATTTTGGAAGACCCGGTACGGAGCCAGCGGGACGGCAGGAACAGTGGCAGTGCAGCACCAGCGGTGGCAGCATCAGCAATGGAGCCGTTGTGGATGGAGAAACCGGTTGTCTGGCTAAGCAGCATACGACCACCACTATATGCTGTTAAACCAATTAGTGTTTCTCTCGCCGTCCCAATGGAAAAGCCCCACTTAAACATCCTTAAAACAACCCACCAGCTGTCCACTGCACCCCAGTGAGTATCGGCAAATACACTTCCCCAGCCTGCTCTCCAACTTGGTCCCCTGCTTCCACGTCGACGGCTGTGCACTTTTTTCTACAAAACCCGTGCACCGCACTTCCGCTTCCGGCTGGCGATAGTTTCGATAAAATTTTGAGCGGGGGTGTGCATCGTGGTGTACGGGTGGCAATTTCCCAGTTTGTTCGGAGTTTTGGTCACTATCCGAAATTAAGCGTCCTGGCAGTGCAAAGCCGATCTCGGCTTTCTGATTCTCCAAGGATCCAATCTGGCACGATTGCGGCCAGGGAACTCGCCGATACACATTCGGCCAGCGTGTGCATGTTGTATCACAGCGTCTGTGGTCTTGACCGGTCTTGTTAGGCGGATTACTGACCATTCCATTCACCCCGTGGTTGACAAATTCTCGAGCTCTCATTGGATCAATGTCCCTGGACTAACGGAGCCCTGCACGCAGCTATGCGGCTTGCTTCGCGCCGGGGCCGACTTTTTTTAATAACTAGCATGCATGACAATATCGCGGGTCACGAAGATTTTCACCAGGCAATTTTTGCGATTCACGGGGGAACCCCCCAGATTTTCATTGCTTGCCTGACCGTATGGAAAATAAAATTTCCCTCCTGCAGGATTATTTTATAAATACATCATTGAAACCACTTTTGTTTTCATTCAATCATGTTGTCGGTTTCAACAAAATCAGCCAGATCGGCTACCAGACGCGCTACGCGTTCCATGGCTACGGTGTCTGACCTCACCAAGGACTCCAAAGTGAGAATGAACTTGTTGGAGAAGAACAACTTCATTAACTACAAGAAGCAACTGGAGAACCTTGATATCGTCAAGAGCAGATTGAACAGACCTCTGACCTACGCAGAGAAGCTGTTGTACGGTCACTTGGACGATCCTCATGGACAGGACATCGAGAGAGGTGTTTCTTACTTGAAGCTCAGACCAGACAGAGTTGCTTGTCAAGACGCTACTGCTCAGATGGCCATCTTGCAATTCATGTCCGCCAACATGCCTTCTGTGGCTACCCCAACCACCGTGCACTGTGATCACTTGATCCAGGCCCAAAAGGAGGGTCCAGCTGATTTGGCCAGAGCTATCAGCTTGAACAAGGAAGTTTACGACTTCCTTGCTTCTGCTTGCGCAAAATACAACATTGGTTTCTGGAAACCAGGTTCCGGTATCATTCACCAGATCGTTCTTGAGAACTATGCTTTCCCAGGTGAACTGCTGATCGGTACCGACTCCCACACCCCTAACGCCGGTGGTTTGGGTCAACTGGCTATTGGTGTTGGTGGTGCTGATGCCGTCGATGTCATGGCCGGTCTCCCATGGGAATTGAAGGCTCCAAAGATCATCGGTGTCAAATTGACCGGTAAGATGTCTGGATGGACTTCTCCAAAGGATATCATTCTGAAGTTGGCTGGTATCACTACCGTCAAGGGTGGTACTGGTTCCATTGTTGAGTACTTTGGTGACGGTGTCGACACCTTCTCTTGTACCGGTATGGCTACCATCTGTAACATGGGTGCTGAGATTGGTGCTACTACTTCCGTTTTCCCATTCAACGAGTCCATGGTTGACTTCTTGAACGCTACCGGAAGATCTCAAATTGCCGACTTTGCCAAGATCTACAAAAAGGACTACCTTTCCGCCGACGCTGGCTGTGAGTACGACCAAGTCATTGAGATTGACCTGAACACCTTGGAGCCACACGTCAACGGTCCATTCACTCCAGATTTGGCTACCCCAGTCTCCAAGATGAAGGAGGTCTCTGTTGCTCAGGACTGGCCATTGGAGGTCAAGGTTGGTTTGATCGGTTCTTGTACTAACTCCTCTTATGAGGACATGTCCAGAGCTGCTTCCATCATCCAAGATGCTGAGTCTCACGGTCTTAAGGCCAAGTCCATCTTCACTGTCACCCCAGGTTCTGAGCAGGTCAGAGCTACTATCTCCAGAGACGGTCAATTGAAGACTTTCCAGGACTTTGGTGGTAAGGTGTTGGCTAACGCTTGTGGTCCATGTATCGGTCAATGGGACAGACAGGACATCAAGAAGGGTGACAAGAACACCATTGTCTCTTCCTTCAACAGAAACTTCACCTCGAGAAACGACGGTAACCCAGCTACCCACGCTTTCGTTGCTTCTCCAGAGATGGTTGTTGCTTACGCCATTGCTGGTGACTTGAGATTCAACCCAATCACTGACAAGTTGAAGGATGCTGACGGAAACGAGTTCATGCTCAAGCCTCCTGTCGGAGTTGGTCTCCCACCAAAGGGATACGACGCCGGTGAGAACACTTACCAAGCTCCACCAGAGGTCAGAGACAACGTTGAGGTTAACATTGCCCCAACTTCTGACAGACTGCAAAAGCTTACTCCATTCAAGCCATGGGATGGAAAGGACCCTGTCAACATGCCAATTTTGATCAAGTCTCAAGGTAAGACCACCACTGACCACATTTCCATGGCTGGTCCTTGGTTGAAGTACCGTGGACACTTGGAGAACATTTCCCAGAACTACATGATTGGTGCTATCAACGCTGAGAACGGCAAGGCCAACACTGTGAAGAACCACTACACTGGTGAGTACCATGGTGTGCCAGAAACCGCTGCCTACTACAGAGACCACGGTATCAAGTGGGTTGTTATTGGTGGTGAGAACTTTGGTGAGGGATCCTCCAGAGAGCATGCTGCTTTGGAGCCAAGATTCCTTGGTGGATTTGCCATTATCACCAAGTCGTTTGCCAGAATCCACGAGACCAACTTGAAGAAGCAAGGTCTTTTGCCATTGAACTTCATTGATGCTGCTGCCTACGACAAGATCAACCCAGATGACGAGATTGACCTTGTTGGATTGAAGGACCTTGCTCCAGGCAAGCCAGTGACCATGGTTGTCCACCCTAAGAACGGTGAGGCTTGGTCCACCGAGTTGTCTCACACCTACAACTCTGAGCAGATCGAGTGGTTCAAGTACGGTTCTGCTTTGAACAAGATGGGTGCTTCTGCTAAATGAACACAGAGATGTTGTTGATTTGAAGGCATGGAGCATTTGTTAATAGATGTGGTTTGGCCGTTAGTTTCACAAAGTTATTATTTATTCACTATCTAGCCATCTTATTTTATTGTGAAGACTATTATTCAATTAATTATCGTAGATGCAGGAGTTTGTTGCCAAGAAGTAAGTGAGCGTTTCGCCTGTTTGTGGTTGTGTTGTATCTGTGTTATGTTGTTGGGCTGCGAATCCCAACGGGCCCTTGTCGCAGTCTGCGCAGGTGAGGAAACGAGCCAACTCTAGACTTAGGGTCTGGGTTTCGGGTTCGATAGGGCTCATTTCGACATTAATGGTGGACGACGGTCTGCTGACGCCGATGTTATCAAAGTCCCACATCGAACCGACCAGATAGAACTGGACAGGTTGATCAGGAGCGGAAGATTCCACACCCAGGGACTCTGTCACGTTGACGAACGAGAACTCAGCCCGGTCAGGCGGCGGTTGGGCGGTGTAGATCGGTCTCGGCGGTTGCGACGATATCACCTTTGATCGGCAGAAAGGACATCGTAGCGTGTATTTGGACTGTTTGTCTGTTTGTGCCAAAGAAGACATGATGATTAAATATGGTGAAAAAAAGATGTTTGCAACATTAATTTTTGTCGTATTTAAAAAATGGTAGCTGTGCAGATTATTCGTATTTTCTGTCCTTGAGACCTTCTTCGACGTCGCGCACCATGTACGAGTACCAGAAGAGTGCGGGCCAGATGGTGGCGAGATGCCAGAGCGCGTGGGCGTCCACCAGGTCGAGGATCGGGGCAAAGTCGAACAGCTCGAACGACATGCCGGCACTGACACTGAGCACCAGGGCGAGCGGGGTGAGGGTCCAGTTGACGTCTTTGTTGAGCAGGTCGGCTTTGAGCGACGACGAGCGGCGCGATTTGCGGAAACACGTCACCGAATGGTAGATCCAGAGCACGTTCTGGAGCAGGCCGCAAAACACATTTGCTTGCATGTTGTAAGTGTAGGACCAGTTGGTCAGGAGTCGGGTCACATGGCCAAAGTATGCCAACAGAGTCACCAGACCAAGCAGCTGGCGTTTGCGGTCGTGTTGCGGCAGATACAGCTTGAAAACACGCACGGCAATGGCATGGAAGCCAGACAGAACCGTGGCCCCGGCAAAGAAATAGTCCAGCCGTTCGCGGTTCCATGTGTCTCTAAGATGGAAGATGGTGGAGAAGAACCACGCACACATGGCCACCAGGGCCACCACGAGGTACGACCAGTACAGCTTGACGAACGGCGAGTTTCCTGCTCTGATCTCCTTTCCGCACTGTTTCCAGATCAACTTGGCCCCCCAGTAATGCGGGAACCAGTTCCCGATGCTGAAAAGGGTACTGAACAGTTCCTGGATCCCCAGAACGCGAACAAACGGCCACTTGCCATGGAATTGGTACACCTCCTGGCCCTTGCTGACGCGGTCCTTGGTGACGATTCGCTGGCACTGGTAGTCGCAGTTCGGCAGACACTGCCAGCCCACAAGCCGCAGATCCAGCGGCAACGGCAGCTCGTCAAACAGATGATATATCTGCTGTTGTGTTTTCCATTGAAGAAGTTCTCTTTCGGTGATTTCAGGGTACTTTGAAGCTCCTCCGCACGTCAAAACGTCACATTTCTGCACACACCGTTGGAATTCCGGCAGGTCATCGCCCAAAGACGCCCGAACAGGCCCCAGAAACGCCACAAGCGCCAGATATACGAGAAATATCATATACACAGAGTTTGGTGGAATAAAATATTATTTCCTTTTCTAGTTATTTTTCTTGAGCTGGAGACTTTTCAGAATGAGGTCGTCTGCGGCTTGCGAGTCGAGCAGTTTCAACTGCGACGGCGGGATGAACTTCGGGAAGTAGATCGCAAGCACCATGAAGAACATCAGAACGCCAGGAAACCCGACTGCACCCCTGGTGCACGTGATACCGAACTCAAACCCAAAGGCTACCAGTTGCAGAGCCAGGTACACCAGGAACCATTTGCGGTCCACGAAGAAGTAGTTTCGCGGAAAATCGGCTGACTCCCTGGATGCTGGGTCGGTGAACAGGAACCGTAGTTTCTGGATGATCTCGTTCTCGTTTAGGGCCCCAATGGCCATGATGAAGAACAGTCCAGCCAGCACAGCCTGGGGAATTTGACCCAGAACAACAAGCAGCGGTCTGGACATCATTCCCAGAGTCATGAGCCCCTGGATGGTGTTGCTGAGCCGCTGCTCGACCACCTTGACGATCTTGTCCTTGCCTGTTTCGTAGTCGTGTTTGTGCACACAGAGAGACTCTGTGTGCAAGGGGGCCTGGGGAATGAGACCGTTGGGGGCCGGGAGCCCTAGCAGCCCGGCCAGTCCCGTGGTGAGTCCAAGCAGCATGAAGTCGTAATGGAAACAGCCTGGTTTTTTCAGCGGGAAGTCGTCGGACTGGCACATTAGCGACGAGACGTTGTGGTCAAAGTAGAAAAGAATGGTGAGTAGCACGCCGAACGGCAGGGCGAGAAAAACGTCTCCGACAGAAACGTCCTGCCAGAACCGGATGAACCAGTCGTCGGGGCGATTAGCGGAGGTTGGATGGAACGAGCGTGTGATGGGCAGTTTGGCGAAATCGACGGATTTTAGGTGGCCTCCAAAATGGATAAAGCCTGTGAAAAAAACCACGCTGAGCGGAGTGCCGTAGTCTTTCACGAATTTGCGGAATAACGGGTGCACGTAGTTGGACTTTGTGCTGAAGAAGTGGGCCGCGAGTCCAAACAGCCCCATCACGAGCGCCACGACGATCGACGCGAACCCGCTCACCTCGTCTTTTATGGAAAACTGGTGCACCAAGATTTGGATTCCTTTTTGGATGTACACGATGTTAATGAAGAGTCCAAACACCGTGCAGCTGTACTTGGTGACGAAACGCATGAAATTGACGGCGTTCAGCAACGCCACTGCAAAATGCAGTACCATGCTCCACAGACAGATCCAGCACATGAACTGGAAGTACGCTATTCCTCGAGGCACCACTAGTTCGTAGACAGTGTAGTTGAAGATGGAGATAGGCCCTGTGACTCCCACGATACACAGTGGCGTACCTGAAAACAGGCCGAACACGATCCCGGCCATCGCAGACGACAGCAGCACCTCGTTGGTGCCGTACGACTTGTGTGCGTGGTCGTACATGTCCTGAGCAAAGGCCATTGCTGGTAGCAGATTGGTAAAGAAGATATACACCGCCGACGGCACCACGCGGTACGTCAGACCGTCACGAATACTCGACGCGTAGTACGGGACCAGTCGCGTGGTGATATCCGAATATATTCCCCGGCCAAGTGCAAACTGGCTCATCGCATTGATAAGACAAGCTTAAATAAGATAAATTAAATTAAAGCCAGATGAGGAAGAAAAATTAAAGGAAAAAAATATTTTTAAATTGGCATGCAATCAACACTTTTGACTGTGCGCCGGTTTAGCACCACCGCTCGCCGTTTAAACGGGCCAGTGGCTCCATTCAGATCTGGAATGGATAACCATGGCAAAGGCGCGGTGACTTTTGATAGAAATTTCCCTGTTCACCGCCAACCAAAAGCCTGGGAAAAAGATCGGGAGAGTAAAGACTCATGGTTTAGACGCAAACATGCTCATCACCACGCCAGAGAAAAGAAACTCGCAAAACAGAAACAGGGACCAGTTCCCACCAAGTCGCAGAGTCTCAGAAAAACCATCTCGCAGCTGAAAATGGACCCTCTGGTGGACTACCTGTACGGAACGAATCCTGTTCTTGCGGCATTGAAAGCACAACGTCGCGACAGTTTCGGGTCGCTGTTCATTCACAACCCAAAGGAGTCCGAGAAACTGGTCGAGATCTTGTCTTTGGCTAAACAGCTCGAAATCCCCGTCAAGAGTGAGTACACGAAGCACGATTTGAACCTTATGACCAATAACGGCGTCCACAACGGTATTGTTTTGGAAACCAGACCCCTGGAGGTTGAGCAACTACGGATGCTCGGTGACGCCTCAACAGAAACTTACTCTATCGTCAAGGAACAGTTTGGAGCCAGGGAAACCGTTTCTGCTACCACCATCGCTGATCGCTACCCTCTGGCGCTGTATATAGACGAAGTGAGCGATCCACACAACATGGGGGCCATTTTGAGATCGGCGTACTTCCTTGGAGTGGACTTCACCATCATCTCCGAGCGGAACTGCGCTCCGCTGTCTCCAGTTGTGTCTAAGACATCCTCGGGAGCTTTGGAGTTCATGCCCATATTTTCTTCGCAGAAACCGCTACGTCTTTTTGAAGAGTCCAGAGAACAAGCCTGGACTATCATCTCGTCGGTGGCTCCTCATGAGGCTGCCCGGATGCCCAACAAACAGCTTGATGCCGAGTCTTTAAAAGAACAGCTTGCCAAAGGTCCATGTATGCTTGTTGTTGGTTCTGAGGGAGAAGGAGTGAGAAAGTCGCTGCTTCAGAGAAGCGACTGGGTAGTCTCGCTGGAAAGCGGTAGAGCAGACCTGGACGGTTCTGTGGACTCGCTGAACGCGAGCGTGGCAACGGCTCTACTTCTGGCGAAATTTCTATGAACATTGTATATAGTTGATTAACCATTATTTACAGCTATTTCTTGCCCACGGTCTCTAGCAGACCGAGCAGCGACGACAGAACAAGCTGGTTCTTGTCGGAGCCGCCGAGAGGGGCCTTTGGCGAGTACCGTTTCATGGTGTTGAAGCCACCTTTCTTTGGAGCTTCGTGGTCTCTGACGGGCTCGACCTCGAAACTGAGCTTCTTCTTGATCAGGTTGATATGCGCAGCCTTTGGAATCAAGGGAACAGTAAACTCTCTGGCGTATCTTCCTTGAGCGTCCAAAGGACGACGAACGTCGGCAAGTTTGTTCAAGTACTTGACATGCAGTCCGGAAGTGACCGAATTTCCAACAAATCCACCCAGGGCAAACCGACTGCCGGTGGAACGCGCACTGATGTATCTTCCCGGAAGCACCTTGTTGGCAAGGACGCCGTTGGGGCTTTGGAAAAGACGGCCTTTCAGGTTGTACGACAAGCCAGCAGTTCCTGAGAACTGGTTGCGGTACAGGTTGGAGAATTTCGATCTCTTGGCCGTGAGACTCGACTCCTTGGCCTTGTGTATCTTCAAGAACTCGACGATCTCCTTCGAAAGGTCTGCTTGCATGACTCTTTCGGGATACGTTTTGGCAAGCCATTCCATAAACGGTCTTCTCAATGTTCTGATGTATCTTTTGTTTGTGGCGAACTCGAGCGAGGAAGGTCTTTTCACAAGCAGTCCGAGCTCGCGGGCAATCGAGTTCTCGTCCTGCAATGGGTTATAGCCCGGAAGAAGCGGACTGGATCCGTTCTTCTGCGATATCGTGCTATTTCTCACTTGAACAGGAATGCCAAACTCCTGGAACTTCTTCTTCTTCAATGCAAAACCTCCCAGCGGCTCAAAGTCCGGCAGACTGTACTTGTTGTCCAGATTGTTCACCACGATGTATTTGGACTTGATCTTGGTGGGGATCCGCATCTTGAGACCAAAGTCTCTTCTCTTGAACGACGCTGGTAGCGACTCCACCACCTGGTGGGTTGGGAACGCGCCAGAGATGTTTTTCTCCAAATCGCCGAGCGGCTTTGCCAGTTGCGCCAGCTTGGTGGATCTGAGAAGTCTAGCCAAATCGGACATGTTGGGCAACGGTGAATTTTTCCAAGCTTTTTTTTTCATCCTCTTGGTGCAGGCCGGTTACGAACCCGCACACAGGGTGGACAAATCGACGCGTCGGCGCAGAAAAAAACAGTCGCGTTAGTATCCTGTTCGCAATGCCAAAGACGCCCAACTACCAGAAACTCGAGGTCATCGGACGCGGGAAGTTCGGCACCGTGTACAAGGGCGTCAACAGAGACACCAAGGAGCTGGTGGCGATCAAGATCCTCAACCTGGACACCGCAGAGGAGGAGGTGAAGGACGTCCAACAGGAGATCCAGTTTCTGTCGCAGCTCAAGACGGTGCCCAACGTGACGCACTACTACGGCTCGTATTTGAATGGCCACAAGCTATGGATTGTGATGGATTATTGCGGCGGCGGGTCGGTGCGCACGCTGTTGCGGCCGGGCCCGCTAGAAGAGAAATATATCAGCATTATAGTAAGAGAGCTGTTGGTGGCTCTCCAATTTATCCATCAGAACGGCGTGATCCACAGAGACATCAAGGCGGCGAATATTCTGATCGAGAAAGACGGCCGGATCAAACTCTGCGACTTTGGCGTGGCTGCACAGCTGACGGCGACGGTGATGAAAAGAACCACAATGGTGGGCACTCCGTACTGGATGGCGCCCGAGGTGATCATGGAGGGCGCGAATTACAACGTGAATGCGGACATCTGGTCGTTGGGAATCACGATCTACGAAATGGCCACGGGGAACCCGCCGTACAGCGACAAGGACGCGATGCGGGCGATGCAGATGATCACACAGCTGGAGCCTCCAAGACTGGAAGGACGGCAGTTTTCGGCGAATTTGAAAGAAGGCGTGGCCACCTGTTTGGAGGAGAAGCCGGAACTGCGGCCGTCGGCCGAGGAATTGCAGCGATCCAAGCTAATCAAGGCGTACAAAACGCTCTCCACATCTGTGCTGAAAGAAGTAATTAGCCGATATCTGCTCTGGCGAGACTCGCGGCCGGCGCGCGAGTCGGTGTATTACGACGACGAGGAGAGCATCAATGACGACAACGAGGTCAAGTGGGACTTCGACTCGCTCAAGAGCGCCGAGTACATGATGGAGAACGAGATCAGCGAGGAAAACGTGCCGCGCGCAGAGGCTACGTTCGACCCTTCCTACGCCATCCCAGAGGCCGTCGAGTACACTATGAACCCGACCCTGCGCCATGGGACCATGCAGACTACGATGCGGCTTGGCACAAACTCCACGGCCGCTACCACGCTCCGCAACACCGTCAGCACCACCGTTCCGTCCAGCAACACCTCTGCTCCCAAATCGCTTTTCAAGCTGTTCGAGCAGGAAGAGTCCGACGAGGCCGAGCCAGAACAGCGGCCAGAGCTTCCCGTGCTGCAGAACACGTCGATTGAGATCCCCAGCCTGGATACGGTGTCGCAGCCCGCCATGGCAGAGACTAGATCCCGGTCCCAGACCGTCTCGAGACAGGAAGCGTCTCCAATGCCGACTCAGCTCGAGGAGGCCAATGTGCACCGGGAAAACACCTCGAGCACCGGCCTGCACATGCTGGGCAACCGCACGCCGTCTCCGCAGCGGTTCAAGGAGCCTGGACTGGTGCCTTCGCCGCAACGTCTGGGTCCTCCCTCGTTGCCGCACATGAAGCCGCTGCCGTCGTCAGGCTCGCAACAGCCGCTATTGCAGCCAATCAACAGCAAGCTGCCAACCACAGGGATCCCCTCTGGGCCGCAAACTGCTCCCCCATTGAGCAACGCAGAGTACCAGGAGATGAAGCCGGAGGCAGGGTCGCTGTCACGTGCACGGTCGCAGATCCGGTTGCAGATGCCTGTACCGATGCTGCATACACAGGCGCTCGACGAGAAGCTGGCAGCCGCGTCGCCAGACACCATGAACCAGTTTGGCGTGAACATCAACCTGGCCTCGAACCTGCCGCTAGCCATGACGCCCGTCACGGAGAAGGCCCATCTGGAGCTGGGAGCCACGCCCGAGCGCGACAGGTCAGACTCTGTGATCTCTCCACGACAGCCGGGGTATTTCGAGGAGCCTGTGCGCACAGAGGACGAGCCCGTGGACCGCGTGAGTCTCAACAGCCGGCTGGGCGGGCTGAGTCTGGACGTGGGAGCCGGAATGCTCGAGTTTGGCGACAAGAGCGCCATGACAGAGGAACTAATGGCACTGTTCGGCAAGTTTGGTGGGGTTCTGGACGCGCTGATCGGCGAGGTTGAGACCGTCGCACTGAACGAGCGCGCAGACGTGCAATGACTCATAGACGGCATGTACTGTTGTTACATAAATACATGATGATTATTTTTTTTAAGATCAGTGCTCAAAGACGTGCTGGACAAAATGCTGCACCACGACCTTGCCCTCCTCGAAAGCCGGATCTTCGTGGCGAACGATGGCGGCCGCGTGCGTGGCGTTCGTCTTGGTAATGTACAAAGGGTACTTATGCCACGGAAGAGTGTTGAGATGCTTGATGATGTCCTTCTGCTCTGGCGAGAGATCCAGCTTGAACGGAGCCAGGATCTGGCGATACCGGTCTGCATCCTGGGTCTTTGAGGTTTCTGTAGCGAGGTCGAACTCGCCGAGCTTCTTGATGGTGGTGGTCAAAGATAGCGGACCGTTCTCGCGGTTGTCAAAGATACTTCGGTTGATGTCCTTGGTGGAAGTGATTGCGTCGAAAACAGAGTCGATGAACTCGTCTCCGTGGTCGTGCAGTCCGGACTCGAACCGGTTTAGGTCAAGACTGGCCTCGCTGAGCCGTTTAGTAAGAGGTGGCCGTGAAACGGGCTCGGGCTCGTCACACAGCTCCAACAAACTGTGCAGCTTGGACGATTCCTTCACAACCCGGACCGTCGAGTTGATCACTTGCAACCAATTGTGTAGCACAAACCATGTGACCCACATTGGCAGGTAGACACCAAACTTGAACAGCATGATGGCCCACTTGAACTTACGCTGGAAGAAGTTGGCTGTTTTGGAGCACCCGGCTGCATTACCGTCAGCGTCGTTATCGTCAGGCAGGTCTTCCTGGACCATCTGGTTCAAATTGGACTTGGACGAGCCGTCCACGAGTCCAGTGAAGGTGATTGGCTGGTCCACGTCCAGGATGACGGGCTCGTAATTAGGCACAAACTTGAGACTAAACTTGGACCCGTTTTCGAAATGGATGTATCCATCCTTATCGATTTTAACGTTTGGGTTTTTGTCCAGAATGTCAAACGGATTGACATAGCTGATCCCCGAGCACCACCACGAGGTCCTGATATCCGAACGAATGTTGGAGTAAAGCGAAATGTTCTTGAACTGGGCGAGTCCACGGAAGAACACCGTATTAGGCAAAGACATGAGTTTTAATAAAGGAACCGAAGAGTCCTTCAAAAACAGCTGGTGGCCGCTCTTACCCAGCAAAATGGGGACCAACCAATTGAAGATCCGAATACTGACACCGCTGCCAGGAGTCAGCACACCAACGTGCGGCGAACAAAAGGTGGTGAAATTAACAGGCTCGATGTCTTGGAAAAAACCGCGATAGTACAAGACCCCTATTGCATACCGCGCAATCAGGCCTCCCAAGGAATAGCCAACAACAGAAAATCTACGAACAGCGAGTCCCTGTTCCTGCAACCGCAACGACTCTGCAAGGATCTCCTCAGCGACACGGGTGCCGCATAAGTCAATCCCGTCGTAGGTTCTAAATCTCTCGTTAGTCTTGGTGGTGTACACCACGAGTTGCTCGTCAGAAGGGTTGAGGGAGGAGTAGGTTCTCAGCTGTGCTTCAATATAAGCGAAATGGTCAGAAACACCCCACAGGCCATGGCAAAGAACCACAAGGTGACAATTTTTCGATTCCATGACACTACAGGGGATATGCTGTGCCTTTTATATGGCTCACACGACGAAACAAGATAAGAGATTTTCTATAACCTTCTGCAGAGGTGGGAGGGTGTCTCAGACAACAGAAAAGGCCATGCAACATGGAACGGAGTAGGTAAGCGAATATTTTGATTGTTTAGGTAATCTGCGCAACGGCAATGGGGGTGCAAGGATGCGGCAATAGAAGGAATAAAAAAAAAAACAGCAGCCGGAAGAGGTGGAAAAAAATCCTTGGAAATTACACCCCCTCCTCCCTCAAACTCCGATCGGAGAAGTGTCTGGGAAAAGATTAAAGTTAATTTTTAATTGGTACTTTTCGGTCAACAGCGATCCCGTGTGTTTTTGCATTTAATTGAAACCTGTGTTCTTCCTTTGTTTACCTGAGTGTTTGGGATTCGAATATCTGGGTCAGAATAGTCCGTTAGATATGTTGAAATCTTTATTTAGCGCAGGTTTGCAGACGCAAGCGGTCAGACTTACAAGGACGCATTTGGTTCCTTTGGGTCAATTGGGCCGTGTGGGTGGTCTAAGTGTTCCCAAGGTGACTGTTCGTCAGTCTTTGATGATGTCTGGCTCTTTGACAAGACAGTTCCATACGAGTTTTGCTCGCTTCAAAGACGAGGAGCCCGTTGCGGAGTCCAAGGTGCTTGTCAAGCGTGAAAAAACCTCGTTTTGGACAGAGACTGCCGTTGGCCGTGTTTTGAAGTTGTTTGTGATCACCTCTGGTGTTGTTAGTGGATCGGTTTTGTTGCTTCTTGCTGCATTCTTCGTTTACGATTACACCACCTACACCCCTCCAGAAATTATAGATAACTTGCTGGTTCCAGAAAGCGCTTTGAATCCTCCTCGTGGGGGTCCTGAAAACTTGCCGATCTTGACAGATCATCTTGACACCTTCGACAACCCGGCCAAGGAGCAGCTCAGAAGAAAGCCGCACTTGGTGGTGCTGGGATCCGGCTGGGGTGCTGTCGGTATGCTCGGCAACCTTGATAAGAACGACTACGACGTGACAGTGATCTCGCCAACCAACTACTTTCTGTTCACGCCGATGCTCCCGAGCGCGGCCGTGGGAACTTTGGAGCTCAAGTCATTGATGGAGAGTATTCGGCACATTGTGCGCCGTGTGAACGGCCACTACTTAGAAGCCTCCGCAGAAAAAGTGTTGTTTAGTGAAAAGCTCATCAAGGTCAGAGTCAAGGGATCTGGCCAGGAGTTCTACGTCCCTTACGACAAGTTGGTCATCGCTGTGGGGTCCACAGCAAACACTCACGGCGTGAAAGGTCTGCAATACAGCAACCAACTGAAAATCGCCGAGGATGCCATGGAGATCCGTCGGAAAATCGTCACCAACTTAGAAACTGCATGTTTGCCAACCACCTCGGACGAAGAGAGAAAAAAACTACTGTCATTTGTCATTTGCGGTGCCGGACCAACAGGAGTTGAGATGGCTGCCGAAATTTTCGACTTGATGAACGAAGATCTTACTAGAAGTTTCCCAAAGATCCTTAGACAGGAGATTTCCATCCATATTATTCAGTCCAGATCGCATATCCTCAACACCTACGACAAGACCATCTCCGAGTTCGCCATGGGCCGGTTCGAGCATGACCAAATTGACCTGCTCACCAACTCTAGAGTGAGAGAAATCTTGCCAGATCAAGTGATCTTTGACCAGAAAAACTCAGACGGCACCCTCGAAACTAAGAGCGTTCCGTTCGGACTGTGTTTATGGTCCACTGGTGTGGCCCAAAACCCGCTCGCTCAACAGGTGGTGAAGGATCTGTCTGCGTACCAGAAAAACAAGCGAGCTATCGAGACAGACGCGCAGCTGCGTGTTCTTGGAGCACCTTTGGGCGATGTGTATGCCATTGGTGACTGCTCCACTGTGCGTACCGAGCTGGCAGAGCATTGCTCCGATTATGTGAGAAAGTACATCATTGGCTCGCAGTCTCCGCAGTTTGTCAAGTCCCGCCATATTATCACAGACGATGACATCAAGCACGTGGACCTGACGTATTTCGAGCTCAAACAGCTGTGCAACCAGATCTCGCAGCAGAACCCACTTGCAGCGGGTCCGCTCGGTCTTGTGGAGGAGCTGATCCCCAAATACGACGCCGAAAAGCGCGGAAGACTCACTTTTGACCAGGTCAAGCTCCTCATGAAGGAGGTGGACTCGAAGGTCACCTCGCTGCCAGCCACCGCCCAGCGTGCTAACCAGCAGGGTAAGTATATGGGCAAAAAACTGTCGAAGCTGCGCAAATCGTCAACGACCCTATCAATTAATGACATTGTGGACGGAGACATTGACAATGCCATTGCTCGTCCTTTCAAATACAAGCATTTGGGCTCCCTGGCTTATATCGGAAACTCGGCTGTGTTTGATCTTCCAGGATACTCTTTTGTGGGAGGCTTGATTGCCGTCTATCTGTGGAGAAGTATTTACTTTGCCCAGAGTGTCAGTTTCAGAACCAGAGTGCTGTTGTTCATGGACTGGCTCAATAGAGGAATCTTCGGAAGAGACATCCTGACCGTTTAAACATATAGAATCGTGTATTTTTTTTCTTTACCTAAGCAGGGAAAACAAAGCTACCCTTTTTTTGAAAAATCCCATTTGGCGCTTACACGGGTATAAAACATGCAGTGTTTGCCGGTTGGTAAATTAATAGTCCACAATGGATGAATCTCACAGCTTCTCTATGGGTCTACGGTTTTTGAAATCTCGACTGTCCAACAGGGACTACAAGCACGAGGAGTCATTGAAACAGGCTCCTTCTTCGCCGGTTTCCTCTACTCGATTGAGCTTGAAGGAGAATGAGGCCATTGGCACGAAAAAGGAGCCGTCCATGACAAACACAAAAAGACGCCGGAGCTTTTTCAATTTGAGAACACCCAGAGACAAACCGGAGACAACCAACATCTCGCTTTCGGATGAAAGTGACACCAATTACGCCAGTACCCCTAAAATCAACTGTATCAATAACGCCGGGATCGATCTCTTAAGCTGCGAACTTGACCCAGCTGACCAGATAAGTATGACCCAGGAGAAGGAGGATGACAAGTCGGTTAGACCACAAAGCAACGCTTTGTCCGAGATCTTGCAACCAGAAAATGTCCAACCTGATTCCGAGGAAAATCAATTATTGTCATCAAAACCAGCAAAACAGCCAACACCAAACGAGGGAAAGGCAGATACCAAAAAGGAACCGACAGATTCGGATTCAAGCGCCGAGATTGTCACGATCTCCAAGAATGCTGTCGACATAGCCTCGTCAACAAAAACAGCCCCAACATATCTCTCCTCCACTTTTTTCACTCCTACCAAACAATTGACGTCTTTGTTTGTTGGAGATCTCGATAAGACGGTCAACGAGTCGGAATTGAAAAAGTTGTTCAACGGTTTCCCTGGTTTGATTTCTGTCAAGATCCCTACAGACTGTCAAACGGGTAAGTCTTTGGGATACGGCTATGTTAATTATTCCGACGAAAACCAGGCTAGTATTGCAATTGAAGCATTGAATTATACCAAGCTGGGAAACATGGAAATGAGAATCATGCCCTCACTTAGAGATAAGACTCAAAGGGAGAGAATTGGAACCAATATCTTCTTGTCAAATCTTTCCTCGTCGTTGACCACAAGAGCGCTTTACGATAGGTTCAAAAAATACGGGAAAATACTATCTTGCAAGTACAACGCTTCCAAACAACAGGCATTCATTCATTTCGAATCCAAGCAGGTTGCCTACGAGGTTGTAAAGGCTGTCAATCATACAACCATGGATGGGAAACTTGTGTATGCTGGCGTCCACATCTTAAAGAAAGACAGAGATCTGTTTGGTGCTACCGCCAATTCTGGTAGCAAATTGGGCGAAAAGAAGGATATTTCTGATATTCCGGTTTTTTCACCAGCTACCAAACCAACTGAAACAAAAGAAGAACCAAGCACCCAGTTTTCTGTCTTCATTCGTAACCTTCCATTGGATATCGAACAGGATGTGATCAGAAGTCTAGTGGAGCCGTATGGAGAGGTGATTTCTGTTTTGGCCCGGAAAGTCCCAAGAAAGAAAGGTTGTTGGGCACTTGTCACTATGACCAACCAGGAGTCGGTCAACAACGCTGTCTCGCACCTGAATCTTGTGGAAATCAATAGGCATCAATTGTTTGTCACCCGTGCAATTCCCAAAGAAGATAAAGAGTACAGTCGAAAACAGGAAACGTACCCTAAACACAAGCTCAAAATCTTGATTACAGGATTGAATGTGAATATTCATAAAGCAAAGTTCCAGGAGTGGTGCCTTACTTTTGGATCCATAAAATCGGTCGAGCTGTATGGAACCTATCCCCAGGAGAGCCATAAGAGTTTCACGGCTTATGGCTACGTTGAGATGGTTAACGAAGCTGATGCGGATCTTTTGATCGATAATTTGAAGATGCTGGGTGTTTATTGCTTCAAGGTGAAAGTTGAAATTCCACGCAAGGAAGTGGCATCAACTTCGCCACACACGCCATACATTTCAAAAGCAGGGATAGGTAATGGATCCACCTCTGGAAGCTACTTGGATCCTTCCAAAATGTACCAATTAGCAGCATTCACTAAATCTGTGGAGAATGATAAGTTGCATGGTAGCCAAAGCGTCGTGAAGGATAGATTTGAGCGGGATACCCAAAGGCCCGAGCTAAGAAGCCAAATCGATAAGGTTATTGGAGACTTTGCTACAGATATTCTTGGTAAGGAGCTCGTTTACATCAAAAGCACTGGAGAACTAAACATGCCCAAGATCCACTCGTTATCCGAGCATATCATCAAGTTTTTCTGGTCCAACAAGATCGAGTCGTTCTGGAAGTTCTTAGAAGCCAACCATTCTCAAAACGAACAGATCCATCCGCTACTGAGAACCCAGATAGTACAGAGTTCGATGTACTTGGGAATTGTGCCGAAGGAGTGAAAAAGGAAAAGAAGCAAAAGATATACCTGCCGACACCAGGTGTATTAAGTTATATACAACAAGTTGAGCAGCTAAGAGTGTTACACCAATTCGACATAGTTTGCAGGGAAGATACCTTCTTTCGTGCCGATTCTTCCTGTCCACCAATCATCTGTTGAGTCTGATTTTTGAATGATGGTGATAACGTCACCTTTCTTGAAACCCAGGTCGCCCTGTTGCTCCCCTGCAAACGAATAAAGAGCAATGGCTTTCTTGGATCCTGAAGGACCTGCACTCGAGCGGCTGGAGCCGTATCCGAAGTCTGGTTTCTCTGAACGAGGTCTGTAACCTGCCGATCTTGCCTCGGCGGAAAACGATTTCTTTTTATCGTATCTATCGTAAACGTCGTCTTCCCAAGACGTTGGTTTTCTCGAATGGGACGCAGTGGTGGCTGGAGAGGAGCGGTGGTAATGGGAACGGGGCGAATCGTCATCCGAGTAGTCTTCGTCTTCTGAGCCGTATGATCTGCGCGAGTTGTATCTTGCGGACGAGTTTTCCGAGCTAAATTCCGAAGGGATATCGTTGTAGTAGTCTTCGTCGTCTGAGTAGTATTCTCCATTGTCGCTTGCTCTTGTGAAGGCACGGCTATTCAGGACTCTCATGAGGGATTCACATGCGGCTGGCGGTCTCACGCGGCCTCCGAGGATCTGACTGGCCTTGCACATGTCACCGTAGAATTTTCTGTTTGCCTCTCTTCTTTCGACAAGCACAGATCCTTCGACAGAGACACCGGCAAAGATACCTTTTGTCTTGGAGTAGGCGAAGACAGGAGCCACGTTTTTGAACGAGGCAGATCCGGCAACTTCAGCGTTTCTTCCCAAAGGACCCGCAGCCACAGAAATGTTACCACCCAAGGTGACCGAACCGAATTGGGCAAACGACTCGACGGCAGCGGGGGTGTTGAGAATGAAAACAAAGTCTGTGACCTCTGCACCGACCTGACCACCCACACCGGCACCGGCAGTGACGATGGCGGACGGAGCAGACCACGAGCCGTCGGGAAGTCTAGCCACCACCACACCTGAACCAGCTCTGCCCGAAAACAGGAAACCGGCCTTGAGCACGGTGATCACCGCCAGTCCCTTGGCCTGTAAAAGAACGTCTCTGGGGATCACCTCATCAGCTCCGAACAATTGGTTGGGCTTGATGAAAGAAGCCAGAATTTTAGCTGCTTTTCTGTTCGGTTAGAATTCGGGGAAATCCATGCTGTAAAAACTTACTTGGACTCGCTCTTGAGCGATCTTGGAATCGGATTGTTGAGACCCATTGCTTAACTCGAATAATAATTTGAAGCTGTGCTTTTTAAACAGTACACGTCAAGCTAAAAGTCTTGTCTGATAAGATCTTCAATAAGTTTTTCGGCTTAAAAGGGACTTTAATTATTGCGGAGCAAGGTGTGGTTATGAGCATCCTTGAAGCTTGGCAACCACAGCCTCCACGAGATTATTTGGTCATGTAGACTGGTCATGGTCTTTACAGAGGCACGAATTCCGAGCGGAGCCGGACCGAATTGGGGCTCCAACGGTTTTCTTCTCGGCGGTTATACTACAATGAAAATGGGCTCTCTACTTAGATAACGTCACAGACCGAAACTTTTAATTATTATTTGTTAACCCCGTTTCCCTCTTTATCTTTCTTTTCTGGCCCTACAAATGAAATCACAATCGCTTTGGGCATTGGGCGCCTATCTGTGCTCACAGGTCTGCGGGGCCGCCGTCTCCAACCAGCAACAAGTTCTTGGTCTGGGAATTGAGAACGACCTATTACAACACAAGTTCGACTCCGTCCTTCAAGATGACGTGAGACAGGCTTGGAAATTCTTGGAAGAGTCCATGGACCTGGAATCTCTGAAAAAAGCTTACAACAACTTCGAAAACGCCGTCTGTCCAATCACAAGCTCTTTCCCTGTTGATACCTTGGTGGCAAACAAAGAGGCAGAGGTTGTTACTCTCGACAAACTCCCAAATTACCAGTTGAGAATTAACAAGGCCAAGAATGACCCACTGAGTCTTGGCGTGGACACCGTGAAACAGTCTGCAGGATATTTCGATATCAACGAAGACGATAAACATCTGTTCTACTGGTTCTTTGAGAGCAGAAACGACCCTGCTAAGGACCCTGTCATTCTCTGGCTCAATGGTGGCCCTGGCTGCAGTTCTCTTACTGGCTGTCTGTTTGAGCTTGGCCCATCGTCGATCAACGGTACCACACTCAAGCCTATCTACAACCCATACTCCTGGAACTCCAATGCTTCTGTGATTTTCCTGGAACAACCTGTGGGAGTGGGCTATTCTTACAGCACCAAGTCTTCTGTCTCAAGCACCAAGGTTGCTGCCAAAGATGTATTTGCGTTCTTGGAGCTTTTCTTTACCAAGTTCTCGCAATATGCCAAAAACGACTTCCACATCGCAGGAGAATCCTATGCCGGTCACTACATTCCAAACATCGCTGCTGAGATTTTGGATCACCAGAACAAGTCATTTGAATTAACTTCTATCTTGATTGGAAACGGAATCACCGACGCTTTGATCCAATACGGCTGGTACGGTCCTATGGCATGCAATGGAACCTTGTCTGGCTACAAACAGATTATTCCAGATAGTGACTGTGAACTGATTGACGAGAAGTATCCAAGATGTGCCAGATTAATCGAGGCTTGCTACAGAACGGAGTCTGCGATCACCTGTTTGCCTGCAAACATTTACTGTGAGACCATCATGGAGCCTTTCTCTAAAACTGGACTCAACTACTACGACATCCGGGGCCCATGTGAGACCGACGGCGATTTGTGCTACTTCGGAATGGACTACATTGATAAGTACATGAACTTGCCAGAAGTGAAGCAAGCTTTGGGATCGGAGGTCGATTCCTACACTGGATGTGACGACTCTGTGTTTAGACAGTTTATCTTTAGCGGTGATGAGCCTAAACCGTTCCAGCAGTATGTTGCACAGGTCTTGGAAGCTGGCTTGCCCGTTCTTATCTACGCTGGTGACAAAGATTACATCTGCAACTGGCTGGGAAACCTTGCCTGGACCGAGGCTTTGGAGTGGACCAACACCACGTCTTTCCAGAACGCAGAGTTCAAAAACTGGTACACTTTGGAAGACGGTCTTGCTGCAGGAGAGGTCAAGAGTAACGGCCAGTTCACATTTGCTAGAGTGTACGACGCCGGCCACATGGTCCCATACGACCAGCCAATCTCTGCATTGGACATGGTCAACAGATGGATCTCCGGCGACATTGCATACGATTTGTAGAGTGATCTCTGTCCAGTTTCTTTGCTAGGTAACAGATTCGATCTTGACGCATTACAAGTTTATTGGTTTGGGAGTGCTTCGGGCTGTGCTTTATTTTAAAAACAATACACATATTTCTAAATATTTCCCCTTGTGACAAATGGAGGCTTTTCAGCAAACAATTTAGAGCAACGTATTATCATTACCGCCGACGTTGACCTCCCCTTTTTAGCAAATAGACGATAGCCACAAATAAGCGCCCCTGTCCGAACCTGCGCCTACTCCGAGGGTCTCTTGTTCATCCTTGACAGCGGTTTCCAGCCTCCATATTAAGTTGTTGATCTAGATCATGTCATCAGCACCAACTTCAAACCACCACCAGTCCTGGATTTCTAAGATATGGAACAGACAAGCGTCTGTTTCAAATTCGCCACATTCGACGCCAATGGCTGGCTCTTCCTCAGACGCCTCAATGCATTCACAGGCCAGTCCTGAGTACGTGCACTCACTCTTGCATTCGCCTAATGGATCGTTTCAAGAAAGAAGAACTTCAGCACCCTCTGTGATCAGCCACCAAAGAAGCCCGGCATCTGTGGTGTTCGATTCGTGTAAATGTTGTGGCACAGTCATAAAATATCCTGCCGATGTTTCCAAAGTTCGCTGTTTGGTTTGCCACACCCACACAACCATAAATGAAGATTCAAGCTCCCCACGCGCTAAGAGAGAGAACACAGATGTGGTTCCGAAGCAAAAGACAGAATCTGACACGGTGGAAAGCTCGTTGGAAAAGCCTGCATCATCAACTGTACGGCCGAAAGCCAAGCCAGATATCTTGTCGTATCAACACCTCAAACAAGTCATTTCTAAATGTTCCGCTAAAAAGAGCCCCGATAAGCATGAAAACAACCCTCATACTTTATTCAAACCACTAGAAGACGTTCTTCTCGATTCATTCTCTTCTTACGAGTGCTTGAATAGCTCTTTCAAACTTTCTTCCCAAGAACCTCCAAACCATCGCTCCCCAAACCTTAACTTCAACGAGATAAAGAAGTCATATGCATTATTACTACGCCTACCTACAAAACGCCCTTTCTTCAAGCTACTTTTGGGAGCCATCCAACTACTAAGACACCCTCCAGTCATGAAAGATCCTTCAGATATCAATTGGCTACTCATTTTATTAGAAATTCCTATTCTACAAGACTGTCTGATTAGCGGAATGGATACATGTACCGATATCTTGGCCCCAAACCTCAGAGCCTCGTGTTACGAGGTGTTGAAACGTGCTATTGGATTGCTCTCATACGCAGACAGAAAGATCACCAACAGACTCACCTACTGGTGGTCCAGACTTCCTCACGAAGAGTTTATCAAGAAAATCGATTTCTTGAACCTGTACATCACTTTCCAACTCACTAGATGCATCAATTATGAGCTTTACAACTCCATCATACAACCAGGTTCATATTTGAACACCTCCATGAATGACGACATCAATTACAAAGAAAATTTAAATGCCCATTTCATCAGACCAACTTCAAAAAGTTCTGACTTTGGTCTTTTCATTGGTATCCCTGTCTATATCTCCTCTGGACGTAGACGTCCAAACGACATGTCTTCGAGTTCAACTTTTTGGGCAAATAAGAAAGATAACCAGGAGCACGAAGTGAAGATCCGGCTGCAACAGTATGGAGATGACTGGCATCTGCGTACTGCTGGACGTCTTGTTTCATTCCTCTTCATTGCTAATAAGAAGAACAAGAAGGTGAGTGATGCCGTTTTCTACAACAATCTTGTTGATTATGTCAATGTAAAGCAGGATTTTGACGCATGGCAGTTCAATGCCTCCACCAAGAAGCATCAGCAAGACACAGAAAATAAGGATTCTTTACAATTGGTGGTGGATTATTTGCAAGCAGAAACCAAGGCCTCGTATCTTGGTCTTTCAAATACTAACGGCACATTGAAGAAGTCATCGTTCACGTTTTGCCAATTTCCGTTCTTACTTTCGTTAGCTGCCAAGATCTCAATTCTAGAGCATGAAGCTAAGCGAATGATGGAACGGAAAGCCGAGGAAGCGTTCATTCAGTCTCTGAACAAGAAAATGCCGTTTGATGTTTATTTCAAAATCCGTGTCAGACGGAATTACATCACTACCGATTCTCTAAGAAGCATCAAGGCCCACCAAGCGGATTTCAAGAAACTTCTGAGAGTTGAGTTTGTTGACGAGCCTGGAATTGATGCCGGTGGGCTGAAGAAAGAGTGGTTTCTTTTGTTGACAAAAGACCTTTTTAATGCAGACAAAGGTCTTTTCTCGTACGACGAGACCTCTCAATTTGGCTGGTTTGCTATTTCTTCCATCGACAATGACGAGCTGTACTACTTGGTTGGAGTTGTTCTTGGGTTGGCAATCTACAACTCGACGATTCTTGATCTGCGACTTCCAAAGGCTCTGTACAAGAAGCTGATGGGACAGAAAGTCACCTTGAACGATTACATCCAGTTGAATCCTGACGTGGGTCACAATTTTAAGAGACTTATGAAGTTGGAAAGCGTCGATGATCTTGAATTATATTTTGATGTGTCTTACGCAGATATATTTGGTGAAATGCACTTCGCCGAGCTTGTTGAGAATGGGTCACAGATCAAGGTGACCAACGATAACAAGTACGAGTACGTGGAAAAGTACGTTTCGTTTTTCCTCAATGATTTGGTGAAGGCGCCATTTGAATCGTTCCGGAACGGGTTCCAGCACGTTATTGGAGGAAATGCTCTTTCGTTGTTCACTCCTGAGGAGATCGAGCTGATTCTCATTGGAGAGGACTACAGAGACCAGAAGATTGACTCAAATATCCTCAAGTCGGTGACCAAGTACAACGGGTTCAGCAACACGGACGACGTGGTGACGTGGTTCTGGGAGCATTTCGAAGACCAAACGTCTGCAGACCAGCGCAAGATACTTCTATTTATTACAGGGTCGGACCGGTTGCCGGCGACCGGATTACCCTCGATGACGTTCAAGATCACGAAGCTTGTGGACAAGGATCTGACTCGACTGCCGATCGCTCACACGTGTTTCAACGAGCTGTGTCTCTACAACTATCCTACCAGGGAGATTTTTGCAAACAAGCTACACATGGCTATCTATTACAGTGAAGGGTTTGGCTTGAGATAGAATCATAAGGACCATCGCCGATTGATATGAACAAAAATAGGGAAACTTTATACCAGATTGCTAGTCAAGCGTTGCGTATTTCTTCAAGTGTTCTGGAATGGCGCTGTACAGGCCCTTGGACTCCAACCACGACTTGCTGAAGATTCTGTCGGAGTACTTGTGAGCAGAGTCTGCCAGAATGGTGACCACGTTGGAGTTCTCGGGCAATGTCTGTGCAGCCTTGACTGCGGCAACCACGTTCAAGGCCGAGGTTCCTCCCACGTAAATTCCTTCCTCGTCGAGCAGTCTGTACAGCATGGCAATGGACTCCTCGTCAGGGATCAAGAAAGCGTCGTCGGCAAGCTCAATGTCCTGTGCAACGTTGTTGGTGATACGGCCTTGTCCAATACCTTCGGTGAACGAGGAGCCTGATCTCTCGAGACTCTTACCGCCTGTCTTGACGTACGAGTACACGCACGATCCCGGTGGCTCGGCAACATAGCACTTGGTGTCCGGGTTCTGTGTCTTGAGGTATCTGGAGGTACCGCACCAGGTTCCGCCGGTTCCCAAACTGCACGTGAACCCGTCGACCTTGCCGTTGAGCTGCTGGTAGATCTCTGGTCCTGTCATCTTGATGTGAGCGAGTCTGTTGTCGAGGTTGTCGAATTGGTTGGTCCAGTATGCGTTTTCCAAAGACTCCGCGTGTCTTCTGGCCTTGTGGTTGAAGTTCTCTGGATTGTCATACGCAACGACCGGAACAGGGTACACCTCGCAACCGAGCAGCTTAAGCGTCTGGATCTTGGATGGTGCCTGGGTGTTGGGCATATAGATCACCACGTTGTAGCCCTTGGCACGGGCAACGTGTGCAAGACCAATCCCCGTGTTTCCTGCTGTTCCTTCAACGATGGTTCCGCCAGGCTTGATGAGTCCCTTTCTCTCTGCCTCCTCGATGAAGAACAGAGCGGCTCTGTCTTTGACGGACCCGCCAGGGTTCATCCACTCGGCCTTTCCATAGACGTTGCGGCCAATTTCGTCGCTGAGACGGTTGAGTCTGATGAGCGGGGTGTTTCCCACGGCGCCGGGCAGGCCCTTTGCCGAGGTCAGTGCCTGGAACGAGGCGTCGTACGAGCTCGAAACACGCACGGTACCGGAAAAGAGTCGCTTGAACATGATTATCAAGATCTTTAGTTTATAGCCCGATACTGAATATATTTTAGGATTATGAAAAATCACGTGACCGCCGCACCCCCTGCTTACGGAAGCAGACGCTGGAGCTCGTCCTTGTTGACCGGGCTGAAGCGGCAGTCGATGTCTCTAGAGTGGTCATGGTCGTGCTGGTGCTCGGCAAGAAACACCTCGTCTTCCTGGATCGCGGATCCGTATGACGCCAGCGGCTTGAACGGCCCGTACTGCGCAACGTCCCTCTGGTAGTAGAGCAGGTAGTGTTGCACAAAGAACACAAAGTCCGCGAGCGCAACCTCCATGCTGAGCAGAAGCTTCGGTAGGTTGTTGAAGATTGCGCGGATATCGCCTGCAATGTAGGCGTCCAACGCAAGTTGAGCAAACGAAAAAAGCGAGCCTGCGAAATCGAGCCACACCATCTGGATTGGCCAGCCGTGGGTGGACTTGCGGTTATAGTTGTACAGTACCTGCGGGATATTCTTGCACACGCTCATGAGGATCTTGACGAGTCCGAGCGAGGTGAGCAGATCGACCCAATATAGAGCTCCTTTTGAGTTGTGGATGATAAAGCTGTATCCAATTGCATAGAACAACACAGCAGTGAGTCCCAGCTTGCACGCAATGGACACCTTCTGGTTATCGTTCTTCTTGAACCCCCAGAAATACGCCTGACTGATCAACAGCAGGTTCAAAAGTAGACCGTGTGCTCCAAAATAGAAGTCGTTGAGCTTGATCAACGGATATTTGTTGTGTCTTTCAAAGAACTCGTCCTTGATGGTGTCGCTGAAGTACAAAAAGCCGGTGTATATCGAATAAAGAGTAAAACCGGCCGTGTTGAAGAACATGAAATCAAGCGAGATCCCCTGGACAGATTTCATGTGGATGTTGGAGATGATACTCGGATAGCCCGAAAGCGACCAGGACAGGAAATACGACCATCCACACACTTTTGAAAGGGTGACTAATGTCATAATAAATATGTTGATGGAGAATAAGATAAATTATTAGATAGATAAATTATAATCGCATATCAAATTATTTATCAGTAACTGATAATAATCCGATATCAGAAAAACATATTTGTATTTCTTGGAAATCCAGCTTACTGTATTCCAACAACCAGAAGCTCCAAAGTCCACACTCTCCGTATGTGGATCTTGATGGTGGACTGCCCAAGAGGCCGGCCTTGAGTATCTCTGATGTTCAAACTGGAAATGTCCAGGTCCAGCACGGTGTCGGACCACCAGCACTTTCTGGCAGGCTTTCTCCAGAACAGAAGCAGCTTGGTAGCGATGGAGTTTTTCTCTTTGCGAGCTCTGGATCCAGACCGCGACACGGCCTGGGCAAGAGTACTGAGTCTGGATTTGCGTTTTTCCGGTTGACTCGACAGCGAGCTTACAGACGAGATAGGCCGAAGTGACGGAGACTCGTCTGCTGGGGTCTCGGGACTCTCTGTAAGAAGGCGAACCAGCGCCAATGAAAACACAACGGTTTTTCCGGGCTCCAAAGACCGGTGTCCCCATTCCCCATCGATTTTGAATCCTGAGGAACAGAGCATGTCTAATAGATGCTGCTCAGCAGCCTTCAACTGTTTTCCTGGCTCGTATCCTAAACCGTCGAAGATTCTTTTATTTCCAACCAGCTGTTCTCCCACGAACAGCTTGATTTTTCTCATCGAGGTAGCATCTAGTCCAGCAACGGGCGGTATGCAGTAGTAGTCCAAGTCCTCACGTAGAACAATGATCGAAGGCTTGTCATTCAAAATCCCAGGGTCGTTGATATCGTATACCTGCTGATGGTTACCGTTTTGTTCGCTCACTTGTAAATCATGGACTGCTGCATCAAATACCTGGCATATATATTGGAAACATTCTGGCGAGAAATTCACATAAACCACATCGTCTTCGGTCAAGTTGGTTATCACGTTTCCGTTGATATCCACAAACACTCCATTAGGGAACAGACACAGCAAAATACTCTCGGGAAGAGCCATCAGGTCATCTCTAGTAATCGTGAAAAATTGACCACGCAAATTCATCTTAATCTCTGTATTATAGTCATCCACATCAGACGGCACTTGAGGAACACCACGCACCTCATCCGGCTGTTGGACCTGTGTTATTATATTCTGAGACATGGTTATTCTCAAGAGGAGAAACAAGACAGCCTGAAATTGGGGAAAATTATCAAATGCTTAGGAATTCGCTCTTGTTTACTTTCTGAATCCAACTCTGCGTGCTATTTGCTTTAACAAATCCACGTTTGCACGCTTGAAATCCAATTTCCGAAGAAGAACAAAAGTTCCCGTTTAGTTTGCTTTAACAAAGAGTCAAAACTATGTTTTTGCCTTTTGTAAATTTAATTTTTATGCCGGGTAAGATATACCGAGAAGAAAAATAGATTTCTTGATAAATCCGAAATAATGACTTTTGACGATGTGTGGCTATCAGACGACGAAGAATTCAAGCCAAACACGTCAGAGATGTACGGGTCTATAGAAAATGAGCCAAAGCATGCAGATCTGTTGTCTTTGAAGAGAAAACACGCAAAACAGGGGTACTTAGATGGAATCTCCAAAGCCAAAGAAGAGAGCTTGCAACAGGGATTTGACGATGGATATCCTATTGGTGCTCGAATAGGAGCACTGGTAGGAGAGATTTTGGCTAGTCTGAAGCTACTGTTGGACAGCTCTATGATCTCTGTGAACGATTACGATACCGCTTTGAAAGAACTCAACATCACCAAAGTTCTGCAACCAGAGTTTTTCGACTCAAAGTTAAACATAGCTGGCGAAAGAACGCACCCTGCAATCCAAAAGTGGACTGCATTTTACGAATCGAAATTGGACGCCTAATACTCAACTCCCCCAACCTTTTCACGAAAAGCTACGTTTTTGCATCAACTTCACGTCTACATAAATATAATTGTACAAATAGATTGATTTTTAGGAGATATGTATAACTCGTCTATGGAACGCTGAACAAAGAAAAGTTTCTGACAATGTTTGGTCCATACTCTTCGTAGTCGCGCTTAGTATGACAGTAGCTCTTGAATTCGGATGTTTGAGCCAAAAGAGATCCTCCGAACCACACAGCGTTCTTCTGTCTTTTATGAGAAATCACCTGAACAGTGACACCACTCGATTTGGAACCACTGGTGCGCTCGCTCTGAGCAACTCTTTCATTGACCAACGTTTTCAAGTCTCTCTGCAAACGTCTTCCAAAGTCCTTGAACATGGTTGATCCTCCACTCAAAACAATATTCTTGTAAAGGTTCTTGCGGACATCGATAGGAGAAGCCTGGATCACCATATCCACAGTGTTTGGTAATGGAGTAAGGAAGTCGGACGACGCGATCTCAGGGTTGAAGAATATTTCAGGAGCCAAAAATCTCTCGTATCCAACATCAACTTCTATTTTCGACTTGCTGACTGTCTCGACAATGTATTTGGCAAACATATCTGGATGAGAATCAAATTTGTTGAACTCTTTGACGATATCCGGGCAAACATAACAGAATTGTTGTTTGATTTGTTCGGCTGTCTTCAAAGAAGTATCTTTCTCTCCTCTTTCTCTCAAAAGTGTCTGGATGAAACTTGTAATGTCTCTACCTGCAATCGGTATGTTTTTGATAGCGGATCCAATAACGTAACCTTCGGCAACGGGAATAACGTGTGTAACACCATCTCCGGAGTCAATGACCGTGCCGGTCAAGGATCTGTCCACAACTTTCGACGAAGTCCAGGAAGCGGCCAACGCAAGCACGGCTTGCACGGCAATGTAGAGACCGGCGCAATTGAAGGACTCAAACATAATCTCGGCTGTGTTTTCTCTGTTTTCAGGCGGATTCAACGGAGGTTCGGTGAGCAGAAAGTAGTGATCTTCGGGCTCGCATCTCAAGTACTTAAAGATAGAATTCTCCCAAAACCTCTCCATCTGGTCCCAGTTTTCAATTTGACCGTGTCTAATTGGATAGTTGAGCGAATAAGATGGGCCCTTTGCAGCTTGCAATGCCTCATCACCAATAAAAAAATCAAGGTCTTCCATGTCTCTCTTCAATGACAAGTTACCTCCGGAGCTCTTTCCTGACGAAGCGGTGGATGAGCTCAAAAATGACGGTTTTGAAGGCGCGGACGGTTTACTTGATGATCCTGATGATCTTGTTGCAATTGCTGTTGGAAACACCCATGATGGAGAATCGTTTCCGGCAAACCCCAATTTGGTAAGACCGGTACCATTGTCTTTACTAGTTAGTATATCCAAGTCACACTGGTAAATTTCAACTTACCCATCACAACGGCAGGAGTATTAATGCTGGCCATTTTTCCCTTGAAATGCAATTGACTAGAGCAACTATTTTAATGAAGAGCTTTCTGCTTAAACAATCCGTATCAGATGCTCAAACCGGTAATTCAGTTCGCTAAATTATGTTCAAGTCCTGTTGATTGCCGTTCTTCAAGTTCCTCTATGAATTCATCAGCCTGTCCTTTTTTGTCTCGTTGCAAGACTGTCGACGGGGCTCGCAACGGGGCTCGTACAACAAAAAACCTTGTCGTGGAAATTTGGCGAGATATTTAGTTTTGCACCATGAAGTGCCAACAGCCCCGCAATTCGGGCCTGCAAAGTCTACACGTGTTGTTGAGGAACTCTGTTTAAGTACACAAGCTGGATTTTGGAAATTTTGGGAAATTTTCCAATATTATCCCTTGTAGCCTATTTAGACTAAATAGTTTCCTAGAAAAGGGGGTATTCAACTACTTGTTATAAATACCCTGTCCAAACCCCCTACTGAACGCCAATGAGTTCATTAGACTATTTGAAAAAAGCTAAGACGGTGGTTGTCACAGATACTGGAGAGTTTGAATCAATTGCCAAATACAAGCCTCAAGATGCTACCACCAATCCATCTTTGATTCTGGCTGCAGCGAAAAAGCCCGAGTATCGGAAACTGATTGATCGTAGTATCGAGTATACCATTTCCCACTCTCAAGGCTTGGATTCAGATCAGCAGGCTGCATTTGCTCTTGACAAGCTCTTGGTCGAATTTGGATACGAGATTTTGAACTTGATTCCAGGGAGAGTTTCAACCGAAGTTGACGCGAGACTTTCGTTCAATAAAGACGCGACAATTGCAAAAGCCCTTGAACTGATCTCACTTTATGAAGAACGGGGAATCTCCAAGGATCGAATCCTGATCAAAATTGCAGCTACCTACGAAGGAATCCAAGCTGCAAAAGAGCTCGAGGAAAGATACGGTGTTCATTGTAATTTGACTCTTTTGTTCTCGTTCATACAAGCAGTTGCATGTGCTGAAGCCAAAGTCACTCTCATTTCTCCGTTTGTGGGAAGAATTCTGGATTGGTATAAAGCCACCAAGGGAAAAGACTACACCCAGGAGAATGATCCGGGCGTTCTATTCGTTAAGAACGTCTTCAACTACTATAAGAAGTTTGGCTACAACACCATAGTGATGGCTGCATCATTCAGAAACGTTGGTGAGATCGAAGAATTGGCAGGCTGCGACTATTTAACAATCGCCCCAAACCTCCTTGAAAAGCTGCACAACTCAAAAAAGAAAGTTGCCAGATCGCTCAACTCGGCTCAAAGTAGTAGTCAGTACAGCGGCGACAAAGTCACAATCATTGACAACGAACCACTGTTCCGCTTCGAGTTCAATGATGATCAAATGGCTACCGAAAAACTTTCCGAAGGGATTCGTAAGTTCTCAAAGGATACGGAAGAGCTTCTTGCATTCCTGAAATCCAGCCTACAGGAGAGAAAAAGAAACTCTAAATTGTGACATGACCACTAGTTGGCAAGCTGTAAGTAGTCCGGTAGCTATTATGTCAGAATGGAATGGAAAATCGGCCTTTTGTTTCTTTGTCACCAGCCACATAGATTGCCGTCGATAAAAATTCGCCACTCACACCCCCTATTTTGGGAACATGTTTACACGGAGATGAACCCCACGGAACATAGTTTTCCAGGAATTACCAAAAGGGGAAATTGATGTGGCGAATTTTTTAGTAGGTGAATAAAAGGCAAATCACCCCCTGGTGGCCGAGGTAGTTTGCGGGAGGGTTTTTTGCGGGCGGGAGTTTGCTCGCGGGCAAAAAAAAAAAAGTACCTTGTGTGTTTGCATATGTTTACGTAACTTTCTTTCAACACACATTAATTTCGTTGGATATATAAGTCAAGGGTTGGTCCGAAAGGCTTTCAATTATTTGGAGCAATTTATTTCCAACAAATTATACTTTAACGACCAATTGCAATGAATTCTTTGGAACAACTTAAAGCCGCAGGTACCGTTGTCGTGACCGACACTGGTGAATTCGAATGTAAGTAACTAAACCTATTATTTGATTCAGTACTAACCGTTCAGCTATTGCCAGATACACTCCTCAAGATGCCACTACCAACCCATCGTTGATTTTGGCTGCTTCCGGAAAGGCCGAGTATGCTAAGTTGATTGACATCGCTGTCGACTACGCTAAGGACAAGGGATCGTCTGTTGACGAGAAGGCAAGTCTTGCTCTTGACAGATTGCTTGTCGAGTTCGGAAAAGAGATCCTGAAGATCGTCCCAGGTAGAGTTTCTACTGAGGTCGACGCTAGACTCTCTTTCGACAAAGAGGCCACCATCAAGAAGGCTCTCGAGATCATTGAGCTTTACAAGTCTATTGGTATTGACAAGGAAAGAATCTTGATCAAGATTGCCTCTACCTACGAGGGAATCTTGGCTGCGCGTGAATTGGAAGAGAAATACGGAATTCACTGTAACTTGACCCTTCTGTTCTCCTTCGTGCAAGCTGTTGCCTGTGCTGAGGCTAAGGTTACCTTAATTTCTCCATTCGTTGGAAGAATTATGGACTGGTACAAGGCTAACACCGGTAAAACTTACGAAGGTAAGGAGGACCCAGGTGTCCAATCCGTGACCAAGATCTTCAACTACTACAAGAAGTACGGATACAAGACCATTGTCATGGGTGCTTCTTTCAGAAATGTTGGTGAGATCACTGCTCTCGCCGGTTGCGACTTCTTGACCATCGCTCCAAAGCTTTTGGAGGAGTTGATCAATTCTAAGGAGCCTGTTCCAAAGGTTTTGGATGCCTCTGCCGCCAGCACCACCGAGGAAGAGAAGGTCTCCTACATCGATGACGAGCCTACCTTCAGATTCCTGTTCAACGAGGACGCAATGGCCACCGAGAAGCTTTCTGATGGTATTAGAAAGTTCTCTGCCGACTGTGTTACTTTGCTCAACTTGTTGAAGTCTAAATTCTAATTCCAGAATCGAGAATTGAAACGTATGGAGAAAATTGTTGGTTTTTGTTCATTTAAGTCACTTCATGTTAGTGTAACATAATGAATTTTTAGCTCTATATAGTTTGTTTTATCTAACCTCAAATTGCACTCACTTTAATTAAAATTCGGACTTTGATTTTAAAAAATTCTTCTAGGCATGAACATTGGAGCATGACGATTGGGCTTGATCTACAAAATTTGCTTCAATGGGCAACGTCTCACGGTTGTCAAATCTCAGATTCTATAGAATTTCGAGCATCTCACCAAGGAGTATCTGTGTATTCCAAAGAAACCTTTTCATTATCAAAATACGAAGTGATAGTTCCAGACTCGATAATAATTACCCCAGATAAAGCATTTGAACAACTCGATATTGATCCTAAAATTGACCCAGTACTGGCTCTAAAGTTGTATCTGTGCTATTTGAAATCAACTGGGCATGAAGATTTTGCAGCATATGTCAAATGCCTGCCACCACTGAGAAAGATCGGTTCTCCAATTACCTTCAGTGAACAAGAACTAGATCTTTTGAAAGGAACAAATATCTTTAATTCAGTTCCAGCAATGAGAGCTCAGTTGTTAGCTGAGTATGAGGAACTGTTGACATCACAAGGCTGGATAATTGCAAAGAATTATGACAAGCTATGCAAGGATGATTTTTTTTCGCTTATCACTGGTGAGCTCTCAGAAGGATGCCATTATCCTCCTCAGTTTAGCTGGTTTCTTTGGGCCCATTTGATTTTAACCTCGAGAGCTTTTCCTTATCGTTTAATCAACCCTAAGGCTCCCAGTAATGCAGTCATGTTGCTCCCAATTGTCGATCTATTTAATCACAAAGCAGGCTCAAAAGTGACATGGTTGCCATCACAAAGTCAGTTTGGGATTCGAATCGAAGAAACTGTTGGACAAGGCGAAGAGTTGTTCAATAATTATGGCCCCAAAGGAAATGAAGAACTGTTTATCGGATATGGATTCACGATACCCGATAACGAGCACGAGCAATTGCAGCTCAGTATCAACATCCAAGACGTGAGTGAACGGGATCTTGGAATATGGGATATAAAACTTCCAAAAATGAGCGACTATACATTTTCTGTGTCAAGCGATGGACAGGAAGAACACGGGAAAGAGGTAATGACAACCGCTGTATTCATTTGCAATAATTATCATACTTTACCCGAGGGATTGCTCGAGCTCTTTGCATACAAATCTAGAAATCAGGAGGATACTCAAAAGACTTTGGCATCATTGTTCAAGGGATTGAATAATCTAAAAGCGGCTATTGATCACAAGTTCAAAAATATTACTGATAAGCCGTCTTTCGGATTCTACACCAACTCTCATTTGATCCCAGGAGCTACAAATGGAAATGACCAGCTACTGTCAGGTAACTGTGAAAACTCGATCATATACAAACGAAGTCAATTGAAACTTGGAAAATTAATAAAGGCATCACTAAAAGATGAGGAAAAAAGACTGCTCAAAACCTACCGAGCAAAGTTGATCACCGTCAAAGACATGATTAAAAAAGATCTTTTCATCTCTGAGGCAATCACAAAGTTCAATTTTGCATCTCCGGAAGAAAACTTGTCAGTCATTGAGCAAGAAATTTTGGTTAGCTATTGGCTTTTGATGGTTGCAAAAGGAGTATCTTCAAATTTGAATTCCGATTGGGTGCAGAAGGAGTTCTTAAATTGCGCAGACACCATCCATTCTGAATCTTCAGATGCTGTACGAATGTATGAAATGCTGTCTCAAGATTCAAATATACCTGATTGGCAAGAAATGGTGAGTCTGGAGGAATTCGTCAAAGCCGATCAGGTGAAGATGCGAAATTATTATGCTAAGGGGGCCAAAGGAGAACCGATTTTGATAGTACCGACTACTCTCTGATATTAGAAACTCCTTGCTCTCAATATCTTGCCGGTATAAGTCTAATTAGGAATAGGAAAAATGCAAATGTAAGAAACACAAAGAGAATAACTCTGATATAGAACCAAATTCCTAATTTGCCTTCCCGGTGGTATTTCGAGAGGGTACCATTTACCTTCTCAAAGATACCCCTGGAGCTTTCAAAATTCTCCGATGCCTCCTTGAGGATAGTAGCATCCTGTTTTAGCATGTGTTGGAATTGGAAGGCTTGGTCTTTTAATGATGAGACCATCGAAGGTAGGGAATCTATCAATTCTTTCTGGAAAGATTCGTGTTGTTCATTTTGGATTTGTGCAGATGGCAAAGCATCAAGCTCGGAGGGCAAGTCCCTTGTGGACAAAAGACGTTTTCTCAAAGCCTCGATTGGTTCGTCTTCGTCTGTAGATTTTAGCTGTAGTGTGCTGATTGAGTCTCTATGGAGAACCGTGTCTTCTGTGTCGACTGATCCAGGTACAAAACTTGATGCGCTCTGCTGTTTCTCGATTTCGTATTCAAGCTCAAATTTCATATCGAGCAGAGATTTGAACACTTCATGGAACTCTTTGGAGATATCATCGTTTTTGATTACACCATCAATGCACAGCTGTTTGCGCACAAGACTCAGATTTGTAACCAATTTCATTGTTTCCAAATATGTTGGTACCAGATCTGACTCATCATCACAGTGTACCTTAATATGTGCTGCATCCTCTCTTGTTCGCGAGATTAATGCGTGTATGCTAGCTGACATGATTAAAATTGTGCAAACAAATTGTTTAGAAAGCACCTAATTAAACAATTTTTCTTGAATGTCGAGGATATTGAAAAGGTCGTTATTATTCACTCGATTCTTTCGTACGAGTCGTACCATATACCGCTATGATGGGACTCCGAAATCTCTTGCATTCTCGGACTTGGGCCATGACGCTCTAGACCGAAACATTGAGACCGTCAAGCTGGCTTTCGACAAGTATTCCCCAAAGTCTCCTACATCAAAAAACCCAATTGTATTCTTGCATGGACTATTTGGATCTAAAGTAAACAACAGATCTGTGTCTAAACAGCTTGTTAAATTACTCGACAGAGATATATATTGTCTTGATTTAAGAAATCACGGTGAATCACCACATCATCCTAGGCACGATTACCCTTCTTTAGCTGCGGATGTTGAACGATTTATCGAAGACAACGATCTTATAGATCCCATTTTGATTGGACATTCTATGGGAGCAAAAACAGCGATGGGTGTTTGCCTGAGACGACCAGATCTTGCTTCGCTTTTGATATCCGTGGATAATGCGCCGACAGACTTCACTGCTGGTGGAACGGGTTTCAGCAAATTTGGTCTTTATATTCAGCAGCTGAAGAAGATCGAAGCTCAACCCGATCTCAAAAGTCTTAAGGAATGTGATAGTGTTCTGGCTGAAGTGGAACCTAGCTTGGTTGTGAGGCAATTTTTGCTCACGAATATGAGGAAATCTCCAGAGGGATATTCAAGTAGAGTGCCACTGGATACTTTAGGCAAAAGCCTTGACAATATCTCTGGGTGGCCGTTCAATTATGAAATATCCAGATGGACAAAACCAGCATTATTCGTACGGGGAACCCAAAGTCCGTATATTGCAGATGAGTATTTAAACTCAATTGGTCTCTTCTTCCCTCGATTCGACCTAAAAGACGTCGATTCAGGTCACTGGGTTATCAGTGAGCGGCCTGCAGAATTCATTTCGGTCACCGTTGACTGGATTCAAACTACGGAGGACGATATATAATACAACAGATAGACTGTCGTGATTTACATCCTTACACGCGCATTTCTCGCTTCCGAGTCGATCATTGTAAGATTCCAAGGTGTGAAGCTCAAGAGTTTCTTGTACTAGTAAAAGCGGTTGCCGCTGTATGCATAACCTCAACCTGATGTAAGTAGACATTGCCGGCGATTTAATCAAGAAGCGGGCAAATTCACTTTCTTTACTCGCCCGGAAATTTGAGGTCCTTTAGTGCATAAAGTGACTATATCAATATTTTTGAAAGTAATCGGACAATAAAATTCCTGTCTAGTTTATAGCGTGCTTGCTAGTCTCATAGAATGTTAAGAGCTTATCAACAAAGACTATTTTCTTCGGCCAGAATACTGGCAGAAGCTGCACAAAGTATGTATCAGTCACTATGAAGCCCAATCATGGGATATTCTAACCAAATAGAAAAGCATGACATCGTTGTGATTGGAGGTGGTCCGGGAGGATACGTCGCCGCCATCAAGGCAGCTCAATTAGGTTTTGATACTGCCTGTGTTGAGAAGAGGGGAAGACTGGGAGGAACTTGTTTGAACGTTGGTTGCATTCCTTCCAAAGCTCTTTTAAACAACTCTCATCTGTACCATCAGATTCAGCACGAGTCTAAGGCAAGAGGAATTGATCTCAACGGAGACGTTAGTATTAATCTGCCTAACTTCATGGACGCCAAAGACAAAGTCGTTGCTCAATTGACCGGTGGTATTGAGATGTTGTTCAAGAAGTATGGTGTCAAATACTATAAGGGTGCTGCTTCATTTGTTGACGAGCACAGTCTCAATGTTGACCCTATTGAGGGCGGGGAGGAGGCTGTTCTCAAGGCTGACAATATCATCATTGCTACTGGTTCCGAAGTCACGCCATTCCCAGGGATTGAAATTGATGAAGAGAGAATTGTCTCTTCGACAGGTGCCCTTTCGCTTTCCGAGGTTCCTAAGAAACTTGTCATTATTGGAGGTGGAATCATTGGACTTGAAATGGGATCTGTTTGGTCCAGACTTGGATCTGAAGTGACCATTCTGGAATTTCAAAATTCGGTTGGTGCTGGTATGGATGCCGAGGTCTCTAAGGCAACCCAGAAATTCCTTACAAAGCAAGGTTTGAAGTTCAAGCTTGGCGCCAAAGTCACCAAGGGTGTCAGAGATGGAGAAATCGTGAAAATTGAATACGAAGACACAAAAAGTGGCAAAACTGAAGCTTTAGAAGCAGATGTCCTTTTGGTTGCCGTTGGAAGAAGACCATATCTAGCTGGTTTGAATGCAGACGCAATTGGGTTGGATATTGATAAGAGAGGTAAGGTCGTTATTGATTCCGAGTTCAAGACAAAATTCGACCATATCAGATGTATCGGTGACGTTACCTTTGGTCCTATGTTGGCTCATAAGGCTGAAGAAGAAGGTATTGCTGCTGTTGAGTATATCAAGAACGGTCATGGGCATGTTAACTATGCGAACATCCCAGCTGTGATGTATTCTCACCCAGAGGTTGCTTGGGTCGGACAAACAGAGCAGCAACTAAAAGATGCAGGAATCAGTTTCAAAGTTGGAAAATTTCCATTCATTGCGAACTCAAGAGCAAAAACCAACATGGACACAGAAGGTTTCGTGAAGTTCCTTGCAGACAGCGAAACCCAGAGAGTCTTGGGAGTTCATATCATTGGGCCTAATGCCGGTGAAATGATCGCAGAAGCTGGTTTGGCTCTTGAATACGGTGCTTCCACCGAAGACATTGCTAGAGTCTGTCATGCTCACCCAACTTTGTCGGAAGCCTTTAAAGAGGCAGCTCTATCTACTTTCGGTAAGCCAGTCAACTTTTAGAAAAGCAAATTGAACAACGAGTGATCCTTATATTATTTATTCATCCTATGCCCTACACGTAGAACTGAAATTGTAGCTTCATCCAATCGAGGTGAGAAGGGAGAGCTCATTTAACATTGTTTCTTAAATTGGAATCAAACTGCCTGAATTGGAAAAGGAATCTTATCATGCCAGGCTCATTGATAAAAAGATTGAAATCTAAAAGGTACAGCAAAGTCAGCTCGAGTTTGAAAAGTTCCTCAACTCCTCGAATCCCAGTGACCTTACAAAAATATGCTTGTTTGTGGTTTTTGTCCTCGATCAGTTTTAGCGCAATTCTCAAAGTGGTTAGAATCAATCGAAATACATTCAATTCACCAACTGGCAACATCTCAACTTTATGGTTAGTTCCATCGGAGTCCTGTGGAGGTAGAAGTGGCAGTAAAGATGAGCCAAGTGAGGGACGCAAGTTGAAAGTCATGTGAAATAAATAATATGCAGCAGTTAACAACGTAGCTGTCGATAGATTGGAGTAATGGTGTATTCGTTCCAAGTAGGTTGTAATGGGAAGTGATGGCGCTTGCAATAAGTAGAATTTCTTGCTCAATGATTGTTCCACCTGGAAATCCGATCTATAGAGCCGAAAATGGATACAGTCCTGAGAATAGCTACGCGCACTCCCACTTGGGGCCCCGCTCGTGCCTTGCTCTGAGTGAGGAATATTAGGCCGAATCTCGTTGTCGCTGAAATTGAAATCAAGTCTCGAGTGCTTCCGAAGTGGAACGTCAAGGTCATTGTTTTGTCCTTCGGTAGATCCTCCATCTTCGCGATTTGTATTCTGCAACGAACGCGCTCGTTTGCGTTGTATCAAAATTGGTGTAGATGCCTGGTCAGACAAGGAAGAGTCCTTCTTGAACAACAAATCATTTAAATTGAGCTGATCATTCGATTCTAGCTCAGAAGTCAGCCTTAACAGATTCTGGATTAGTCGGTTAAAAATCGCAAGTGCTTCCAATGCCGTTATTTCCCCTAGAGAATCAAGTTTGTTCAATCTCTCATACAGGAGGTTCTCAACGTTCACATGTTCCAGCTTCGGGCTGCTAGGACTTGCAAATTTGTTACCCTTTTTACCATGGTCTGAAACAGCTCGTGATGAAACTCTAGGCTCACGATTTGAAGTATCATCGTCACCAGATGAGGGGGGTTGGCTTGATTCAGAACAGTCCATTGCAAAAAAACTAAGCTGCCGCTGGTTCTGATACTATGAGTCTATTAGTACTTCTCAAAGTTGTTGAACTCCAGATTGCTGTATAAAATATATCAATCGTTCAAGATGTACCGGATCGACAAACTGGCAATTTAATCACTAATAAAAAATATGCTAGACATTTTTATAAATGCATCAACTAGGTACAAACATTATATAGATATAGAATTTTGGGGATCAGTCTAAACCATTGAAACACGAACACTGTATTATTTGTAAGACCAATCACAATTCGTCATGGGACCAATCATCATCGTCATCTTCTTCGTCATCATCTCCACCAGTTGGAGGAGCATCGTATAGCTTAGATGTGATAGGGTATGCCACCTTGCTAAGCTTCTCTCTTTGTTCATCAAACTCCTCTTTAGTTGCTGTATCGAAATTATCATCCAAAAATTCTAAAGCTTCATTAACAGCATCAAGCAAAGTTTCCTTGTCATCCTCGTCAAGCTTCGATCCTAATCCATTTTCGTCGTTGACTTGGTTCTTCAAGGAGTGGGCATAGTTCTCTAGAGAGTTTCTATTCTCAATTTTCTCTCTCAACTCCTTGTCTTGTTGTGCAAACTTCTCAGCTTCCTCAACTTTCTTCTCGATTTCTTCTTTAGAGAGACGACCCTTGTCGTTCGAAATGGTAATGGAGTTGGATTTCCCGGTACCCTTATCTGTTGCAGAAACTTTCAAAATTCCATTCGAGTCTAAAGTGAACGTGACTTCAATCTGAGGTGTTCCTCTTGGAGCTGGTGGAATACCAGTTAATTCGAATTTGCCTAAATGGTTATTATCCTTAGCCATGGCTCTCTCACCCTCGTAAACTTGAATAAGAACAACTGGCTGGTTGTCAGCTGCAGTAGAGAAAATCTGGGACTTCTTGGTAGGAATTGGAGTGTTTCTTTTGATTAATGTTGTCATGACTCCACCAGAGGTTTCGATACCCAAAGTGAGCGGGTTCACGTCAATCAAGACTATGTCCTCAACACCCTCTTCTCCTGATAGAACACCTGCTTGAACAGCCGCTCCAAATGCAACAGCCTCATCTGGGTGAATTCCCTTGGAGACCTGTTTACCATTGAAAAAGCCCTGCAATAATTCTTGGACTTTAGGAATTCTGGTGGAACCACCAACCAAAACAACATCATCAATGTCGGATGCCTTCATCTTGGCATCGTCAAGGACCTGTTGGACAGGTTTTAAAGTTTTCTTGAACAATTCCATATTAAGTTCTTCGAATTTGGCTCTCGACAAGGACTCTGAGAAATCAATACCCTCAGCAAACGAGTCAATTTCAATTCTCGTGGACATCTGAGAGGAAAGAGTTCTTTTGGCCTTTTCGACTTCTCTCTTTAATTTCGCAAGAGCCTTTGGATTTTCAGTAATGTCAATTCCGTGTTTCTTTTTGAAAACCTTGGCAAAGTGTCTAACGACTCTGTAATCGAAGTCTTCTCCACCAAGATGAGTGTCACCTGCTGTTGCTAAAACTTCAAACGCACCTCCAGCAATCGTCAGGAGTGAAACATCGAAAGTTCCTCCACCAAGATCGTAGACAATGATTTGCTTTTCTTCGTCAGTCTTGTCTAGACCGTAAGCAATAGCTGCGGCAGTTGGTTCGTTCACAATTCTAAGAACTTCCAATCCCGCAATTGTGCCAGCATCTTTTGTTGCTTGTCTCTGTGCATCATTAAAGTAAGCAGGAACGGTGACCACAGCGTGCGTAACTTTCTTTCCGAGGTAATCCTCTGCAATCTGCTTCATCTTTCCAAGGATCATGGCAGAGATTTCCTCAGCTGTGAAAGTTTTCGTCTCACCATTGACTTTTGTCTCAACAACCGGTCTTCCACCTTGATCCACAATTTTGTAAGGCAGATGCTTAAGTTCTTTCTGGACAACTTTATCTTCAAATCTGTGTCCAATCAATCTTTTGATGTCAAATATAGTGTTGGTTGGATTTGAAGCAATTTGGTTTTTAGCGGCATCACCAACAAGTCTCTCCTCATCAGTGAAGGCGACATATGATGGTGTGATTCTATTTCCTTGATCATTTGGCAGAATTTCAACTTTTCCGGCCTTCATAACCCCAACACAAGAATATGTGGTACCTAAATCGATACCAATCACAGTACCATAATTATCGTTTGAGTCAGCATTAGCAAAATGCTCCGATGCAAATGGCAACACCACCAACAACAAAGCATACAGAATAGCTGCAAACGAAAAAACTGATCTGTTTAGTTTGAGCATCGTCTGTGATAGAAATTAGTTTTTATAAAAAATCTTGAATCAACTTTTCAAAAATGATTTCGCCTCTCGTAAAACGAATAAGATCGAATATGTTAGTCAGGTAAACAGCTATCGTACTACCAATTGTAACTTATAAATTGGTGATATGAAGTGACGATTGAATTTACCTTGTCTCAAGATTTGATATTAAAACGTTGGAATAAGATTATTCTTGAGCTTCGTTTATGTACTCGGCGGCAATATATTACGTGTCGAATATTCAAGAAATCTCGTGTAGGTCTGGAAAAATTTTGACACGCTGGCTTTAATAAAAATTTTTATAGAGGTTTGCGTACTGCGCCCGATAATGCCACGTACCAATTGCCTTTGCACTTCTTTTCTGTGCCCTATTAGTTCAGCTCTATCGTAATGTTTACATATCGGTTCTGTAGATTCATTCAATAAGCAAGTCGATTAGCTGAACTCTCTCAAATTCGACGAGCATTATTTTTCATTCACATATGTCGAATGTTCTAGCATTGTAAACCCGGCACTTACAATATGCATTTTAGCGATAATTCTCTTGAGTATATTCGTGGGGTACAATTCCCGAGATCACCTCGAAAATCCCTTATTGTACACAGCCAGAAAAAATTCATGTGGTAGCACCAGCATTGCGAGCTGTGACTACACTGGACTTGAACTAGCCATAATCCTATCTCATCTAGTATTTCTCATTGCTAGGCTGAAATCGTGATAAATGGGATGATATATTCTACGACGTAAAGAGTCATGAAGCTCGAGAAGTTTTAGCTTGTAAAAGTCCTAGCCATAGAGCTGTACCAAAACTCATAGGCAACAAGAGTAAGTAGTATAATTAATTAGGATATTATACCCAGTGGGAACGTTTTCTGGCTGCATTTAAAGCGCTCTGTCTAAAAATCTTGCTACCTGAGATCTCTTTGTTTTGTCCCTATTGTAACTAAGGTGTCCGTTAACAAAATCGGCTCTTGTCTGTAAACCAATAGCAGGTAACATACTGAAAGTATACTATTTCCATTATAGATGTTGAGCGACGGCAGTTTACATCAATTTTTGTCAGTCCATAACCAGACACGATCTACGTTTGCGAGATGTTCCTTGAATTATGTAATAAATTTAACCCGTAAATATAGTTTTCGATCTGCATGATAAAAAAAAAAATTTAAGAAAAAATTCTTGCAAGATTGAGTGCAGCTAACTATTCGTTTCGTTACTGACTGGACAGATGGTTAAGAAGACTAGAAAATCGATTGTATCTGTCAAAAATTCACGTTCTGACTTGTTCAGACTGGAAAATATTAGCACTATATCTGACAGCGAAGAAGATGTGCCCGATTTCGACGAAAGTAGTGGTGATGAAGAACTAGGAATACAGGCTGGAGAGAAGAATTCAGACGTTAAGAGTACACAGTCATCAGAAAAAAGATCCAAACTTTCTGGAAATGGGTTCAATCATGCATTCAGCTTTTCGCTGGATGGAGAGTCTGATAGAGATGCAAATTTTAATGGCTGGGATTTCCAAATGAACAGTGGCAGTCACGAAGGCCAATCTACAAGTGTTGATCTCGACAAGATCATAAGGAGAAAAGGCGGATTAAGTGGAAAGATTGTTGACGTGAACGTGAATAGTACTGGAAACATTCGGGGAGGAAACAAACAATCTCATACAAGTGACAATGATATATCTGATGATGAAGATGATGAGGATGATGAAGTTGAAAGCAATAACTCTGACAAAGAAGCCGATAGTGACGAAAGCAGTGTAGGTGATGAAAGAATGTCCGAGATACAGTCAAAAGTTCAGACCACTGATGAACAGTCAATTGAGGATAACATTGCAAATTTGAGCGATGATGAAGATTCGGCAGAGGCTATAGCTAACTTTTTTGATACTCCTGAAGACATAAGAAGTGAATTAAATGGCAAGCACGATACATTCCAATCATTGAAGCTTTCAAGGCCTCTTCTGAAGGCTTTGTCAACTTTGGGATATTCTAGTCCTACTCCCATTCAAAATGCCTCCATCCCGATGGCTCTTTTAGGAAAAGACATTGTTGCTGGTGCTGTTACTGGTTCTGGAAAAACAGCTGCATATATGATTCCTATCATTGAAAGGTTGCTTTACAAGCCATCCAAAGTTGCTTCAACAAAGGTGATTGTTTTGACACCCACAAGAGAGCTTGCAATCCAGGTCGCTGATGTGGGTAAGAAGATTGGGCAATATGTCGCTGGACTCACGTTTGGTTTGGCTGTTGGTGGATTGAACCTTAGGCAACAGGAACAAGAACTTAAAAAACGACCTGATGTGGTGATTGCTACTCCTGGTAGATTTATCGACCATATCAGAAATTCTCCATCTTTCAATGTTGATAATGTCGAAGTTTTAGTTTTTGATGAAGCTGATAGGATGCTCGAAGAAGGTTTCCAGCAAGAGATCACAGAAATCTTGTCTTTGCTCCCTCGCAAGAAACAAACAATGTTGTTCTCGGCTACTATGAATTCTAAGATCAAATCGTTAATTCAGTTATCTTTGAATAAGCCGGTCAGGATCATGTTAGGAGCGCCAAAAGCAGCAGCATCGGGATTGGTTCAAGAGTTCGTCAGAATTCGTAAGAGAGAGTCTTTGAAGCCAGCGTTGTTATTTAATATTTTGTCCACAGTCGAAGGCCATCAAAGTCGGGTGATAGTCTTTGTTGCAAGAAAGGAAATGGCGCACAGATTGAGAATAGCACTTGGTCTTTTGGGTTTGAAGGTTTCCGAATTACATGGATCATTGAGCCAAGAGCAACGGTTAAAGTCCGTGACAGAATTCAAAACTTTGGCAGTTCCCGTTCTCATATGTACGGATCTGGCTGCTCGAGGATTAGATATCCCCAAAATTGAGTTAGTGATCAATTTTGACATGCCCAAAACACACGAAATTTACCTGCATAGAGTTGGTAGAACAGCTAGAGCAGGGAGACAAGGATTGGCCATTTCCTTTGTGGGCGAAAGCTCTCAAGATAGAAGTATTGTCAAGGAATCGATTAAGCAAGTTGAAATTGAGCAGAGTGGCAAGGCTATTGGTAGAAATGTTGACTGGAATGCAATTGAACAAATTCAGGCCACTTTGAAACAGAAGGATGCCGTGATTGAAGACATTCTTAAGGAAGAAAAACAAGAAAAAGAACTATTAAAAGCAGAATCAGAATTGAAAAGAGGTGAGAATATGCTCAAATATGAAAGCGAAATTAAGGCAAGGCCCAAAAGAGATTGGTTTGTTTCCGAAAAGGATAAAAGTCAGAGTGGAGAGAGCGTGAACTCAGCAAAAAAGCGATTGAACAGTAAAAAACGGAAAGCTCAAGAGGTGAATGAAAATCCGAAAAGGCTTTACAAAAAGACGAAAGATGATCGGTTGCATACGCAACCAAAGAAGCTTCCGAAAAAGCATAGAAAATAATATCTTTCTTCATAAGGATCTAAATATCGCTGTACAAGTTAATTATAAGCAAACCCTTTACTGATGCTTCTCAAAGATAAAATACTGGGCATTAGATTGTCCGTAGCTGCGCTTTCATGCTCTTCATATTTTTGTTGATGTGTTTTAATGTGAGAGTCCAGATCCAAAAACTGTGCATCCTCACGCAGGCTAATCAGACTTGAAACCTGATTTCTTGTATCGTGAGATAGATTTGACGAAAGGCTTGTTAACATTTTCAAACCATCGAGCCACACATTCAAATCGCTATCAGTTTCAACGTAAAATGAAAAGTGGTTGTTATTTCGTGTTCTCAACTGGATGCGACTCACTTGCATTCTTGAGCTGATACGGACTAGGTTGGAATCATGGGATTTTTTACTGATTGAAACAGAATCAACACTCAGAATTTGATTAAATTCAATTCTGGAACCATCTTGATCAATATTAGGGTTTTTGGAATGCTTTCGGGAAAATCTCTTGTAAATCAGGGCTTTTGCATCTGAAGATAAACTTAGAAAATAATACGACTTCTTTCTGCCTGTGCCTGCATCCAAAGGGTGTTCAGAATAAACCCATGACCCTTTAGAAAGCTGTAGAAAACTTCGGTTAGTAACAAACCCTAGGGTTTCTTGATTCAAAGATTCAATGAAGTCATTTGCAGCATTAGCACGGACCCAAGAAATTTGTTTGTGTATCTCTTCAAGCTCCAATCTTTTCAGGTTGTCAAGATCCAAATTCGACAAGGAAGTGATAGCAGCAGCAAAAGACTTTGAGTTTAAGGATTCGCGGAAATAAATGAATAGCAGAGTAATGATATTTGTAGTGCGAGTGCTATCATTCAATTCTGGAATAGATAACGTCCAAAATTCAAGCGAACGAGTAATCAGTGTTTGGAACAAGGTTTTGTTAAGTTCTATAGGTACCTGTCTAAGATTCTCACTGCTTATTCGCTTTTGAAAGAAAAGACTGCATACCTTCGATGAGAACTGAAACAAAATGAGAATTGAATCTTGCTGAGAGAATAAGTTGTATTCATAATAATGTTTCTTCAAAATGACGCTAGAGGAAAAAAGAAAACATAATAACTGAACAGCTGATAGTAGCGAAATCTCTTCTCTATCTATCACTTCGTTTATTTTAATCCTCATTTCCGTGGAGCTTTCCTTGGACTGGACTCCACCAAGTTTGAGAAACTCAGATGATAGCAGGTGGATCAATTGGACATGGCTTGTATCTTCCGTGTTGAGTAGCTTTCCCGATAAATACTCACTGAGAAATCTCAATTCTTTACCCAAATCATCAAAGACGGGCAGTTTTAAACATTGTGTTCGAAGGTCGTTGAACAGTAAACAAAGTTTGGAAAAAACGTTGGTTTCCAGAAATGATATAACATAATCAATCAGAATTTCATCACTTTTGGTGCTGAAAACAGTTGTAAGAGATTTGATAACAAAACTGGCAAATAACTCTAGTGCAGAAATGTCTTCTAAACTCATGCTTGACATAATTGTCTCCAGAAATGAATTCTCATCCTTGAGGTGACGCAATATTGATACTAAAACTTGGGAGCTGCTTTTAGAAGCTTGTGAAAAATAAATATTCAAAAGCTTCAAAATCGACTGTGAAATGTGTAAGTCAATCTCAGATCTTCCTAATTCGAATAGTAGTCTGAAAAATTCTGGGCTTGCATTTTCGCTGATCCAATCAGTTTGTTGAGAAAGCGTAGAAACTTTGATGAGAACATCAACCGCAATAATCCTGTCAAGAGTCGAACCTCTCAAGATTGCTCTTTCTGCGAATCCAAAGAAATCAATAGCCTCCTCGGAACTTAAATCTTCTCCTCTTCCTGTAGCTGAGTCCAAACGTTGATTTATATATCTGAAATTAAGAACCATTGCTTACATCAAGAAACCCACTTTCAATTTTGGCGATAAATAACTTAAAATCAGGGTTGGTCTTCGGATTACATTTCCATGACATTTTGCACAGCCTTATTTTGAGATGTAATATTTGAGTCCTAGTCGAAGTTACATATTATATAATCAACAGTAAATGGTTTCAATCGTCCGACATATCCTCAATCTCCATACGAGGGCACTCATTGTCTTGATCTTCAATTGCAAAGCGAAATTGATGTTCCATATTTTGCAGTTCCGGGATAGAATTGACAAACGAGGGAATACACATTAGTTTTGAAAGCTTTTCATCGCCGAGATTGACCCTTCTTGATCCAATCACGTTGTTGGCAAGGCTGAACGTACTTTCAAGAGCAGCATTTGAACAAGGAATCTCTTTGAGGAGCTGATATGTATCTCTCAATCGTGGAAAGGGCGTAGACGACATAGAAGACCAGAACTCGTTGTTAGTTTCGATAGACCACTTACTATAGTCAGTGTTATAGAGCCCCCACTTGTGATATTCATCGACTTCCATGCTGAAGATGCTCTTCTCCATACTTTCATGTGCTTGAGCATTTCCTGCAGATTCCTCCGATGCGAGGAGATAAACCTTTTTGAATGAATCGGTACGCTTATACAACTCAAAAAGAATCTCTGTCTTAGAGCGTTCCAAAGACTTGAGCCTGTACGGAAATTGTCGAATGTCTTGATGTTTCCAATTGATGGTCGAAAATAGTAGCTGGTTGCGATCACTCACATCAAAGACGGATCCCGCAATCACTAATTCATCTTCAAAAGCAAGGGTGAAGTATTCACAAAATTTCGAGTAGGAAAAACCAATTGCGTTGAGGAAGCTTGGATTTAAACCTTTCAGTTTTTCTGTGAATAAAGCAACGGTCGGATCTTCACTATCACGATACACGTAAAGTTGATCTGCAATATCGAAGTAATCAACCAATCCCTCTTCTTTGCCAAGTAGGTTTGATACTGCTGTAAAAAGCTTGATTACTTTCAAAAACGTTCTCGAGTAGCTCATTAAAGTATTATCCTCATTCTTTTGTGACAACTCCATCCAGACTTTGAACTCGCCCATTATGAAGTTCAGTCCTTTGATTTCTTTAAGATCGTTCCGAAATTCCAAGAGAGCATGAATCGTTTTTGTCTGATGTTGATCCAGCGTTATTCTATGTTCATCAAAAAGTCCTCGACGACCTCAATCTTGTCAGAGTCCAGGTGATCGTTAGGGAAGCCCATACCCACTAGCTTGCCAAACACGAAACATAATTCGTCCCATTTGTCGAGGATGGTAGTCACCGTAGAGTAAGCGCTGGTCCATCTAGTTTGAATTGGAAGAGCGGGATTCTTACCACCGATGCATTTTGTCCAAAGCGAGGAAAGCACGGTGTCCCCTCGTACCATCTTGCTGAAGTCGAAGCAAGCTTTGTAGAGTCTGGATTCTTTCGTGTTGTCTGCATCTTTAGTAGCTT